CTTGCATGACGTCACAGTCTACATTTATCTCGGAGAGTTCTTTGAAAAAAAAGAAAATTTAGACCATTTGTTTGTCCCAAAAAATACATGGAGAAAATCTAAACTTTTTAGGAAATTTTCATTTTGGAAGCCACTAATTAACAGTCTATGTAGTGGAAACTTGGTAGGGTATAGTCTGCTTCAGATAATTTTCAAGCATGTTTAAAAAAGTGCCCTGTCGTATTTTATTGCGTTTTTGAATTGCCCTATTTTGCGATTTCCATGGCGATTTCTTTCTGATGTTTAGTAGTAAAAACGCGGGAGGATGGAGTTTTTTTTGTCGCACTAACCATGCAGTCCATGCTATATTTCATAGACACATACTGTACCTGCTAGTTTTTTCAATAATTTACAAAGATTTGGTATTGCTGGTAAGTCTTCAATCTTCTTTGAATCACCCAATTTCATGCCATCACTGCACGCTTCCATGATTTGCTAAAAAAGATGTTATAGCCAGCTAATGAGGAAACCCTCAAAGTTCATCCAAAGAAATAAATACGAATTTTGCTGAATTTTATACTATTTTAGACTTTTTGATTGCAATTGTACTGTAGCACGTGTTTCTATACAACAGAGCTGTAGTAAGGACTGGGGCTATAGGATTGTTTATTCTATTTATATATATATATATATATATATATATATATATATATATATATATATATATATATATATATGTAATATATTATATATATATATATATATATTATATATATATATATATATATATATATATATATATATATATATATGGCTATAGGATTGTTTATTCTATTTATATATATATATGTATATATATATATATATATATATAATTAATAAACAATAGCATAAAGAGTTCATATATATATATATATATATATATATATATATATATCTTTATATATATATAATAAACAATAGCATAAAGAGTTCACAGAACTTGTCAATGGTTGAGGAGCGCTCAATACCATTACCAACAGAGCGATAATATATTTATTTATTGCAAGTCGAATGCAAGACTAGCTTAGCTACTCGGAGTTTCACGCTGTGAAGCGATCATCAAGCTAATGATTCTTGAAGAAGATGCAACCTCTACCTTGAAGACAAGCTATATATTTTGAAACGTAAATCTAAATCACTTCTGAACAGACGCTCTGAACTTTTCACACAATGTAGACACGTAACTCGATACCTTATATCACGATGTAAATATAGAGAATAACAACCAGACCTGTCTTTAGCCTGATGACCGCTTCACAGCATGAAACTCAGGGTAGCTAAGCTACTGTATTATATATATTTATATATATATATATATATATATATATATATATATATATATATATATATATATATATATATTAAAAGTCGTAGTTAAGTTTGATATCTTGTTAATTCAAATGGTATTTAAGTTGAATAAGAAATGTGTATTACTGCCGTTTGCGCTCAAGCTTGGAGCGTGCAAAATATTTCGCGTTTGTTTATGTTTAAAACGCAACCGTTTGAGTCAGATCAAATCACCCAAATTACTACTAAAACATAATTACTAAAACAGATTAGAAGACGCGCCTTGATGTGTTGAGACACAGATTTCACGATTTCACAAGTTCTATGCTTCAAAGTATTTTCAACAAGCTTCAGTAAACTTTGGGTTATCCACCGTGCTAAATGCCTTTCCAACAACCGACCCTGATCATTACCTTTTTAACATTATCTTTCTCTAAATTTCTTTTAGCAGCGCGAGCTTTCTCTACTTCCAATCGTTGCTTTCGCGTTTCCTGTGACTTTACGTCACCGGCTGTATTAGTTGATGTTTGGATGTTCGAAGCGTCTTTACCCGGTACAACGCAGCTTTTTGGAGCTCGTGTATCCGCCATTTGATGATTGAGCAAGTCAATCAATCAATAAAGTAATATTTTGTATATATGTGAATTTTGAATGTAGTTTATAGTGCCTTCTGAAGCACGTCAACTCGTGTCTAAAGACAGCTCAAGTCTGAACTCCAGGCTTTGTTTACGCACTTGCATTTAAATGCTAATAATACCAGGAAAGCCCCTTGGGGAAAACCCATGTTTGACGTGGTGACATCAAGTAATATTTTGGTTCAATGACGTAATTGAAGTTATTTTGATCAGATTTCATAACAGAATTAATAACTATACCGCTCGGCCAAAACGTAAACAAACTATAGTAACAATCGTTCGGGCAAGGTTCAAACTGACGGGAAAGGGATCAGGACACAGCTGAACGGCAAAATGATAAATAGGTCATATAAGTTACGTATCTGATATAGGTTCCAAAGTAAACATAAACCTAAGAAATAAAAGACCTTTTAATTGTGGCCTTCAAACATAATTAAAAAACTATCAGAAGTTGAACATTTTATGCCCAAATTTTTTACTGTTCTTTTGAATCTTCTGGTTTAGTCAAACTGCATCTTCAGTGACCCATTTTTGTGCGCAAGCCGTCTTTTAATTGACTGCTGAAAACACTTTTTATACCGGCAAAAAACACTATTTTCCACCAACATGCAGGATGTGCGCGGGCGTCAAACTATTCTTACATGCACATACAAAAGGTTTCCCTATGCGTGGACGTACGGTCCTAGAAGACATCTACCAAGTGTAAACGTTTTTAGGTAAACCAAGGAGAACCACTCCAGAACTCCAAATAACGAATAAATTTGTAATTTCTTGTAAATATTATATTCGTCATTTTAGACTTTACACACACAAGTCCTTTGGTTGTAAACAGTGAACACTTTCAGAAATCTGCGAGTCGAATCGAGGCAACAGTGAACACTTTCAGAAATCTGCGAGTCGAATCGAGGCCTTTTACTGCAAGGGAATTAATTGTCTATACAATTTAAGCTCGTGCAAGGCAGCGAAGACAATCGTCTGAGAGCAATAATACCTGCGTACGTGCTCAGTTATAGAGAGTATATATAGGGTTACACGCGGCTATTAATTAAGTTGTTTTTCAAAGGATGATGGAACAGTTGAAACTACAAGCAGCCCAATTTAGTTTCAAGTGCTCTACAATAAAAGTTAATTGTGTTCTTGTCACTTAGGCCTATAATAGATTGTCGATACTCATGCCATGAGCTGCGAAACCTGTCGCAACACTGAGGCAAAAGGGCATATATTCGTCATTGTTTGTTTTGATAAGAAAATAAAAATAACCTGCTGTCGCATTGTTTATAAGCCATACTTAGCTTCGATTATGGATCAAAGCACCAAACGTTATGGATGAAAAAAATTGGTTCATCCGATATCACAGTTAAGTCAGTTCAAGATATCATATTATGGGTCCTATCATAAATCGTTTATTCTACAAGCTGGGCAAAATAACAGAATTGAGTTAGTTCACGTTACATGAAAAGTTGTTAATCAATTCACAATATTATGCACTCTGAGTACGCAGATAAAGCAAAGTCGGTAAGTGAATATGACAAACGTTCAGTAGATTATATAGGAAAGGTAGGTGCTACATAGCAAGGTCAACACGTCGCAGCAACAAATTTCATCGTGTGAACATTTTTGCGAGAGATTCTGCAGTTTTGTCGCTTCAACGTGTCGCACAAAATCAAAACATGTTCTAAAATTTCCCGTTTCTGCGACGTGTTGCAACGATTTTTCGCTAGTCTTTGTATCAGCCTCACAGGTGAATTTGTCGCACAAGCATACCTTAGTAATAAATCAGTTATTTGTTGCAGCGAATCCAGCGATTGGTCGCCTAGCGTGCATACTTGTGCATGTATTGGCTATATTAATATACAAGCTCTAGAAGCAGTACCAGTTTAAAATTAGTTCACTCAGATTAATTTATTGGAACGATATTTTATTGTTTTAAACAACTAAAAGGTTTGTTAACCAAATAGAATTGATCAAAAAGAGTTGAATCTGAGATAACCAACTTCAAATTTAGCATCAAATGTGGTTGTATAACAACTGCCTACGACCTGAGCGGCCTTCTTCAGGAGAGTTAGTACGAAAATAAATAATAAATAAATAGATAAAGTGTCAGGCAACATACAGGCTTGGTGTTATCGTGGTTATTTCGGCTCCCAATTCATAGTTTTCCATCAGGCACCATTTCATATGCTTCTCCTCCAACCTCATTTGTTTACTATGCATCGGTGAAACTGGAAGATCTCTAAGGGTAGGTCGGTCAAAAAACCACGATAACACCAAGCCTGTTGCCCTCACTTTACTTCTGGTAATCATTGTGTCACGGACATGAGAATCAGAGCCCTCTGTCCCATTGCCGGTACTAACGTAGCCGTACACGACACGAAATGCGATTCATCCACAGTCTTGGCACCCTTCATCCCTCCGGCATAAATGAAAGACTCTCTTTCATTTAAGCTCATTCACCCAGCGTAATATGACTTCCAATTCTTAATTTTTTTTTAACACATCACGGCTGCATGGTTGTAATATATTTTCGTTTCTGATCAGACTTCCCTAATTGCGGGCTGTTCTTAGTCAGGCGTCTCTTTGGCAACGTAATGTTCCAATTTGTTTCGATTTTTTGTTTTCTATTGGCCCATTTTTATCACGTATTTTGCCCCCATACAAAACATGTATTCTCCCCTATTTATTTTCATACTAACTCTCCTGACGGAAGTCCTCAGGTCGAAACGTCGAGAAGTGTTTTTGTCTGTTTTAGGCAGTTGTTCTACCACATTTGATGCAAAGTTGTTCGAAGACGCTGCTCCCTGTTTATATTGCAACTTCAATTTTCGCATATATTGACAGGAATTTCGCAAGACTGTTATTAAAGTTCTAAAGATTGTTGGTACAGCATTGGCTATCATTAACGGCTTTATACAGCCTTTAAGTTCGTTGGTTTATGGAAAGCTGACGGATGATTTAATGATTCCTCCGGGAGATAGCAATAATATGACTCTGGGAAATAACACCTCTAACAATACAATGAACCAGAACTTAACCAATACGAATTTTCTTCCATCAGAGATGTCGAAAGAGGTATTTCAGGAAATATTTTTGTAGTTGATACCACACAGAATTATATACCTATTTGTTTCATGTATACATATTCCTTGTAAGTTTATTTATTTATATAAGCGTTCATTTCCATCGTTTCTGTTCTCAGTGTGATAGAGTCTTGTGATATGACTAATACTCAGTAACCGTAACCGCGTGGAAATTTTACTGTCCGGAACATTCTAATCTACGCTCACTATATTGCAAAAAATGTACACTATTTTGGCTTTACTTATAAACCGGATATACCGGATATACAAAACCATGTAAAAGACAATTTCCCTGTAGCATCACCTTATGAAGTTAATTCGCATAATGCAGACTCTTCTTAAAATATAGCACCCTCTATTATTCCCCATTTTCAACATCCATCTTTTGTATAATTACTCTGTAATATGGAAGATCAAATTAAATTTGCGGGCGACACTGTTGACGGTTTTTGATCGAAAGTCATAAGTTGCAAATCAATTTTTGGATACACATGCAACACCATCTAAACTTTCAGACTGCATGCTAATAGATTAATTATATTGACTCAGTAAATTCTCATTCCTTCATATAGAACAACAAAGGGGAGAATGAAAAAAGCAACGAAATCTTGAGTAGTCTCAAAATTATCCAAAAAACTCTTGCAACTAGTTCGGAAAATGCAAATCAGTCTAGGATTCCAAGTCGCCTGGTACTAACTCCGGAAACCGACCCCCTGCATCCACCCGGCTATGGCTATCCGGTTTTACCTGGACTAAAACGGTTACAACCTAAGCGACCTAAGAATTCTACAAAAACCGAAACGCGCATAGGACCATCGCCAGCCGACCAAGAGGAAAGAATATCAAAATATGCCATGTATTATTGCTATCTTGCTTTGGCGACATTTGTGTGTTCGTACGGACAAATGTTGTGTTGGAGTATTTCCGAACTTTCATGTTTTCGGGCGAATCAATATGAAAGGGTAAGGCAAGAAGATGTTGTGGAGGATGGAAAAGGCGACGGGGACGGTAAAAGGAAAGGGTACGTAATAACAGAGTGCAACAAAGCAGTACCAACAATAAGATAAGCAAAATTAGGAGGGGCAGGGGGTTGAGCCGCATAACAATTTCAACTGAGGTCACATGAACCTTGACAGTGTAAACAGGAACCGCGGAGTAACGGGAGGGGGGGATTGGGCTAGAGCGACTATATGGCCTCCTCACTTTTTCGTCTACCATTTAATAGGTAAAGCAGTTCTAAACAGCGGCAGTAACCAGGAGATATTTTCCCTAGAACACATTATTAAGATAGTCTGTTGCTTAATCATGCATTGGTTGTGTTGGTTTTCATTTTAAAAAATAATTTTGTCGCTGTCTGTGATCTTAATAATTTTTGGTAAAGTTTTTATGTTTGAACACCAACTATGTCTGGTGGACCATTGTTGAATGATTTTTGGTCTTCTGTATTTCAAAGTGAAGAAGAGCAAGAGGAGGAAGAAGAAGAAGAGGGATTTGGTGCTCGTATAACCGTGATCATTCAAAATGTTGCCAACTTTGCCTCAAGCATGCTTGTCAGTTTCATTCAAAATTGGCAACTGACGTTAATGATGTTAGTCGCGGGTCCAGTCATAGCGTCTGTTATGTTTTATATGAATAAGGTAAGAACAATCTCAGAAACAAATTTGAGAACACAGTCCAAACAAAATTATGAAAAAAACTCGTAAACATCAGGTTTCGTAAACATTTTAATTAGTTATAGGGATCAGTCTCTAATGTTTTATTTCCTTCCTTTCCCTTATGATATACAGAAATGAGCAAACAATACGGAACGCATTTGCTACAAACCACAAAGCCAATTCAGACAATGAAAAACTAATATAACCCCTGTGTCTCGATTGTTAGTTGACCCCAATCGAGAAAACATGTCCTTTTATAATAGCTCAAGTCGATTGCATTGGAAAAAGTGAAATTACTTATGCAGAAAGCAAGGGGTGTTGCCAAAGGAGCTTTTTCACAAGTGCAAACTGTAGCAGCGTTCGGTGGGCAAGATTATGAAAAGAAGAAGTGAGTGTATACTACGTTTCCAAGAACAAGATTATGGTTTCTGTGAGCTCAAAAGCCCAGACTGGCCTGCTTGAATGGGTTTGAACAGACAGAGCAGTCTTTTCGATGAATTTTTCCTTTTTCCGATATCAGGTTTGCAAGTAATTTGCTTGCTGCTGACAAAGCTGCAAAAGTTCGTAGTCTGGTTGATGCTATTCGGGCTGGAATAATGATCGTGATTGCCTTTGTGTTCCTAGGAATTGGCTTTTGGTGAGTGCTTCTAGTTTTCACACACAATTTTCTATTTGTCGTTAGATGAAATGATAATTCAACAAGAATTGAAGAAATAATTAAAATAGAGAATCAGCTGTCAAGTTTCCATAATGGATCTTCAATCACAATTTGTTCTGTAAAATTAATATCAAATTATTCTGTCCCAATCAAGGTCACTGTAAGAAGAGATTTTATTTGATTCTAAGATAGATTTCTTTTAAAGGTTCAGCTCAATTCTCATATTAAACGGAACCTTGACACCTGGAGCCTTTATTTCAGTAAGTAAATGGATTCTCTAGCTCTAGTATTCTATATTTGAAATTTAAATTTTTCATAGACTGCGTACGAGCCAGTCATTTGCTAAGTAAACTTGTATGGATATATTTGTTCCACAAAGAAATTAAGAAAATAAGCATATTATCGTTACATAGGTAATACCAGACATATTACAAATTAAACATAAGCACCTATATTATAAAGGAGATTGCACCCAATTGATCGATCGAAAGCAACGAATACTTCCCCAAAGCGGATACCACATAAAATTGCATGGAATTAATTTACACAGTGAAATGCGATTTTTACTTCATCATTCTGCTGTCAGTTTGTGCAATGTGCACAAATCTCTATACACATATAATAAATCTTAATTCTAGATATTCATGGCGATAATTTCATCTGTACTTAAACTTGTTAATGTCGGTGGTGCAGTTGGTGTTGATGAAGGAAAGGATGAGAAAGATGATAAGTCAATGCTCTCATCCGATAATGAGGAGGTAATATCTGGCGACCATCGACGTTCTAACAAATCCGGCGTAAATCTGTGGGTATACCAGTGTGATCTATCAAATATGTAGGCCATCGTCTCATTTTACGCGGTAAATGTTTATTTTACCCGTATAAGGTGGATACCTATAGGTGTTTATAACAGTATTTTTTGCAGGCTGTAAGAGCTTTTAGATGGTAGAAATATAATCGTTTTAATATTTATACAAGTTTTTTGTGCATTCAAATGGATACAATGAATGCAAATGAATGCAGTTACGGACCGAGTATTTTCAAGCTGAACATGTGTTGAATGACCATGCAAACATACATTATATGATCTTAATTTGTTTTTTTACCAAGGAAAATCAACGTCCCAATGTTATTGGAAGAATTCTAGAACATTTGTCCAGTCCAGAGGAACTTTTCAAATATTACCCAAACAGACCTGAAGCGGTAGGTCAAAATTAAGTTCAATTTGAATTGCCGAGTTCATGCAGTCTTGGCTGTGCTTTTATTCTTCGTGGTTGGGTCTTAATTATTTGTAATAATAATAAGTTATTTGTTCATTTTATTCCAATTTTTTTCTTAATTTCAAAGATGTTGAAAGGCGGAAATCGTTACCAATGTAATGACGAGTTGATTGTTCAGGTAATTAAAATGCATTGATTTTGTTTATAACATTATGGATCGAGGACGAGATTCGGACATTCGAATCCAAGTTAATGGAAATAATAGCGGGTGTATACGTTTTAATTAAAATGTATCCAATCAGCCCCTTTGAGCAAGAAATATGGAAAAAAAAATTCTATTTTTGCTTTTATATTTATAGTTTTGCGGTGGAAAAAACGATCCTGACCGCAATAATATGACTACCTCAGGTTGGTATTTTACTTTTATGCATGCATGATAAACGTCTCAACTGATCAATATTTTTTTCATTAATCAAGTTACTCGTTGGTTGGTTGCATGGTATACGTATACAGCCACATGCTCCCCCCCGAAAATTTTTTTTTGAATTTCTTTGGTGGTGTTACACCTCGCCAAGCTTATTAAACTTAGGCTATAATTTTAAGACGATGCGGCGGTAACCGATAAAAGGTAAATCTTCCATTTTTTAGTTCCCCATGCGCCTGCCACCCCTGATTTAGATAATACCGTGCCATCGCAGAATAGTAAAAAGCGGTTTTCTAAGTGGAATCCTAAAAAACTCAAAGAGAAAATGAAAGAAAAATTCCAAAGTAAGGTTAGAGATTTTATCCATACAAATAGATTAACATATAGTAAAGGCGTGTTCCTGATAAAGAAATATTATTGATAACACTTTTCTTTTTTTAAAAACAAAGAAATCAAAGGCCTGTTTATAGCAATGTTTGGCTGACTTATTTAGTAACATCGTATTCAGGATGTATAAAAACGAACGTGACTTATATAATGATGTGATATTATACACATGCACAAGCGCAGGATAAAAACAACTTTCAAATTTATTCGTAATTTGAACAATAATGAATACACATTTCATGAGTTTCATCGTCCCTTAAGTCCCCAAATTTAGCTGCCATTTGGTTTAGGTTTCTCTACTAGACAGATATGAGCTGTCTAGTATATAGAAAGCCAATCAGATTACACGTTATTATTTTCATTGTTATTTCCCCGCCGTAGTAGGCCGAGTGTATTATTATATATATCACCTTGTTAGTCATAGATGAAAATTTTAAAATAATATAAAACTGTATACATTGGAACCTGTAAGTTTCATTCTTTCCGCATCTTGGGTTCACTCTATGGAATGTTTATACATATACTATACTATTATATATTATACAACTTTATTCCTAGACTTTAAGTAGGCTCTTTCTGAATACTTTTTTAGAAAAATAACAAGTATGAAAATGTTGGTCATTCAAAGCAAGGTATGAGCAAGGGCCATGGCTTCTTAGGATACCCAAAAGGTCGAAATTTGGAGAGAAGACTGGGACGGACCCTAACCACAGTCCTCTCTGCAAATTTCCACCTTTTTGGTATCCTAAAGAGATTTTGCCTATAAGATAGCCTATAAATACCGGAAACTCCGCATATGGCACTATTTTCTCAATCTTTAATCCTTACAAGCTTCCAATCCAGTATCTGAAAATTTTTAGATACTGTACGTTAAGTTTTATTATAGAGAATATTCATATATTCGTCTTATTCCCGAATGATTTCTTTTGTACTAGGGTACAAAAGAAATCATTCGGGAATAAGAACAATAGGAACAATAGGGTTCCCACGGTATATAAGCATGAATATATGAACATACACCCCCTCCCCCCTTTAAGCTTCTAGCTACGGCCCTGGTTTCACAACAAAGAAAATATGCTGGTGTAACCGTTTTTCAATCAACGTCCAATCCTTTTCGTACTTTGTGGTTTTCGAAGATATATTGTCTGTATCTCTATTTCGACACAATTTGGATACTCAATACAAATAATAATAAAAATCATGTTATATACAATACAAATCTTTGGAAGGTTTCTTCATTGGCGGTAAAATGGTTCGATTTCGCTGTATCACAGCCGCGTCAGTACTCCACCAAAAAATGCGACTAGCTTTGTGTAAAAATTTTATGTAGGAACCAATGTCAAGAGCAAGTTTTCTATTGAGGGCATAAAAGAGCGTGGTAAAAATTGTTTTGAAGGTGCAAAGTCTTTCTTAGAGACTAAAATACTTAGTCAGGTATGTTGTTGTAGTGGGAATGTTTTTCTTTGTTGCCGTATCTTTGCTGGTAAAAGACAATGGCTGTCCCTTATACTTCCCCTCAGGCTCTGGCGTCTCTGAACCCAAAGAGTAATTCCCTAAAAAAAGCAATTCTAGTTTTTTCCGCATGGTTTAAGATCTAAATATTGTCGACTAATGTAGATTTAACAAACAATTGTAAGCAATTACATAATTTCCCTGCATATATAACCGCCATCTTGAATTTTATAGAAAGTGCTGCAAATGCATTTTATTTTTTTAATCGAGAGTTTTTAATGACAATTTTTATTAACTGGTTCCTAAAACTAACGAAGCATGCGAAAACACATAAAATTTATTGGCACTAACTTTATTTATATAGTGAAAAGATATAGGTATGCCACGTTTTGTCGGGGCTATGGCATATTTAAAATAATTGGAATGCTACATCGCTCGCTGCCGATTATTTTGCGATAATCGCACGGCAGATAAAATATATTGAAAACGACATGTTCAGGTGCTTAGCGTGTATCATGATGTATCTCTACAGGTAAAAAAACGAGGCTTGTCACTTGAGGCAGTAAAGCTACAAATACAGCAACTTCCATTGATTATCCTCAGTCTTGTTGGAGCTGTGATGACCGGCATGATAGCACCTGGATTTTCACTCTTACTAAGCGAGATCTTAATAGTAAGCAAGATATACGTTGTGCTCAGTGGGGCATTCTTTTGAAAGGATGAGTGGTCTGCGATGAAAATAGACAAATTTAAGAAATTTTGACGACTACTGAAGAATCTTAATCCTTGCGACCTGGTGAACCTTGCTACTTGCTACCCAAGAATCATATTCTTTCCATTTTCAAGTTATTTCTTAAATTAATTCCGTTTCAGAGAGCTGTAATTCCTGTTTATTCTGTATTACCCAACTGAAATGAATGATCATTAATTTTTTTCATAATAAGCATTACATTTCATTGCTTAATGCAGTATAAAAAATATTCGATACCGTTACCTTTTTAAGGTTACAGCTGATCCTAAGCGTCTTAAATCTGAACGTTATAAGTGGGCTTTCAAGTTTGTCGATCTTGGTATTTTCATTGCCATTGGATCTTCAGTGCAGGTAAATTCAGTTATACACTCTTTCACATGTCACCACATGCTTTCGCATGTCACCACGAAATCTATTAAAAAAACGATGCCGTTTTGGTTTTTTGACCTCAAAAAGATAACACAAAGGACAAACGCTCCAATTATATTATGCAATTAATTTTATAGTTACATTACTCACAGCGTGTTTATAGCAATGTCGTATTTCATTTTTTTTCGAAGAAATTCTCTACATCCTTAAGCGAAAGTCGAGTGGAGATGGGCCTGAAAGGGAACGCTTTTAATTCTACGATGGATAAGGTATAGGTTATAGAACTAAACACTTATCATTTCTAGATAGCTTTTTTTTAACAGATGGCACGTGCCTTGCGTATTCTAGAATTAAAAAAACACACGATGCGATAAAGAAAGATTCTCCTGTCCGAAATTCGGCTGGTGCAATTGCGTTATAATATTTTGTCGAGCTAGTTGTCAACTTTCATGAGAATTTCGATGTCCTTTGTTCTCCTATCTTTTGGATTGCACTGATATATAATCAGAGGAAAAACAGGTTAATTTACTAACTAACAAGAATTTTCCTTGAAATACCAGAGTGAAGCGCCGAAGACGTCAAGTGAGGATTTGGAAATATCCGCTGATGAAGAAAGACTGAAATCGAGGAGCGAGGTGTCCAAGACATCCACCGAGCAAGTTTTGGCACCCAAAGAGAAAGAAAATCTGGAAATAAATGTTAAGGTAATGTTCTTATCTATTCACTTTTTATCATTGAGATGCAGTTATTTTAAGAATTATTCGCCGGAAGCCACGTTTTTGTCGCTAAGGCCTGTTTTCGACTTCAACCGTATCATAACGTAACGTGACTTGGCGTAGCCGTATTTCTTCGTTACCGTTGTATTCGACCAGAATTAATGACTTTGAAACAATGAGATACGCTACGTTTCGCTACGATACGGTTGAAGTGGAAAACAGCCTTAAGTCAGTAAGTCTGAAGTAATTAATTGTGTCAAATAAATAGACCATTTCGATAATTACGTCATACCATTATCGCGTTCAACTTAGAGCCACCTTAAATAAGCACGAAATATTTTGACTAAAAATAACTGACCGCCATCTTGGATTATTCAGGTTCCGCCATCTTGGAGCACAAGTGGGGTCATGCAATATTTTTATCTTGACTGCCCATGATGATTATGCCACAAAACTCACTCCAAGATACTTATACGCTTGAATTGAAACTTGAAATAGATCCCATTCATGGACCAAGTTCGCATTCTTGTTTTAATCGCTAGAAGCAATTCTAAAAGTTAACCCCGCATGTAACGTAACCAAAACTGTAGTTTTAATAATCAAAATATAGAAACTAAATTTTCATTGTCCGTACACTTTAAAAACGACAATTTTAACGAAAACGAAAGTGACCTAATTATCTGGAGTAATTATCCATCCTTTTCGGCAGCAGAAATTCACTCACCAGAATGTTCATATCGAAAATCATTCACTGCGGTTAGTTTTACTCCTTTGAACTCTGAAACCACATGCAGAAACATAATGTCTTTTTCAGGAACTTAGTCAGCCGCAAAAACTATCGAAAGAGCCTGACATGAAAACAAATCTCAAGCGAACATCTCCGAATCCGATATCCGAAGATAGCCAGGTATTGCAAGTTTAACAAATCTCATTTAAAGTTAGCTATTACCATGCGCTAAAGCAATCACCTGGGGGGGTGTATCAAGCCCGTTTAGCTTAAACGGTGGATAAGTTCAAAATAGAAAGCAAGTCTATCGTTTTATTCAAGAAGCAAACAAAATGTTTTTACCTTAATACAAAGTTATTGTTTACAACTACAAATTCAGTGCATAATATTCAAGTTGACTCATTCAAGAGAGATGTAAGAGTATTATTTAATTTTGATTTATCACCGTTTAAGCTAAACGGGCTTGATACAACCGGTCCCTGGCCAGTATACTGTTTTTGCCCGTTTGTTTAATTCTGTACTTCAATTCAAAAATCAACCCATGTTTATAATCCCGAGCCTAGATTGGAGGGTGGTGGAGTGAGACACCCCCTTGCGGTATCCCTATGTATGTTTTACCTTCAGGACTTAAATCTTATTTCATATTTAGGACTTAAACCTTATCGACGAGCCGAGCAGTGCAAAAGCTGAAAGCATGACAACAAAGATGGATAAAAGTTCAATGAAAAACTCGGTAACTCCTTTTTAGATAACTTTCATTTTCATTCTTTATAAAACTTATTATCGTGGTAAGGCGGTAAAGTGTGCTGATTCCGCCGACGAAATTGAACCCTCTCGAAACCCTTTCGTTTAAAAAAAATTGGGAAATGCTACGTAGGGCAATTTACGTGTTTTAACGCCTGTCCTTATTCCCACAGTTACAGCTTTTCGGTTGTCACGTATAGTATGTCTAAGTATAGATGTTAGCAAAATAACCATGCATGTTCAGAAGAATGTAATGATATTCTTTCAACAGACCTCGCTTCGCCGGAATAGATTATTCCTGGCGGGGTTCCAGACCTCTTAAAACTCCGAGACTTTTAATTACCAATTTCTCTGTTAGGATAATTTTGTTCGTGCTCCCCTCTAACAATTTTCTAAAAAAGGCCCTGCGCATGACAATGTAGAGCCTTACATAAACGAACCGAAATATTGTCTTGGGACACCTATGCTCTCCACCCACTTGATTGATTAAGCACGGCCAGCTTTTTTTCAAAATCCCATTTTATTTTTTTCAGTTTTCCCTATCTAGTCTTACAGCAAACGTGAGTAGTAATATATCGACCTTCATGACGATGTTCATAGCGTTTACAAATGGTTGGAAGATGACGTTGGTCGTTCTTGCCGGTCAGCCAATCATATCATATGCGAAGTCCGTGCAGAATGACGACGACACGACGGACGAGACCAAGGATGAGGAAAGTGACGGGGTAGGCTACATACACGTTTTATCACACCCGAAAGTATGACCCAGCTTGTTGCGCGAGATCGCAACATCTACCGGTCTCTACGTGTTGAATGGACCACTTGCATACTGAGGCGACCATACTGATGATCTATAGGTAACAAAAAGGAAATAAATCATCACAGCTAAAAAGAGCATACTGAAATTAGTGTAATCGCCTATATTTTCCGTACTTTAAAATTATATTTCGCAGCCAAACTGCAATTTTACCAAATTTAGTATGCCGTTTTCGGCCGAAATTAAATTCCTTTTTTGTCGCCTAAATCAAAAGTTGGTCTGTTATGCAAAGGGTCAATTGCGATTATTGTAGTTCCTTGCAACAAACATTAATTCTGTATTGCCGACCTACGAAATTCCATGATATTTATTTTAATGCCGCCGTATCTTTTCTGCCCATCGGTTCTGCTGCTTATGACAATATACACTTAATGTATGCTCCCGAGGGAAATAGTGAGTTTTGTTTTCCCAAGAGTCTGAATGTTTCCCGAGACGAGGTCGAGTGTTTTGTTATATAGGAACAAAAACATTTAAAAAAGAAACCCACTTCACTTTGTTATGACAAGAAGCGGGCAACAATTTTTTACTTGTTTCCCTGGCGGGAAACATTGCATTTATTTAAAGTCATGTGACTACGAATGAACCAATCACATTTAAAATATACAGAACCTATGTAACAACATAATTTAATGACCGTTAAATTTGACAAAATAATCCAAATGTTTTGATTTTTATTTCAACACTATGCCGATAGCGCATCATACTTTAGGAAATATCCCAAGTGTTTTTTTAACGTACACGACGGACTGTTAAAAAAACTACGTGTTTCTTTGGCAGATTATTTCAAAGGTTTGGAAAAAAGTTCGTGGTGTAACGACATCAGCTGCTGGAAAGATTCCTGCAAATAATAATGCGTCAAAGTTCAAAGATGAATGTCTAAAACCTTACAAGTACGTCAAGTAAAGCTTGCTATAGCAAACTGTTATAACAGTTTGACCATAGGTATTTCTTTTCAAGATTAATCACGTGCATTCGGAAATTGGCATTGGCAATTCGAAGTTTTCCAAATTTTTAAAGAGAAAACCTTGTGTTAATCGCTGTCGAGTATTTCACGAAACTCTTTCTAACTTTCCACAATTTGCAAATGACTAACCGCTATGTAAATTTCGAGTTATTGTAATAATTCATTTCTTTAGAAATGGCTGGCTACGCTACTGCCTGAGATCCGATTTCCTTTCCTAAACACTTTATATGCATACCAGTCACCTTATTCCTCCTCGCTTACTGCCCATTCCTTAGTGTTCACACGTGACAATAATTTCAATGCTTTCCTTAGATACGCGGTAAAGATGCTGATTGCAACGGGCCTTGCCTTTGCAATTGCGGAATGTGTGACCTTTCTTGTATATGCAGGAGCTCTAAGATACGGGGGATATCTGGTCCGTGTTGGCGAAATGACGGTGGAAAGTGTTATGACGTAAAACCGATTTTTTTTTCATTTCAGTGCGTTAAAAATTGGGCTGGCTATTCTAATATTAGCTTTGACATGCAGTAATGTAATATTTATATAAATTACCTAGCGGAAACAATTTTTATTTTATTATAATTGTTTTGTCTTTCCTTCCATTTCGATAGGCAGCGATTTTTTGCCTTTAACCTGAATAATTATTCTTATTATGCGAGCTCGAAATTGAATTTGAACCAATTTGAATATGTTTTTTCGCAAGCGTTTGTTTGGCGAAAGTCTCGTTCAAACGAATCAGGTTATAGGTAAAGTGGAGATGACTAATCTAAGTAAATTCTGAGTTGCAACTTGCAAGTGTCATGTATGTTTTATAGAAATTATTGTCCATAACGACGTTTTTTAGGGTGCTCATGACCGTGTTGTTTGGAGGAGCGGGGTCATCAAACGCACCAGAAGAAAAGTCTAAAACCAAGAAAGAGTCCCCTGAAACTGAAGAATCAGGAGATGTCAAGGCTGACGGAAATGACAATTTGCCTAAAGAAAAAGTTAAACCTGTACGTTGAAAAATTTCTTCCATGTTTTGGATACTTTTTTAATTTGCTTGTACTGCTTATACTGGCCATATGACATAAACCTATCATCTTTATTGCACGTTTAAGGTGACTGTAATAAATGCCCTACGTATAGGTAACATGTAATAAATGCATGATTTGCTGTGAGACTTTCTCACTTTTTACTCATAAAACGAATTCATTTAAAAAATCGATCGAGAGTAGGATGATGTGGACTCTAAGCATTTCTAAAAATATCTGTGTTTTAGAATGACGTAAACGGTGAAATGGAATTTCACGAGGTGGAAATTCATCATCCTGAAAAGAAAAATGTTATTCTAAGTGGATTAAATATTTCGGTCAAGCCATCTGAGACATTGGCTATTGTGGGCACGACAGATTTTAATAGTAACGCCGTCCTTGCACTGGTTGAGAGATTTTATGATCCCAGTTCAGGCTGTGTCGTAAGTAAATTAATTCAAGTCGAGTTCAATGGACAGGTATATTACTGCAAAGTTGAGTGTTCGTGCGCATGCATTCATGTTCACTCAGTGTAAAAGCAATCGTCTTTCGACAATGATCTGGTAATGCACCAGGAAAAGCAAACTAGCTATATCTATCGGGAACAATGACAGAGTTCATAAATTTACAGAGTCCTAACTCAAAATATTTACTTCAAAAAACCACGCGAACCCAAGGAAGAGTCTTTCTGAGAAACTAGGTTCTAAATCAATCTCAATGCCGTGCGGTAATATCGACGCGTAAGGTAAAATTTTCTTGGTTCTGTGTCTCGTATTTTTACCAACCCATATTTTTGCTTTAGACCTTAGATGGCTTAGACATACGTGATATGGACCCGAGATGGTTACGGTCTCAAATAGCATTAGTATCAGAAACCAGCGTGCTCAGTCATCATAGTATCGCCGATAATCTAATGATCGCTGACACTGCAGGATGCTTATCGTACGATTACTTGGAAGATGTTGCTAGAAAAACTCGTCTTCATGAAGACGTTGAGAATTTTCCAACGTTAGTATATTTCAACTCATTGGTGTTCCTTGCAATCTGATTGGTTAAAAATAGTGTGACTAATTCCCAAATTGCACATTTTTGAGCATCAATCACATCATTTATAAGCCAATAAGATTGAAGCTCTGCAGCACAATAACCAATCAGATTTAGTATTTTAGTGTAACTATTCAATCAAATTACAGAGGAAAATAGCACAAAATTTTATTATTTTGAATTTTTAAATGCCCTGCAAAATTTTTTGACAAAAATAGATGAAAATTACTAACATTTTTACGGTAACAACACCGTTTACGGTTCTTTCAGCCAATAAATCGTTCAAAATTTGTTTACTTTTTTGTATGATTTCAAAATGAATATAATGAAATTGCACTTCGTGTCGTGCAATTGTAGTGTGAAATCAAACTTGTAATCGATTACATGCAAATCGATTTTGTAATCACGTGTTTGATTTCACACCAAATTGCACTCCACTCAGTGGGATTACCATTATTAATCATTGGAAAATTATGAAAAAATAAAACTAAACGATCTCGAACAAAATAATTTCCTACACTTATTGGCCTCTAAAACACAGTTTCCTTGTCCGTATTGAAAAATCTTCTAAACCATTTACCATGTGTCAAACCAGATCAAAATACACTGGCAGTCAAAAAGAACTATTTAAATGTTGCTGTTATCGTATGTAACAGGAATCGTGATTCTCTAGTTTATATTTACTCGTATGTATTGTTAGAGGGACAGTTACATTCATTTGAGAGCATTTTAACTTGTTTTGAGCAGTTCTTTTTGACCGCCAGTGTACATGAACCTCGACATTTTGTTACCAGTGAAAAATATCACTGATCTATAATGATGAGTAAAAGAACGGATCGCCATTTTGTTTTTCCAAGCGGGCAACAGATTTTCAATTATTTATTTATGTTTATTTATTATACTGCATGCCCTTGAAATTCGTTTCGAACTTAGATGACAATTCCACACCGCAAGTCGGTCGTTGCAGATTCTTGCCTGGTGCTTACTCTGCTCCGTTTCCTAAACTAACACACAATTAATCAATTTAGTCGTACAATTCACTGGTTGATGACGACATCCTTTTAGACGAGAAAACAAAACAAAAGATTGCTATAACGAGGGCGGTTATTAGAAACCCTCTGATTCTGGTGATTGACGAGTTCTCACAACTCGACGAAGTAAGTGAAAAAAGTTGTTTCAAAATTAAGATGTTAAAAGAATAAATTATTGATATTATTAGTGAAAAGGAAAATATTGCGTAAAGGTTCTCAAATGCCACACAATAACCAAATGACGTATTAGCCATGCATGAATTGCCTCCAGTTACTTGTATATGAAACCGTAATAGGCTGTATGATGCAATTATCTTGTGACCTGACGTAGTTGACTTGTTGTGTCCGGGAACCCGAGGTAAGAGGTTGGAACAATATTTGCCTAGATAGAAAGTGAAATATTTGCAAAAATCTTAAGACATGCCAATGCGGAGGAACTGTAAAGAAAAATAGGCTATTGTCGCGGTCTTTCATTTCAGTTAAATGACTAAAAATGACTGCCATTTAAAGTTTAGCTGCAAAGGATAGTGTTAGCATACAATTATCAACATTTACCTTCATCAAGCAAAATGCCACTCCCCAAAATTATGATTTACCTACTTGTATATCGGAGAAAACATCTATTTAAACCTAAATTGAATGTTAATTACGATACTACATCATCAACTGATTTTATTTTTACGATTAGGAGGTAAAAGAAAGCTTGAAAAATCTTAAATCAGGAAAGACGTGCATAATTTTTGCTCGGCATTTGTCGACAGTCGAAGAAAGCCGACAAGGTCGCGATCGTATGTCATGGAAGAGTTCTTGAACAGGGTACACGAGAGGAATTACTGAGAAGAAAAGGACTTTATTATCATTTGATTAATATTAAGTTACAGTCAAACATCGCACCAGCTTTATAGCGCCAAATTATTTTATATATGAACACGGCGAATGGCTGAAGCGTTACCCATGCAAGAGGAAATGACTTCGCAAATAGGACCGGATCTTTTAATCGACTTTATTCAGTTAAAGTCTGTAAACCTGACAACTGTAGGGACCGGTTGTACTAAGGCTGCATGAATAGCGCTACCACCGGATGATGACTTTTTAACCAGAGACAAAGCGCTTGAAAATAATGAAAATTGTAGATATTTAATTGAAGATTTATTACGCATTAAGAGAAACATAAGCTACTTCAAGAGTAGATGGTGTGCAACTATTTTCGTGGGACTTCTAAAGCCGTGTTTACACTTCAGGCCTAGACCTGGTCTGGACTGGACCAAGTCTAGGACAAGTCTAGGTAATATGTGCCACGTTTACACTGCCTTCCTTGTTGATGATATAGCATAGCCAAAGTAATTGATAAAATACTTAGAAAAAAAGGACCCAAAACACGCCAAAAAGTGGTAATGCTATATGAATCCTATAATACAGATCATATTATTAAGTTCAATACTTGTCAGGACTAAGTAAAGCCTGTTCACATTACCAAAATCTTGCCCCAGGACAGGTCCAGGCCACCTTCTGCTGTATACGTTGGTCTGGATTTTGTGGCCTAGAACACACCACCTATAGGAAGGATCCACGTACCAAAACACGGACAATTTTAAGACAGTGAGAGCTTTACTCGCCTGGATAGCGCTCTATATCCGGCCTTCGTAAAACCAGTCCCATATTTCTACTTCCGAAATTTTGTTGAAGACATAGACGTGGCAGTTGCGGAAGTTACCGAGATTTATAGGGGCTGACAACTAGTCACTTAGCATTCATCTGTTGGTTGAGATAAGTCAAACTTAAGGCCGTTATGCCCACAATGAGAAGGATTGTGTTATATAAGCAATATGACTGAGATATATTGTATATGCACGGGCGTTGCACAACTAAACAATGAAACATTGTGGAACACTGAAACATTGTGGAACAATGAACAATGCTTAATTGTTAGACACTTGACACTAGGAAGCGGTGAATAGTGATTAGTCATATTAGTTGCAGTTAGTGTGAGAGGCAACAGCACGAGCCGGAGGCACAGCTTTTAATACATTTCTATAAAACGAAGAAGTTGTTGTTGTGGTTCTAATCTAGTATACGTTATTGGGTTATTCCCCCTTACGGCCCCGACGATTCCGCTGAAAGATACAAAGAATAGGGGTCGTGTAACAATTGCAAACGGGTTTTATCCCAATTTTAAGAGCAGATTTTTAATAACAAAAGTCACGATTACCTAAAATCTTGTTTACGAAAAATTCAATTAAATCCCTTAGATCACCCAAATATAATTCAATAATTTTAATTATACAGGGTGTCTCAAAAAAAAACCCAACCACTTAAATATGCAGAACATTAATACAGCTCTAAAGCGCAATGGATAAGCACCTCTGGGAATTGAAAATGGCTCTTAGTCCTTCATTTAAAATGCTAAAAGTCATTTTAGCTGAACTATGGTGCAAACCCGAACAATATCAATATTCTTGCATATATTCTTGAGACACTCTGTACAGGGTTTCGAAAAAAACGTCCCCTCAAAAGAAGTCGCTCTTTTGTTGTTGATTCGCCTCCTGTAAATAGAATGATAATAATTGAGGTTTGGGTATTCAAATTAAGCGTCTCGCTTTCAATTTTACACATAAATTATGTGGGTTTAGCATAATAGTAAGTCATTTAAATTCTGACAAAAGCTTGATTTCAAATAGGGAGTGCTTTTTTGATACACCCTGTAGACACAAATCCCTAAAGGTATCCATGGAAGCGCGCAATAAGTCTCCTTTGTTTGCGTACCCGACGTTGTCTATATTTTATGCATGCCGGTATAATGATGACAGTTAAAATGTACGTGATTGGTCGATCTAACGATCTCTGAACGATTTGACACGAACTAGCCAGACCAGATCTGTTTGCAGGCTTGACTGCATGTAAAATCACATTTACATCTCGTTCAGTCGGCATCGTGTCTCTGTATTCGTTTATAATAATATGTCGGGGAATTATAGGAATATAAAGGTAAGTTTAATGTATATTAGTAATATCACTTCTTTCAGTCTTCTGTCAATCAGTGTGCTTACGCTAACGGACGATGCAGTTTCTAATATGACCAGGGAGCAGCGTGCGGTCTTCAAAAAACTTAGCATCAAATGTGCATGGTATAACAACTTCCTAATAATTATAAGCACCACACAACTTTCGTGACCTTGCATGCATGTTATCGCAAAGTAAACACGTTTTGATTTTTAAAAGCTAGAAATATTAGATATATTCATCCCCGGGTCTAAAAAAAGGCTGATTACCTTACTTGAATTGATTACCTTGCGGGTTATCCTATCGGTTGTGCCAAAATCACAATCTCTCCAACGCAATGCAATATGATAAGAGCATATCGCTTCGACGAAAACCTCAAGAATGCTTTTTGATTTTACACACACTATCAGCACTCCTATAAAATATTTCTCCTATTTCACTGTTGGCGTTGGAATGTCGTAGCTTCTTTCATGATGGATTCACCAGTGCTTAAATTTAAAACGATCTAAACCATCCATGGCAATGGTCGCCCAAAAGACGCCCATGCCTAATACGGTATTTAAATGTTATTTAAGGGAGCTCCATTAGGGATAAAGTGAATTACCTTTTATTTTGAAAACACTATACATTTGAATATTGCTGTAATTCAATATTGGAAAGCACCGTGCAGCATTAAAATTTATATTATCAATAAGCACTACAAAATAAATAATTATTAATGTTTTTCATCACACGAATAGTATTTAAAGCAAATAAAAGCAAAAGCATACATACAGTATATATGGCACACGAAGAATTAAGCTATAGCAACTTGAGTGTATCTAAATTCATTTCTAAATTTAATCTCGCACGGCCATTGTTGAGGTACGAAAACATTGTTATCCATCCATGCACTGATATAGCCTTTTGTCGGAGTAGCTTACCTCGATTATGGCGCGCACAAGTTTGACACAATGATAATCATTTTAAATTATTTAGGAAATACAGTATTTAATAATATATAATTATTATTTATAAATAGTTACCATAAAAGTACTTTACTGTGCTACCACGCCACCCGATATCTGCCCTTTCAAACAAATCCTTAAGGCCCTTCTCAAAACACAAAAAAACTAGATATACGACATTAATATCAGTTTTTGGTCAAAAATAAATCTTATCCACAACTGAACAAATCTGCACCTCAATCCGGATATCTTCTTTGAAACCTTGTTCAATATCGTCTAACAATTTATCAAACTTCTCACATTTCAAATCTATTTCGTCAGTTATTGTGTTGGTACCAATCAACTTTACTTCCTCCGGTTGTCTAGGGGCACTTTCCTCTACGTCCTTCCTTTGTCGATCGTTGGGATTTTTTCTAGATAAGAACAGTGAACAAATTGTACTGTATGTATTTAAACATCAGCAATAATAATCTGTTGATAGCTTCAAGATTTAACTATAAACAAATATTTGTTTCCATTGCTTAACAAATGCAACTTAAAAATTTATTCATTTTGATTGCTAAATTTATAAGCAACTTTAAAAGATTTTCAGTTTGTCCATCCAAAAGAAGACAGCAAAAACATTCCAGCTTGTTTCGTGCTGCAGTAGAATTAAAATGTTCAGATACTGCAGTTGCCGAATGGGCAGGAACTGAGGTAAATTAGCACTAATTATATTAAGCCCAGTAAAAACTTTATAAAAAGCCTTTCTCGTACAGAGATGGATAATATATATAATCACAAGCAGTTTTTAATTGACCATTGAAAAAATTCTGCACAAACAGTTTAGCAGACTGTGAAAGAAATGCCTAATTTTGCCCTATATACATTTGCAGTATGGTGTAATGCAAAATATATTTTGTGATATACGATTGCGTGAGATGTCTTTTTAATACCCATTGTCGATATGCAGATATAACCTTTGTTGTCCTACTTGCAGAATTGTTACTCTGCATAAGTTCTCTCTTCAGAATATATACATGCAGATTTCACTGACCTCAAGCTTCCCTTACTGAAATAAAATTGTTTACATGTCGCCTAGCTCCAAAGTTGAGTTTACCTTTTCATTATTTCAACGACTTTAGCCACCACGTAATTAACTAGGTCATACTCATTTTCCCGCTCACAGGTTTCAATTTTTACTTCGGCGAGGGAATCATTGATAATTGCGATAAAATGTTCATTAACACGACCCACAAAAAAAGCAACGAAAGCGAAGAAATAGAACGCTCCAAGGACGGGGCTAACGGATGTTAGCGCTTCGAAATCAAAGTCGCCCAACGACATGCTAAATTGAGTAACCATTGTTCGTACGAATGTGCTGTAATCTTCAAGCTCCGCACCGAATACGCTGAACGCAAGCATACCAAACGCTGTGAAACCGAATGTAAAAGGGATGAGGTAATTTAATATTGGCTTAGTGATGCGGGAAAACGTTGCGCCGAGGGAAAGGAAGTTCCTATTAAACCTCAGAAGGCGCAGGAATCGTAGAATATAGAGAAACACCAGGATACCAAAGATGGACGACATGGCTGCATCTGCCTGGCTTGCGAACTGAAAACCGACGTAATCGTTAGGATTTTCGCGGAGTTGTAGTAAATTTCGATCCACCTCGTACAAACGTGCCAGGAATATAAGTACCAAAGCAAATTCCGAGATTATAAGAATCGTTTCGACCCAGTTCCAAAAACCCTTGAAATAGGCCCATCTTTGCTTATAGAAGAGCTTTCCTTCTCTGTATAGAAAGTACAGCATAAAGAATATGACCAATATGTGAGCAAAGATTTGACCTACATTAAGATGAAGGTAAAATCGCGCACTCTGAATCTGAACCTTGGTTACAACGCCTGAGGAGGACGGGAATTCGATAAAAAGCGATATCACGCTAAACAAATTTGTATTTGCGTTGTAAACCGTGAATTCCACGAAAACGGCTCGCGTTTGCCTCGTGATCCAGTTATTTGAATGCAAGTCAGCAACAACAGTGTATGCGGTCATTTGGTCATAACCAAGATTAGCTGCATAACCACCCCCGCCATAGACGGCAATTTCTCCCCAGTATGGAAAACCTCGCAGCTCCAGCATTGATTGATAGTGCCATCTCTCAAGGCAAGACAAAATTTGCTCGTCTTCCATGAGAGCGTTAGTTTGAACGACGTACGTCTTCGGCCTTTCGCTAGACAAGAGTCGATTCTTCCTTCTTCGATTTCGGCCACTTTGAATTGGATCAATCGCTCTTTTACGGCGGTTAACACCCTCCTCATTTTCCAGTTCTTCTTTTCCCTCCACCATTTTCAACCAGTCTTCTTCGCTCTCAGGGCCCGGAGTTCTTCGACGTTTTCTGTTGGAAAAATCATGTAGCGGCTCCCAACTCGGCTCATATTCTTCTTCGTCTTCGTTTATCACAGAGTACGCAGAGTTGCAGACAGGAATGGTATCTTTGAAATAGCTGGAAACTTTACATGAACCTAGTGAACACGAAAGTGGAATTAAGATTTAAATATGTTTTTAGTTAGAGAATTTGACCGTAGTAAATTCGACCGTAGCGGACAACAAATTCCTTGTGGAAACACATCTTACGTTCGCACCGAATACAAGAGAAACGATTACGAAATTAATTATAGACTTTCTGTAATCAGGGGCAAAATACTGCAATTTCATTGGTTAAGAGGAGTGCGATTAATCATTATAATCGCACCCTTTCATGAGCTTCTATTGTGTTTTAGTACTTTTCTTAAAACAAATTGATTACAGAAAGCATTTAATTAATAAGTAATAGAACGAATTAAGTCGTGCAATCAATGGTAAAATCATACTCGTGATTAACAAATCGTGATTATAACAAATCGTAATTAACAAACTCGTACGATTTTCCCATTAATAGCACTTCTATATATTCGCTCTCGCACTCCTATTAATTACCTGACCATTATTAATAATTTACTGTTTAATAAACATTGGGCTTTTTTCTCGAAAATACATCCAACAAAGTCAAGTCTGATAATACATCCAAAGTCAAGTCTAATAATACTTTTTATAAAAGTCGGTTGGAGTCGAACCAGATTATAGCCGGGGAAAAGGAAAATAGCAAGCACCAACCTTCTTTCACGCGAAGTAACCTCAGACGCGGAACACCGACCAGATAATTCTCAATGTTTGCGAGATAACCTTTTTCAATTATCTTTCCGTTGTACCATTCCGTTGAGTACAATCCAGGGATAAGAGTCTCGCGAGCCCACATCCAAAAAGCATCACCATCAACGATCTACACATCACGTAAAATTTTTTTAAGTACATTTGAGATCACCGATAAATAATTATTATTTTTAATATTGTTGTTACCGCCATAAATAACTGATTCATGCCTTTTTCACGAGTAGAATGGACTCAATTGGGCATGCGCAATGGAAGTTTGAACTATTAATTACGCAGTAAAGAAACAGTCGTGTTTTGTTATGCAGGATGGCGGTGAGCTATATATATAGACGTTTGCTGCGATGGACAAAATATTGAAATATACACATTATGTAGAGAGGGTTGCTAAAATCGTGTTTAAATCCTCTAGATCTTCCAAAATTGTCGCAAAACGTTTAGCTCCCCCCCTCCGTTTCCGACGGGTCTATTGTGATTTGACGTTTGGACTTTCTTCTTAATCTCTGTCTCTCAATGTTCAAGTAGTAAAAAATATTTTTTTAAGAACTATAAATATTAAGATATAGAAGCTATAAGATGCATTTAACCTTTCTTACCCAGCTAAATGGGATTGAAAATGAATCAACGTCGACAAATGTTTGTGACAATGTCTTGGTCAGTAAATATGTATTCGGATCCCTGTGGTATTGAGCCACGTCCAATAAGCAAATCAAAAAAAGGAAGAACACAATAATTTCTTTCAAAGCTGAATTCATCTTCAGCTCTTTAACCCGTTTCGTTCTCGCTCTCTTCAGTCTGGCTGAACCAGGAGGCCTATGAAAAACCAAGAGGTTTTTAGAGGTCGGAATTGGCTATTTCCCTGTAATCATTCTAAATTTAAAACTAGGGATATCCATCAAACATTTGTGAAAAATATCGTTGTGAAAATTTCGCACATTTTGTATAATTAGTATTGCAAACGAAAAAGCGTTATCACTTCTCGAGAACTGCATTTTGCAACGAAACATTTCGATTTTTACTGAATTTTGGATGCTTAATCCCGCTGTACGTCTCAGAACCGATTAATTTTCCTAGTTAAGCATTTAATTCAATAGACAAATGGTCCTTTTGGAACAATTATATTGTGCTTCTCACACACGGTTTTAGCATCTTTACCTTAAATATTTTTTCGATTTTTCCTCATTGGGCATCATATCCTCAGAAACCGGAGATTGTATTTCAGTTCGTTCTTCAAAAGTATTATCCTCTGCAAGCGTGACAGTATAGGACTCACTCTTCGTATGAGCTGGTTTGCGAATGAATGTGGCCAAAACAAGGGAAAGTAGGACCGCTTTGAATGGTTGCAACAACAGGACCGAAGAGAAGAATGATGTTACCATGGCAATTACCCACTCTGTAGACGTTTTCTTCCCCCATTGAATACTGCGAATTGTTATTAAAACAAGATGTTTAGTTTAAAAGTTCACTTGCAATGTTATTGTTATTAGTTAATGACATTTAAAAACTGAATTCAAACAATGACATTTAGCCTTTCATCCGGGCCTTGCATCACACGCATGCATTAAAAAATCTAAATGGAAATGCAATAAAAAGCCTAAACTTAAAGAAGGGTTACAGTCGGTTCTGCTCATAACAATGGGTAGTCTACTTATTTGAAAATTGCTCATATTTCCCATGTTGCGCATATATCTCTGAACATTAACTCTCTCTCTCATATTCATTTAGAAGTATAGCGAAAGTGTAATTCGTCATTTGCATTGCCACTGGTTTAAATATGTCGACCTGACAATTTGTCAGGAAGTTTATATATAATAGGAACAAAAGTGGCCCATGCAATATTAGATACTTGTGGTATTCCACATGTAAAAGTTCTTGCTTCTGACATTATACTACCTTGCTTATTTGAATTCTGGACTAGCACTAGAACCAGGGAAATGTGACATATTATTCCATGATAATGCGTTTTTTAAATTTTTTTTAATCAGCGCAGTCAAAAACCTTCTTGAGATAAAAATATCATTCCGCGTTTAATAGACATTCATCCATATTCTTAGGTTTGGTGAGGGCCAGTGGGTTTGTAATGTTGACTAAGGATGTTTGTGTAGAGTTTTTCCTAAATCCTGCTTGTTATTCCACTTGTATTTGATCAGTTTCAAGATAATTCTAAATGGACACCTAGTTACGCACTTTGGGTCATAATAATTGCCGTTAGTTATTTCGGCAGCATTTGCAAGCTTTGAAGTGGCTGCTTGAAATAATTTATATTTAAAAAGTAATAAAGCAATTCCAGAATGTCCTAAAGTAACATGCTCAGTAACAGCAAGAAACATCCGCATAGGTAATTCTTCTTTCCTAGCGAAAGAAGCGATAAAAGTTTCAAACACTCAGAAAGATACCCCATGCACTAACCTGTAAAGAATTGTAAAGAAAATCGACGCGGTAGATACGACGAAACAAATAGCATAAGCAATATAGATGCACCAGTGTGGAAGCTTCCCCTTTGACGGTTCCTGGATCGAATCTTCAATCTTCACTCCATTTGGATTTTCCGTGTCGTCCTCATCAGAGTTGTTCTTCTTTTTCTTCGAACAGATATTGCGGAAAATCGACACGAGCAAAATGTTTATCGGAATAATAATCACGCTGCTCTGCAGGCCGATCACAAACGGCTGTAAATTGATAACTTGCGTGCCGATATGGATTGAGTATGGACTCGAACCCCGGCCTCCCGTGTCGTAGAACATTGCGCTGGTGATCATCGTACTGCACAACAGGGAAAGAGCGCACGAAAGACGCTGGACGCGTGTGAATTTGCTGGTTGGAGGTCTGGTGAAAATGGACAACCATATATGGCCATCTGATAAACCTTTGACGGCACGGACCGAAAACAGGTGACCGAAGTTTGTCATCTCTTTTTCGTTTGCCACGGGAAGGACCCGACATACTTTACCATCTTCAGATTCCACAGCTAACCAGTTTTCACAAAGGAACGACCATGTTTTCTCAGTTTGTAGATCTCTTACAATCATGCGACTTAAGTACCAAGACGGTGATGATTCTAAGTTAAGAATAAAGTATCAACTTGACGTAAAGTGTGTTTAATTGATATTTTAAACAAGTGGGGATTGAACAGCCTATAAAATAATGAAATATATATATAAATGTTAGTCTGTTAACCGTGGAATAGAAAAGCTATCTGAAGGCATTCTATCATAAAGCATATTGAACAAATTAGGCGCGTAGGTAGTTGGCGAGTCAGCAGGGGCGTAGGAACCATATTTAAGTTGGAGGGGCCATTAACGTCTGGGGCACTTGCTTGATGAAAAGGGCATTTGACATTGGCACGCCTTTATTATTGAAAAAAGTTGAATTATATTACATTGTTGCGTAGACGTTTCCACAAAGAAAAAGGGCACTTTACCTCAGCAAAAGGGCACTTTTTCTGTGATTTTTAAAGTTGGGGGGGCCTTGGCCCCCTTGGCCCCCCCGGTTCCTACGCCCCTGCGAGTAAGTGGGTATAGGTCACTATAGGTAGTTTAATAGGTAGGTTATGAAATATATGGTCGTTGCTATTTACCAGGGCATCCTCAAGAGAATGCAAATGTGTTAAAGGAATGTATTAAAGGAATGTTTTTAGCTTGTTGATTGCGCGTATATAGATCTGATCTGATTAGATTCTGCAACTAAACCATTTTGAAGACTGAAGTACTAAATTTTCAATTAACATTTTCTCGCAAAATAATACACAACCTGTCGGTGTTTTGTCAATTTTTCTTTCAATTTGTTTTTGAAGTGTTTTGTCAATTTTAGGCAGTTGTTATACCACATTTGATGCTAATACTGAACAATTATATAATAACCTTTAAACCTGCAAGCGACGAGCTCTTTTTTTTAAGGAAGCTATATCTCCGAAATTCGCTGAAGATAGCTGTAAGTTATACGTGCTAACAAATTACAGTTGTGTCTATTGTTTTGGGTCTTAATAAATTTAATATAGTAGGGCATCTGGAATCATGTTTTGTATAAGCATTAATTTTTATTATTATTATTACCTGAATTATCATGCCATATTTGGACGAAGCTAAGATCACCAATACCCTGAGGGTATGAAACAACAAACATGTTCTCTTGTTGACGCTCAAAGCAAGGTCTGTGGCAATCGTACAGCCTTGCTGGAATAGTTTCACCTAGATCTCCAGACATTTTAAAAACAACTTTTGCTGTTGTCCCAGAATTTGGTCGGCTACCTGTGTACGTGGTTATGAGGTAATGATAAGATCCTCTCGGTTCCGGCAAAATCGTAGGACCAACCTGCCAATTTTAATTGAATAAAATGAAGCTTAATAAATTCACAAGCAATGGACCACTTGCATAATACACCAACTTTGGACTTACTTCCGCAAAGGGCATACTAAACTTATTTAATTTGGCTGAGAAGATATAGCATTATATATATAATATAGGGCCTAATTCCTGCAAGTGCTTTATGAAAATCAGATTCACGAAAAATTATTGACAAAAGATAACTAGTCATAAATATTCACATTATCTTTCACGGGTTCTACTACAAGCTTCGTATATCGGGTTTCATCTTTCGAAATAAATTTCCTTAACCCGGGAGGTAATTACAATTACTCATCAAATAAAGAGGCACGTCACCGTCGTCACGGTCGAGTATGAGTAAAGAATCAAAACCCGTTTTACCGAATACGTATATCTGAACAGTAGCTATTTTCATTCACTAATTTTTCATGGTACTATTTCCAAAAATCTACTGATCTACACGGTCACACCAGGCCAGGACTAGGCACTTGCAATTTTCGCGCGAGGATATCGCTTGCCTTTTATAAAAATTATTGTCGTGCATGCATGTGTAAGCCGCACTCGATATAACTCGTGCATGGCTAACGATTAAGAACCTACTCACCATCAACGCGTCTTTCTTATCTGCTCGTCTCCCCCAGACAACCCCGATAATATATATGCCCAGAATGGTCGATATTAGCGCCAGAACCGCTACATTGTTGGCAAGGCTGCTAAAGTTGCTGAAGACTGAATCAAATTCGATTGTGTTTGGAGCAACAAGAAATTCACTTCCAAAAGATGTCAGATGATTACATTTACACATAGTTTTCTCTCGGCTAGTACCCAGAACTACCTGCCATCAAGGAAAATAACACATTGGTCAATGATTGGCATTTTTAATGCTGGTTTAACCCGTGAATAATGCACTAGTGTTAACTCGTTTGATTTTTACCCTGGAGTATCTTATGACCATTGCAAACGCATCAAAACAGAATGAAGGAATAGGTAATTCCAGTTCTGAGTTATCACTACATAGTATCTCATTTCAATAATAAAGGATTCATAACAGACGGAAGAAATCAGTACAGAAAATGGCTGCTATAGACAATATTTATCCACAGGCATGCAGACAGGAGAGAATTCAAGTTTAACCGGATTGAATATTGGTAAAAGCCAATGCAAGCTTGTGAAATGGACAACTTTTGTTTTTGCATGACTAGCTATATTTTAATAAATTCATTGTTTATTTTTCGGGAACTTTGTTTATCTGATACAATGAAGAAATCATTTCATACGTAGAGAATGTATTTAATCAACTAATTTCTATAATATTATATTATGTTGTAATATGCCAAAATGCATGTGTGAAGTTTTACACGGCAATCATGCATTGCTTTATTCATTCGGTGGTAATTAGGAATAGACGACACTTCATTAACAAAATCAGTGTCTCCTTTTTTTTTTCATTTCATACAAGCTTTTGCTTTGATTAAAATAGCAGCAACAAAAAAGTCGCTCACCTTGCAACCGTCACCTGTCCAAGTCTCGTTATTCTCGTCCCAGTAGAGACAGCTTGATTCATACATCGTTAGATTGTAGTTGGGAGTTTGATTTGGAAAAAAGTACTTTCCGTCAAACCCTAGGTTTTCTGGTTTTTGAAAACGAACGCCTGTAGGCGGATCAGTGGGTTCAGGTGGTGGGGTAGGTATGACGACACACGAACGACGTACACGTCTTCCTTCCCCTCCGCAAGGAATTGAACGTCGTCGACGAGACTCATCTTTGTCGTCTTCTTCTCTTGTTCGTATATGCTGCACAGCTAAAATGTTTATCCCATATATTATTAGAACAACTTTTCCTATAATATTAAGTAATATCCTCGTGCAACTTATGACGTCCTAGTGGCGAAATTGCGAGAAACAGACTATTTTAAGATCGTATTTCATGGTGCAATTTTCCTAGCTACTTGCAATGCAATCCTACTTTTGAGACGTATAAATGTTGCAACTAGGAGGCTTCTGTGTTTATTAAGCTTCTGTGTGCACATTTTATTTAGAATTCCTCACTAGAATTACATGCACTGTAGGTTGCAAAAAAAGTTGCATCGTCAAGCTATTTTCCTGTTATTATGCATCCTTAATTGATGCTAATTTGAAAAAATGACACGACTGATACCATCATTATCTCGTCGAATATTAAAGATTAGTGTTATTTTGTGAGCCAAATTTTTCGAATCGAATCAAGTTTGAGTGTATACGTACCAAACCAGAATTGCCCAGTGCCATTTAAGTCGACATTAGAGACAAATATTGCATATGGATCTCTTGTACATTTTTTAAGATAGACAGGGATGGTTGTGTTTCCATCGGACTCGAGTTCGTCGTTATTAGAGGAATTTGACGCGCTTTCGTTGCCTGAGAAACAACTGCTCAAGTCTGGCAAATCAAATGAAAACTGATAATCTTTCTCTGCGATGTCTGGTTTCGAGCCTTTCTTTAGATAAACAGAGAAAGGCAGTCCTTGATCCACCGGTCGCATATCAAACGTTATCGACGTGAAAACGCTCGTTCGCTCGAATCTATGATACCTCAAATACTCCTTGGCTTTTGTCGTGGCGTTCTCGTGACTTGGCTTCAAGAAGAACGTGCTTTGCTCAGAAAACAGTTTGGGATCACGTGGTATAGTGATTGCGAAGTCCTCACTAACGTTCGAAGTAGAAATGTTCATGCTTGACTGCACTTTAATATCGACGACGTTTGATGATACAGCTTTACTTGTATTATCCCAGATAAATGGATTCTTGTCAGACACGGCGATCTGTAATTCAAGCGCACTGAATTAGTACCAACCAATGCTAAACTGCGGCTATTCTGTTTCGGGGGATTGTGTTTTGAACACGTAATAGAAATATTTTACCTAAAATACATAATTATTTTGTTTAATATTGCTGCATGAGAAATTCCTGAAGTGTTTGTTACGCTATTTTATAGGTCGCATAGTAGGCGCTGGAGTTTTTAATCGAGTGCTTTGAAAGTCTAATTGCACTTGTAACTGATCACATTGTTGGACAGTAAGATATACGTCGTTATTACATCACCAAAAGGAATGTTACGATGGTTAAAATAAATAAAGGGAAGATTAGGCTTTGTCATATGCCAATCCCGCAGTTTCGCTATTTTTTAATTGAATGGGGCAACAGTACATCTGTTTGGTAAATTTGTTACTTCTAACTCAAATTCACTGGACCTAAACTAAAACTTTTATATTTTCAATTTCAGTTACATGTATGACTAGTTTAGATAATACCTTGATGTCGACAGGCTGCATTTGAAAAATGGTTTTGTTTCGATTTCCAACAACTAAAAGAATGTGAGAATAATGTGATCGTTAGAAGAAAATAATTCTTGAAATATTCTGAGAAAAAACTACTTCCATAGATTAGTATTATCAGCTATAATACTATATATGGTTTTGGAAATACAAAAGGAAAAAGTCCAAATTCATGACCATATTGTTTCCCATTATACTAAAACATCTTACCAGCTTGTATTCCTAGTGCAACAGGTGAAGGAGTTTCGAATTTAGCTCCCTTAACGACATTAGTTTTGTTAGCGAAGCTCTTCGTCATCACTTTTTCTACTTGCACAGACAAGGCATCAAACTCGATTTTAACTGGTGGTTCGTTTCCCACTAAATTGTCCAACAATACTCCCTGAATGTTGTCGATCATTCCAATGGAACGTTTTATTTTATCCTAAGAGATGATAAAATTAGTTATACCTTTTCAGACTGCCGTTAGAAGATGCTAATCTGCTACCAGCATAGAGGGAAGAGAGACAACAACAATACCCAACCCCCGAATTTTGTGCTGAAAAGTGAAAGGTCCAACATCTTTATATAAAATAATCTGCATTTGAAAGACCGTGGCAGCGAGAAGAAATAAATGTGTTCATGAAATATTTGCCAAAAAAACGGCCACCGAGTGTCGACCATCTTGGATTATAACGTCGTCAACTAAAATTGTAATCACATGACTTGATGTTAAGGCCCTGTCACACTGTTGCGTATCACATTAGCGTATGGCAGCGTATGATAAATATCACGCATACGTCGGAATACGCTGAAATATGCTGGTGGTACGTCGTGCGTAAGTTATACACGTTCCAAGCACGGTCACATACCCTGGTATACGCCGAGGAAGAAAATTTTTTTTAAGCATGCTTAAAAATCTTGTGCGTGTTTGGACGTATGGTTTATACGGTAAAGATAAGCTAGTCATACGCTGAATACGGCAGAAGGACGCTAAATGTACTGTACTAATAGGTTGAGTACGCTAATCATACGCAAATAAGTAAGTGTGCCGTACAACTAACGTGTTGATAGCGCATCACTAACGAAGGTCTAACTTATGTTTGACGTATGTTTAACGTCTATAGAGGGCTTAGCGTATGACTGACGATTAAGTAACGCATTTACCGTACAATTAGCGTATAGTTAACGCCTGGTCGTCGTATCCTCAGCGTATTGCAAACGTTACGAGAAAGGGTATATAAATATTATAGCATGTCATTTATTGTGTATAATATATATTTATGTTGGATGCCTTCATATCATCTTGTACCTTCGAGAATAAAGGATGGAGTTAGTTGTTCTTGAATACCAGTTTGATCTCATAGCTTTGACGATTCGTCACATAGAAAATAACAGAAGGAAAAGGAGAAAAAGAAAAAGACGTGAGGTATGGTTGAAATCATGGATGGAAGGCGAAGGCAGTTTGGCATTTACGAACAACTTCTGGTGGAACTCCGAAGCGAGGATACGCGATGTTTCAAGAACTTTAGGCGGATGGTCCCCGAGATGTTTGATGAGCTTCTGGAAAAAGAGTGAGTCCCACGATCACCAAGAAACATACCTGGTATAGGCAACCCCTGGAGCCTGGGCTGAAGCACTCTTTGACTTTGCGACACCTTGCCTCTGGGAGCACGTATTCAGCCATGAAGTACGGATGGAGGGTCCCCCACAACACCCAGTCACTTATTGTCAGAGAGGTTTGCCAAGCCATCATCGACGAATACATGTCCGAAGTAATGACCTGCCCTACCACGCCAGAGGGATGGCGTGCCATATCTGATAAGTTCCTCAAGAGGTGGAACTTCCCCCATACATGTGGTGCTATAGATGGAAAGCACATTGCCTGCAAGTGTCCACCAAAAAGTGGATCCCAATATTTCAACTAAAAGAGATTCTACTCTGTTGTACTCATGGGCCTTGTAGACGCAGATTATAAATTAATTTGGGCAGACCTCGGTGGTAAAGGGTCATCATCGGACGCACAGATCTACAACAACTCTGAAATCAAAGAATTAACAAAAGACGGAACTATAGGATTCCCCGTCCCCGATGCTTTACCAAATGACTATCAGAGTGTCCCCTACTTCTTTGTAGGTGACGATGCCTTTGCCTTCCGAGAGACAATGATGAAGCCATACAGCCGCCGTGATCTACACCATGAAGAGAGGATATTAAACTACAGGATTTCCCGCGCCAGAAGAGTAGTTGAAAACGCTTTCGGCATCCCGACGAATCGTTTGCAGGTTCTGTTAACTACAATGCAGCATCACCCTGCTACAGTGAAGCTCGTCGTTAAAGCTTGTATTGTCCTGCACAATCTCATGAGGATACGCTACCCTGAATTACAGAACCAGCATCTAGACCATGAAGTGAACATGAACAACAACTTCATTCCTGGACCATGGAGACAAGACAGAAATTTTCTCGACACACATACAGTTGTTGGGAGAAACACATCCACCAACAAAGGAAAGGGGCTAAGGAATCTGTTGAAGCACTGGGTCAACTCAGAGGCAGGTGCAGTTCCAATGGCAAGACAGAATGATTTAGATCAAATTATTGTAAACGAAACTAAACCACAACAAAACTTTTTGTAGATGTCGAAACACATGTTAATTATATAGTCACTCCAACATTAATACTGCAAGATTTTAGAATATATACAATGTTGTCCTTTAGACAAGGGTGTAAATGCAGTGTGTATTATAAAATTATGAGAAACAAAAAATGAGAATTTAATTTTGACATGTCGATTATCGTGAGAGTTACTACAGTAACAAAATAGTCAATACTTCTTTCACGTTGGTGGTCGAAGGTTGAGAACCTCATCCTGAAATCCAATATCATCAGTAGATTCCATGATTTCTCGAAATCCTGAAAGACTAGTAATGTTCGGGTGACTTTGCTCAAAGGCTGAGCTTGGACTGTGCGGCGTTGGGCTAGACGTTTCCGTTATTAACTCTGTTGCAGAAGCCAAAGAGGCACGAACCGGGCCAGAGGTAGGAGTGCATTGTTGCTGAGTTTGCTGAAACGGTTGCTGAGCAAGTTGTTGGGAAGGAGGAATCATTTGCTGTTGTTTAGTGGTAGTCTTGTGATGATGTGGATACTGAAATAACCGCTGGTGAAACTGCTGCATGTACTCCATGGGCTGAGAGCCTCTCACCAACGATGCCAGAGGCATGTTTATAGGCATGTTGCTAAGTTTCTGATAATGCTCAGAGAAGGATGGTGCTGATGCTCTAAATGAACAGAAGGGAATACTTGTAGTGGGGTGCAAATCGTGGGGTGGTTGAGAAGGGATCCCTTGTTGGTTTACTTTGATAGATGGAGCCGCCATTGCAGTTGGAAATTCATCATCGCTGTCCTCATCCATGAGTTCAGACAATAACCTATTGATGGAGGACCTTGCCTTCTTGTACTTGACTTGGACATAGTCAAAAGGCTCTCTTAAATAATTTGCAAAGACACTTCGTGCTGTAATGGGCTGTTGTTTGGCTTTGTAGATGTCTTTGAGGATGGTGCTAGACTCAGCAACTCTCTTCTGTAGAGTCTCAAGGACGTCACTCTCTGTGTCCTGAGGTAGCTTGTGGGACCTTCCAGCGGTAGATGATTGTATTGGAGTGACTTCATCTAAGACATCCTGCATATCAGCGCAGGCGCTCTCGGCAGCATTAAGATCTCCTCTGTGAAGCTGGATGGTTTCAAATTACTTGGTCATCATGTTGCTAAGGTAATATGGCTGTCTACTTACACTCTGCATGGGCTCCGGTCGGTGGCGAGTGACAGTCTTCAGGAAGGCAAACTTTGAGAGGATCCACTGTTCTCTCTCAGTCAGGTTTGGAGCACTATCCCCGCTTTTCTTCTTGTCAAGGCACGTATGGGTGTCGCGCAACGATCTGAACCAGCCCTTGAGGATGTCAACAGTCTTGTTCATTTGAAGTGCTTGCTCTTCCTAGATCTTCTCTTTCTTGTCTTTCCGCCTATAATCTGTCATCTTCACATTCCTTCTGTGGCGCTGAGGTTATAGGGGTTTTTCTTCGCCCTCTTCCTCTTATTTTTCTCCTTGCTATCAGCCCGCTGGAAGGAGGTGAAGTCATCAATGGTTTCAGATGATAAAGCCGATGAATTATGGGAGTCGGTTGTGTTGGGGACTTTGAGAGCTCAGGAACTTGTCGCGCATTATTTAAAGATGTCTCAGGAATAAGTGCATCATCATCAGGTAGTTCAACTAAACCTGCAGGTGCACAAACACGTTGTTCGTAAGCTTTGGCAACGGCTGATGATGGAGTCCTCTTTCCTTTTCTTCGTCCGCGGGTAGCCATGATGTCTTCTTATTTGCCATGGTGTCTTCTTCTTTTTTTACTGTAGGTTTGACATTTTCTCGAATGGAGCTGTGTGAAAATACTGCCGCTTATATACGATTAAAGTGGACATGCGCATTCCAAACGCTTCTCGTAAGCTATTCATACGCTGGCATACGCCAGCGACAGGCTACTCATACGATACTCATACGTTTAATAAGTTAATTTTATGCAAAATGTCCTATTTTTACGGACTTTTTCGTGCGTATAAAAATGAATGAAATGATCTTTATACGCGACTCATACGTTCCTATCATACGCAACAGTGTGACAGGGCCTTTAACAACCAATCTTTGAAGTTAAACCTACCGCAGCTTCTGTCCCATTGCTAGAATTGCCGGCTTCCTTTGTCATGCTTGTTGTCATTTGACCTATACCACCGACAAGATTCGAGGCTCCACGCAAGACATTAGAGAATCCTTGATCCGAATCAGATAATCCTCTCAAGTTGCTTGTCAGGGTCTCTGTCATTTGAAGAACAGCACCCTTAGATTTAAAAAAAAATCCCAGTTAAAAATGGGTCGAATAAGGCAACATTTCGATAAGTGATTAGTCATATGTTTTACGTAGAACGCACAGTATGCGCTTCGCTATAAAATATCCTGCGCGGAAATGTGTTTTGTGTTTCAAACAACCCACCTGACTTTGAGGTTCTAATTCCTCCGTATTTTTCGTCAGCGCTAAAACGGCTGCGCTCACTTGCTCTAGTGAAGATGCGTCCTCTGCGGATAGGTTGGCGCTGGCGAGCGACAAGATGACCTGTGTTCTGATCTATAGCAACAAATTATTAATATATGATATATTTAATAAAAAATTCAAGTCAACTGATGCCACCAATGTGCTCTACAGCCATATCTCATATCTGAACTAAAATGCTTATGTTATTGGCTGCATTAATTTACCACAAAGATTCGGTACGAAAAATCGTGGCCAGGAATCATATTATCAGCCTCGTTATGTTGCGTGTGAAGAAAATTAACTCCAAATGCTAATTGCTTACACCTTTTAACAAGTATTGGTGGGTTTCACTAAGCGTTTTCATACAGTGATTTGAGTGGGGGTCAACCACATAATTTGTATGCTACCAAGCGCAAAGTCATTACGGTGAACAATTAACTCACTCTGATTACTGGGTCTCGTTTTCGAGTTGACCCCCACTGGAATTATGACGTCACATGAAACCCAAGAATTTAGCAAAAAGTTGATGTGTATCTTTTAGTCACAGGTTCGTGATTATCTATTGTATTTTAGGAATATCTATTGGGATTGCATATTAGGACTATCTAGGATTATCTATTGCAAATGAACTAGCTATAGTTATTCTTGTCCTACAAATTTATAGAAAAGTACTTCTTCATATAAATTTGAAGGGCTCAAATGCTAGGGGGCTTTTTTAAATTAGATAAGAAGATTAATATAGTATAATTAAGATAATATTTCAACACCATAAATTTTCAATATATCTCCCGAACATGTCGTCAGGGTTACAAGGTTATCATATCATGAGCAAGAATTAAATTTTACAATATTAAGTTCTATATATAAAACTTAACAAATATCAATATAAACTAACGCAAACCATGGCAATATTCTTTTTTCCTGGACGTCCGGTATACATATTAAGCTTCACTTATGCGTAAGACAGGGCTAATTAGTTTGTGTCTTATGTCTTGTTTTCGTCAGTGCACCGTTACGTGTTTTAGAATGTGTTCTTAAACATACTTGTTTTGAAGTATCTTTCTCTTGCGTTGAGCTGCTGTCGTTTGATGTTGTATTTTCTTTTATGTTATTCAGCGTCGACGCGACATTCGAAGCAAGGTTTACCGCAAGAACACTGTCACCAGTCTGAAAAAGTTCTGCCAGGGCATTGCCTTCTCCTGAAACTAAATTTTTCAATTGGTTCAGGTCCAATCTCTCCTTTGGCTGTGGAACAACCTGAATGATAAAGAAAATGTTATAAGGTACTGGCTACATGTATTTAAAGGTGTATTTAAACTTAGAAAGCGACGAACAATGCGTGATATAGCGCGTGATATAATGCGTGATATATGCGTGATATAGCGCGTGATATAGCAACATCCTGAAGGTTTTGTTTAACACGGAAATATTTACCATCATGGAGTCTAACACGGAAATATTTATCATCGAAAAGTACGGTAAAACCTCTTTAGGCGCTGTTGAATTGCAATGCGAGACTTAAAAAGAGATGAACTGACGCTGATCTAATTCTTCAAAATCATACACTAAAATAATGCATTTTTGCAGGTTCATCCCGTACCCCTTATAAAAATTCCACATGGGTTCACATATGTGATTTCATGTGAAATCGTGTGATATCATGTGAAATCATGTGATGTTGTGTGAAGTTTCACATGTGAAAGGATTTCACATGGAATCACATGTGAAATTTCACATTTGAAACGATTTCACATGGGAGCACATGTGAAACTTCACATGTGAAAGGATTTCACATGGGATCACATGTGAATGGTTTCACATGAATGTAAAGTTACCCATCTAAAAGTTGCACATTCCACCTGGAATGATTGGAATCACGTGAAAGGCTTTATCATAAAAGCACATATGAAAGCACGCCCTATAAGGTTGACAAAATTTCATGATATGTGAAACAGGATAAATTTATATGGAGATAAACTGTCGCTTTGTAAAACAATTATTTTAAACGAAGTTATAGGGTTTCCTTTTAACTGCTCGCTTGAACCGGTGATGTTTTGCCTATATTTTATTCGTTCGTCGAAATTTTTCAAACTTGTATGAATACACGCAAACACGAACCTCGCACAAGAAAAAAAAAGCGTGCATGACAAACTCTTGTTTATCTTTACCGCAAACGATTAACTGCTGATGAACGTCATATTTCTTACTCATATTTGATAGCCTTTTTACCTGGATTGTCATATTATCCTTGGTTTGAGCGAAAAATCTGTCCTTGACAGTAATACTGATGTTTAGGTAATAATCGCTCGCTTCATCTCCGGCTGACAACGAAAGCGTTTCCGTGACTTTCCCCCTATTTGGAACTTTTTGAAAGTAGAACACTGTTTTCGCACTTTTCATGATGTGTGAAAATTCAACGGTAATAGGCACATCTTCATCCTCCCAATGTTTACAAGTGACCGTGAAATTTGTTTCCATTGCAACCCCATATAAAGGGGAGATAGAGCATGTGCCTGAAAGTTGATAATTATGATTAACACATGGGAACATGGTTAGTGAGTGCCTTACGCTTTTGCTAAATATGACAATGAAATGACTTCTGCGTGCAAAACAAGTTTACTTCGTACCATTGACTGGCGCCTCGTTAGTAATCAAGGTAAATCTCAGTTCACCAAAAACACCGCTAGGACGGGATGCAATGAATGCCAGAATATACTTCTTTCCAGGATCCAGTGATTTTGGTTTGAGAGCGATTTCCAGTGCATCGATTGGGCTCGTAGTCATCTCTTTAAGTTGGCTTGACGTAAACTCGTGCAGGGAGGATAGATTAAAAGGTTCTGGGGTATTTATATCATCGTATCGATACAATGACCAAGTAAAAGCAAGTTCACCATAGCAACGAGCGTTGCACTTAGCCTTTATGATGAGCTTTTCGTCCCGGTTTGTTTTTGCCAAACAATTCTTAAAGCAGCTGTAAAAAGGCAGGAATATATCATGTATATTTCAGGAACGTTTACAATTGGATTGACACTTTTTCTCATTGAGAAGAGACAAATGATAGGTAATGCCTACAAATTATTTTGTTTAGAACATTGAATTGAAAATCATGCACTGCTCAGATAATGGCTTCTCTACAGTTGTAGGAATCACATAGTACCAGAGCTTTTCTTCGTCGCATTATTTGTTCACATGCATAATATTTTTTAGAAGAACTATAAAAAGCCCTGACTATGATTTTACAACAACATGCCTTCTTTGTGCGTTGTAGAAGCACTCTCTTGCGTTATATATAGTAACAGTTTATTTATTATAATATTTAAATACCTTCCAACCAATCCCGGTGGTTTACCTCTCGCCACATGAAAATAAATATTGGTTAAGTGTCGCCTAACTGCAAAACCTTGATGACTTGTAGAGGCCACGAGTGAAATTATATAGCTAAAAAACACATAAATTTTAATATTCTTCCCAGAATACTCGACTACGACAGATTAAAGAGGTAACTTAGCTAGATGAACCGTCGTCGATTTCTTTTGGCGAGATTAAGAAGTAATCGATAAATGTCAAGGCGGTCAAACAATTTCCAACTCACAGCTATATGATACGCGGAATAATCCCAATCGCTATACAGCTCTGTTACACGGTGCTACTTTTCTTTCAAGACGCAATTAATGCAATTATAATTTTAAGGGATGTTAATTATTTTGTAAACAGTGTTCAAAATGCTCAAAAACGTTATAGATCGTAAGAAATGTTCGTATTTGTCAACTTTAAATGCCTCAAGAGTAGAATTGCATTGAAGATTGCAAGGAAAGATGCACAGTGCAGCAATGCCTGTAAAAAGAATATCACGTCTTTTTCTATCAGTGACAGCTCCGTGTCCGGAATAGCTCACAAACCATTTAGAGATCAGTGTTTTAGTAAATTATCTGAATAATTGAACCGTGGCTTTGACTGGGGATAAAATATGTTTACTTACTATTTGTCTTCAACCATCGTCCCCGTATCGAATTCAACGATCTTATCGGTGCTATTTAATTGACCGGGCCCTGTACCAAAACATCCACCAAGCTGAAATTTAGAAGATTTTGGACGCATAAGAAACTGTTCAGGAGAATGAATTGTATAGGGATAATTTATCTGCGTAGCCCTCTGCTTTATCTGTTTAGCCCGTTTTCCCAGCGCAATGAAGCAATTTTTACCCTGGCCACAATTTTTTTAGAATTTTTAGAGAATTGCTAGTCCGTAACCATATAGATTATTTGTGTTTCTTTTTAACGGTTTTCGCAAGCAGTCGAATTTTATGCATTTCATTTTTGTCGCTATAAAAATGGGTATAATAAAAAAACTCCAAACGGTTGTAAAACGATATTTCACTAGTTCGCTGCACTCGCTCGTATCCTAATTATTTCGACTCTGGATTGTGCATGTGTATGATATAAGAAAAAAACTGTTATATGCTCAAAAACAGCTACATAAGCCATTTTAGCATCTCAATCAACTCATGCACATGACTCACGTCGTCAACTGGGTAAGCGGCAGGAGCGGTGACCAAGCTCAAGTTAGCTACGTCAGACAACTGGAATTCAGGTCCTCCAACATCTCTGCAGTACCAGGCAAAGCTCATTGCATCTGTGTTATTAAAATCAGGATCCACTGATGCCGATGCGTTTAAAAATCCCTATATTAGGTGAAAAAAAGAAAGTCGGTTCGATTGTCGAAAAGTTATGCTCAAATTATTTTTACCTTTGTTACTTAACTAATTTTTGCATGATCGCCCCAATTTTTACATCCTGCATTTTTTTTTTGACTCCGTCTAACATCGCCAAAGCAATAACAAAATATTTGACAACCTAAACTATTTTCTTACCCGCTCCTGGAAAGGCACAGTGTAAAACGATCCGGTCGTTGCACCTGCAATGATCCAAGGAGTCTGGATGATCTGAACGTATAGCGTACCAATTCCAAAAACGTATGGTATATCCTGCATTTCCACACGACCACTTATTTCGTAGTATCCGAACGGTAAGCCTCTTTCAGGTATAGAAAGGTCAGGTGAAATGATGTCAGCGAGGTATACAGTCTTTCCTAAGTCGGATTTCCTTATCAATGGGTTTGTGTTTAAAATGACTGGATCGTCGAGAATTCTATAGACAGTCCAAGAAACTTTAACAAGGTTTGTTGGTTCGCAGTAGATTTCATTTTCGGTCGACAGAAAAATCAGCTTAGAACGGAACACTTGTGGCGCTTGTAACAGATTTGATGTGTTCAGTGGTAGACCTGTTATAAAATAGAATGGCGCACGAATTGTCATTTCTATTTATGAGCAACTTCATTTACATTTCTGTAAACACAAATTGATCCACAATGGGGTGCAGTTAACAGTTTTTTTGGTCAACAATTTTATTGCCAGAGCTGTGAAACCGCAAGAGAAAGGTAAACAGCTGAAATAGAAACTTTTAGGACGCCTTGTTATAAACACCAAACAAACACACAAATTCTAATTGCTACATTACCTATTATTGTCACATTTGGATATTTACACACGAAAGGAATAACCACTGCAATCAAGCTTTCCGTGACATTGGCTAGAAGATTTGCAGCGCTCATCTTCACGTCGTATGTACCAACCCCCGGGTATTCATGCGTAATCGTGATCGTTGACGTAGTTGGATCTTTTGAGGAAAACCGTAATGGCGGATCTTCGACGATTTTTGGGTTGATTTTGGAAACATCAAACTTATTTTTGCACGAGGCATCGCCAAACACAAGCAGAGAACTGTTATCGCCAAGATCCATTACGACGCAAGTGCCTTGGCCAAATTTCTTAAATGATATCGTGAACGTCATAGTTTGATTTGGCTTCAAAGGACCGTCATATGTCAAACTGGTGAAAATAAGGCTTTCTTTAAGGTCAATGGTCTTATCGTCGTGATCTGTACTAATATTGTTCGTTAAACTCAGGTTGATGACACATGTCTGAGATGTATCATTTGGGAAAGTTTTATCAAAGGAAAGTTTGCTTTCGTCACTTATTGTTGGACTCACGCTGCAGCTGAATGTCCATTTTATAATACTAGCTGGTCCTCCATCGAAAGTGGCACTCATCTTTACCGGGTGCTCCGTTGGAAATACGTTTCTTTGGCTGCCTGTCCCGTCAACACCAATACCCCAGGTGGCAATGCTAGTTTTTGTGGAAATACGGACATTTTTTATGATCTTCAATACTTCAACGCTCAAATTCACGGTTTCGTTCGAAACGCTGTTGTAGGCATAAATGCGGAAGTCGACAAGCCCATCAGGATCAAATCGAGCAGGATCGGTTACGAGGCAGTTGCACTGACTGGTGTTACCACCAAGATGGTTTGTTGCGCTTCGGTTACAACATATATTCTCGTTATAATACACCTCAACTGTAACGTAGCTCCCTTGATCCATTTCCCAAACAACCGAGATATTTCCGCCGAATCTATGCGCTGGTATAGGCGTCACGGAAAAGTTAGCAATAGGCCATATAACCTCTGTTGGAAGGAATCGATAGAATTAAAATCATCAACTTGGTTGGACAAAACAATTTATAATGGCAATTAAAAGCAATTATTACACATACCAAATTCACAAATATTTCCCCAGAAGTCTATCGTACATGTACAGTTGAATATATTGACGAAATCGTTGCATGCTCCATTGTTAAGGCACGGGTAAGATAGGCACTCGTCGATGTCTATAAAAAATCAATGTGATAAATAAAAATGAGCCGTTTTTACTTTCACTTGCACGCTCAAAAATAATGAGTTCATAACCTTCTGAAAAACAATTTTAATTTTAGCTCAGACTGTTACCTGTCTCACACAGCTTTCCCGTGTATCCTGCAGGGCACGTACAGTTGAATGAGTTGAAGAAATCGAACTGATCATTGCAAGTTGCATTATTTCGACATGGTGAAGGATCACATACATCAGCGTCTTTAGAGGGGGAAATACGTTGATATTAACAATATTGTCGTTAATTTATTTGATTTCCAGCAAGAATAGTTGTATTTTGAAAGAGTTGCGAAAGTGTTTGGCTAGTGGTTTCGTTATTGCTTGATACACCCGTGGAATTTGCAATAGGGAGGTCAAGAAGGGCAATGGGTGCAAGAAGAATCCAGAAGGGGAAAAAAGTGGCCCAATTCCGGCTAAATTCTGATGATCAACAGGTTTCAACTAATGGATTATAAACCGGATATTAAAAATAAATAAAAAAAACAGGCTGGCCTTCAGAAAGGTCAGTAAATTCTGGATAACGACAACCAACATCACTGTACCTTCGTAACAGCCAACAAATTCAATCCTCAAAGCGCAAGCTCCATGGCACAATAGTGGGTGAATACGAATAATCTGAAGGTGAATGACTGGTGATAATGTATGATTGATAACTGTATTTCTATCAAAATTTCCTTTGAATAGCTGAAAAAGAAGAAAGAACTATGGTATGGTAGAGGAATTACAAACAGTGATTTTTGAACCACGGTAAAGAAAAAAATTGAGTGTTTTAAAAATTACGCAACGATCATGGCTCTTTTTTATTGGAGAATACTTGGAGGGGTGCAACCTTGGTACGAGGTTGGGATGGGGGATGAACAAAATGGTTATAAAAATTGACGATTCAAAGATGCGGGATTGAAAGCGATGAATCCAGGGCCGTAACTAGAACGATAATTGGGGGGGGGTGTTTATTCATATATTCAGTCTTGCCCGACGGATTTCTATTGTAAGCTATTGCACTTACAAAAGAAACCCGTTGGGCAGAACTGAATATATGAATAAACACCCCCCCCCCCAATTATCGTTCTAGTTACGGCACTGGATGAATCGCATACCAGACGAAACACCGACGACATCATGAATTTTATTCTAATGTATAGCTTTGTTTCGTCATGCGTGAACATATTTCTTTCATTCTTTGCCCTTAGGAGACCTTTGCTTTCCCTTCTCAACTCTATATTTCTATTTGTTTTCTGAAACTTCCGCTGGTAATCAATGATAATAAAGATTTACCTTGCTTCGTATGCCATCGCCCATATCATACATACGAGATAGGCCGGTTTCATTTTTGTATGTGACATTGTACAGTTTTACCCATTGATCGCGGTCTTCCCTACCCTGAGTCATTATTTCCCTAACGGTCGTGTTATATACGAAATCCACCTCGAACCACATGTCCAGATCTTGTGCCATCGCTATCCAAGCACCATGATGTGAGAATATTGTGGCGTTTGCTCTGCCGTTTGCAGCTGCACAACGTCCGACAAACTTTGCATCATCGCACTCTGACGATGCCGTAATCTGGTTGTCCTTGATTTGTTTGTTTTCCATGCCAAGTGGAATTGGATTCAAGCAACGTAAAGGAGTGACTAAAAAAAAGTTTTTTGTTATTTTTTCATGTTATAACAATAATTTATTTTGTATGTTCATATAATGTAATCAATCATTTCATTTAATGCACACATTTATAAGCTATCCTACATACCGGGGCAGCTATTTTTAGCGTATACAAGATATACTGTAGCGCGCGGTCAAGATAGAAGGGAACTGGGGAGAATTTTTGTCATATTTGCTCTAATTTAAAACTAAAACTTTTGATTTGTATTAGATATTATTTGTTTTTTCATGATGCTTTTTAAAATTCTGTTTTCTGATTGGTTGGCAAATGCGGACCACGCTCCGTCGTCCGTAGAAACATATCTGGACTATTGTCTACAGGGTGTCCCAAAAAAAACGAAAACTATTGAAATCACTCATTGTTAAAATTTGAATGCCGTGTTCACGAATTTCAGCCCGTGGGGATTTAATGCAACTTATGAAATGCTAAATGCTTTGTGTTGCTAGGGAGAGGGGGCATGTCGAAGGTCATGGTCCTTGAGATGCACATTTTAATAATGTTATCAATATTTGTAAATTGTAAATGTTGTTGATAAATATCATTTTTGCGAACAAGCAAATTTTACAGCATCATGCATATGCATGCATAAAAATGCTTATGGCAACCCCAATTTATACACTTGTGGGCCCAACAGAGTGCTTAGGCATTCAAACTCTAACAATTGCATTGTTATGGGTGATTTCAATAGTTTTCGTTTTTTTTGGGACACCCTGTATATTGTCATAGCCGGTGTATCATAGCCGGTGTTAGGATGTGATCTATCAAGCTATAATTAAGTTCTGATAGGAAAGACAGTTGCGCTTCAAAATCGAGAGCGTTAAAAACAGCAGCAACTCCTCTTCCTTTATAATTTTAAGTGGCAAAAGATTGTTTAAAAAGAAACATAAGCTGTTCTATAGTTAAAATCCTAAAAGTCAATTCCATTAGTTAAAAATGGAGAAAAAGTAAATGTAATAAATATAATGATTTTCACTCATCGCTTCGAGTGTGACCGTGTTGGAAATTTTGACGAAAAGATTGGACAAATGCTTGTTCATAGAATATTCACAATCTTAGGACGTTTTCGGGAATGACGCTATGTATATAGAGTCCATACCTTGGTAGCAGCCGAGAAACTCCACCCTCAGGGAACAATTCATAAAGCATAATTTAGGATGAATACGAATAAAACGCGTAAAAAGACGAGGTGTTAAGGTGTTCTTCACCACCGTGTCTCTGTCTGAGTTTCCAGTAAATTCCTGGAAAATGTAGCATACGAAATATTTCAGCGGGAAAGACGATTGGGAATTCACCTCGAAAGGCAATGATAAACGGGCTAAGGATGCCGCAGAAAGATGTAGGAACTACTCATTTAGACACTGCGTTTGTTATAATCGCAGTTAATATTTATAATGGGACCGGAATTGAGAGATCGAAAGTTGAAATACACTTGGAACCAACCTTAATGACGCCGCCTTGAGTGTAATCTTGAAAACTATTCCCATCGTTACTGTATGAAACTTGATACGTTTCAACCCAATGACTATAGTTATCTCTTCCCTGAGTCAATATTGAAGCGACTGTGGCGTTGACTAAGAAATCGACCTGCATAGTTTAAGATACCACTCATGACAATTTGAAATGAATATATATAATATTATTATATAGCGATACTGAAGTTGCTTTTCACGGAAACATTCATGACCGCCATTAATTGAAAATTTGGTTGTATATTTAATACCTAATACTTAAATACCTAATACTGTATTTTATATAATTCATCATAGCGTGCTTTATAGAGTCATGATAATATTATTAATTGTCTACAAATTAAACTTTTTTGCTGGGTTTGAACTCAGTCTAACTGTATGATGCTGCAAACCTGCTGTGATCTTGCATTCTTTGTGTCAGTTTTAAATATTTATTAATCCAATTTCCAACCGTTTTATGCAGTGTTATATGCATGTGTTTATTGCCAATTTAGCACGCCAAAAAATGATTTTAAAAATGTGCAGTTTAGTTGACTTGGTAACGCATATTTGGAGAAGCACGCAGCGAAAGACTGTAAAAGGTTTTTTCCTTTAATTTTAACTATTTTGCCATCAGTGAATTTGAGTACGTCATGTAACCTTATACCTGGAACCATTGATTACCGTCGTTCACCCCAGCAACCCAGCCACCACTCTTACGAATAGCCACGCTGTGCAGTCTCGCAGCCAATGGAACAGCCTCGCTGTCGTACATTGTGGAAGCAGTGAGTTGGGTATCCTTGATCTGACCACCGGACATTCCTAGAGGTCTTACATCAGTACATTCTAAAATGATCGTTTTTTATCAAAGCATTTTTGATCAGAAAACTCAAACAAATAAATTACGCAATCTATTAATGACTGGGTAAGAAAAAAGTACCATTAGCTGCAAAAACCGCTGTTACATTTTATGAGGAACATAATGCATGAAAATCGCAAAAAAATATGACGCACTATTTTGAAACCAGTCTAATTGACTTTAGCATGTACGTCCATAACGGTTAAACACGACGCATTGACTTTAGCATGTACGTCCATAACGGTTATACTAAAACTTTGTATCTTCTCTTTTCTTTCATGTTATCGTCTGTAAATAGTTATTTTTTACTTTCTTTTTGCATGTATATCGACGCCCCTCATGGAAACCAGTAAATGTTGATGAGGCTAGCGTCGATCAAGTTTTTAAATAAAGGTTACATACATACATACATACACGACCATGTGAAAACTTTCCTTGTCTTAATTTTCGGTTTATGTCTCTTAATTCCAACTAAAAACCGGAGGGTACGACTATCTAATAAGATGACAAAAATGTATTCACCGTACCTATCTCACACAGCTTGCCCGTGTATCCGTCTAAGCAGGTGCAGTTAAAGAAGTTGTATGTAGTGAAATAGTCATTGCAAGTCCCATTGTTTTTGCAGGGAGAGGAATCACAAATATCGATATCTACAACGTATTGAAGCAAAAAATATCATTATTCTCATACAATTTAAATTAATTTGCTCATTGCATGTAGACAATACCTTCATAACAGCCCAACAGCTCTAGTCTCATTGCAGGACGCGTACCATTCCAGGTCACCGGGAAAATGCGAATAGCATCTGTCACGAAAACTAGGGGAAACATATGTTCTACTGTAGTGTTGGTGTCCACATTCCCGGAAAATATCTAAAAAACAAAGGAGCATCGATCTATCTTTATAGTTCTCAACCATATCGCCTGCATGACGGAAAAAGAATATGGAGTTTGTATATCATTCAGAGCATATCCACATTTGCTTGAAATATACATTTGGCAAATGAGGGAATACACATTTCGCTGAAAATGAAGTGAGTTAAATGTATTACTAAATAAAAATCAAGATCGAATCGCGGTTTTTATTCAGTGATAATACTCTCCGAGTATACATGTATTATCATTATAAGGTGATTATTCGAGAAAACCAATTAATCTTCGATCGAAGATTTCGAAGTCGAAAATTCAAACTCATCCATCTCTTAGTTGGTTATATTTTGCGTCAAGTAGACTCACTCGATGAGTGTCGTGTTTAACGGTTGGCATCTTTTACAACCGCCAAATAAGTACGACTCTTCATTTCCGGATTACTTGTTGTCTCTGACAGATACGTTTTTTGATTGATTTATTTGATTGCATTACTTCTTATGTGCATTTATAAAACACGAATATACATAAATAGCTGCGAAAGGCGAGACCAAAGTGCAATAGGGGAAACTATTATTAGAGATTTCACTTATTAATAATGTCTCCGAGTAATTACCTTCTCAATGCTATTTTGCTGATAGGGATTAAACGGGTTATCCCCAGTCTTCAGGGCAACCTTGAAACTGGTCACAAAGTTATCTTCCTCAAACGCTCCTTGCATGATGATACCGGCCAGCATAGTTTTGCCTAAAAAGTCAACCGTAACAAACTTCGACGTGTCCGAGTCATGTGGCATCCAGCTAGCACGAGAATGCAGTCTTCCAAAGAACGGTGCGGTAGTAAATTTCCAAGAACTTGATCCACTTATTTGGTAATCCTTAATATGTTCAGCTTCCATCCCCAAGGGCTTAGGATACATACAACCTAGAATACGAACGAGCCGATAAAATCCGTTTAAAGATACTGCAAGGAAATACATTGCAATTAGAGAATATCCAGTCTCAGTTTTAACAGAAAAGGTTTGCTAGTTGAAATAGAGGCAAGCTTTCTTATAAGTATATTTTCGGTCAAACAATAGACTTGATAATTCAAGGCTTTATTTATAGGCGCAAGTTGAAAGTTGGCACAAAATAGAGCTGCATGTCTGGTCTGTTTTTTGATACCATAACTAAAAAGGAGTAAAATACTTTAGATAATCAGTATTAAAATGGACTTCAATGTTAGAAAAACAGTTAAAAAATGGACTGCATAATATGGTCTAAGCGCACATTTCAAATTCCTGTCTTAATAAGTATATAGTTGATTTTCTGATCTTGCGTTTTTCAAATTAATTTATATTATTGTGAAATCTGGCTGAGGCTTCATAAACAAGCAAGATTTTTTAAAGAACCCTCCTATAAAATTTCTGTTTCAAGAACAAACTCTTACCAAAGTTACAGCCGGCGAACTCCAACCGGAGTCCAACATACGTATACCACTTTTTAGGATGGATACGAATTCGGTAAGAAAAAATAACACGAGTTAAAACATGTCGTACAACGGTGTTTGAATCCCAATTGCCGGAAAACACCTTAAACAAAAAGAAGTAATGTTATTAATTAATATCCTCATGGCTAGATTTGCATGTGAACAAAATATAATTATGGATATTAGCAGGGCACGAAGAAATGTTGTTTTGAAGCGGTTCTTGCTTCCTCTCATTTTGCTCTATTCGGTTTAGTTTTGCGTAATTTGCTTCGATGCGAATTAGAAAAACTAAATCGAAACGGGCCTTTCCCCTTCCTATCAACATTAAAATGCAGGCCAGCAAGGAACCACACGTGATGAACTGCAGGCAAGTTCTGTGATCACCTACTTTATGTATAGATTCATTTCAAGTGAACTACATGCACTTTTTTCTCTATCAAGTAGTGCATTTTGATTGCTCTTTATTTCGGAGAAACACATGTTGTCAGAGCAATTGTATTAAGGTTACTACTTCTGACCTAGTACAATAATAACAAGTGAGAAAATTTTGCTCTCATACCTTCACTTTATCGTTTTCGAGATAGTTTTGAAAGGTTTTCCCATCACTTGAGAATGAGACTGTATAGTTGTGTACCCAATATGAGTTACTCTGTAGCCCTTGCGATAAAATTTCTTGTACCTTAGTCCCCATCATGAAATTAACTTCCAACCAGGGACTTTGATCTGATGAAAGCGCCATCCAACCAGATGTAGCGTGATTTAACCTGGCGTAAAAGGCCTCGTAGCCTGTATAATACGACGAAGAATTGAATTGCGTATCTGCGATAACTTTGTTCGCTAATCCAAGATGAACGGGATTTTGGCAGCCTGCAAACCCACAGCAAACAGTTACATGCAGAACACTTCATACGTTAGTTTACATGATTCCATAGCAAATCAAGCTATATTCATAAACAAATGTTGATTTCGGGTATGCTACTCAGAAAGGAACCAATGCTTTCGAAAGTGAAAATGCAACAATTACGGCTAAAGCTCCATGCTAACTGAGCTATACAGTTTAAATACTCTGAGAGATTCCGTACGTATTCTATCAAAGGTTTCACATGCCGGCAAAAATACCACTTTTTGCATCGGAATCAAACCGACCGACGAGTTTTTCTTTGTTAGGAGTAGAATTGGTTTGGCTAAAGCTCCACTAGCTAGGCTATATAGAGTTAATTCGATGTGAAAATGTTGATTTTGGATTAGATTCTATCATCGGCCGGTTTTGCGCAATAAAGCCGGTTTATGCTTGTGCAATGTTGTTTTCACTCAAGAGTATATATACGTATATAACATTAAAACTTGGGCTTAAAATGTCTGCAAATATAAATTGAAGTATATTAACAGTACCGCCCGCTAGTCATCCTCTATAACGATACACGGGTGTATAAAACAAGTACCCCTGACGGCTGCCAGAAGTAATGCCTAAATAGCCGCGATGTCCTTTCCGATTTATTCGCGCGACGCGAAGCGATATTTGAAATCCGAAGCTGTGATTGTTTTGGTAAAAAATTCACGAAAAAGTAGAATCGCTTCCTACTTTTTATCTGTTATCGCTCGTGCATGGGAAACGCGCTTAAATGTTTGTTATTGTGATAATTCTGATGTTAAGATCAAAACACCTAATGGCGGGAAAAAATCATGCATAACATGCTTTACCTGTATAACATCCGTGAAACTCAGCACGCAAAGCACAAGCCCCGGAGCACTGTTTCGGATGAAGACGAACATATCGAGCAAATATTGGTGGGTCGATATAGTGCTTCACAGTTGTATTACTATCGTAGTTTGCTGAGAAAACCTTTTTGCAGATAAAGTAGAAAACAATCTTTAGCATTGTAGACACTGCCAGCCTGGGGCCGGTTGTTCGAAAGGCGTTTAGCTTAAACGGTGGATAAGTTCAAAATGGAAAGCAAAACTATTTATTTATTGAACAACTGAGCTGAAATATTTCGATGTAAATAGCTTAATTGTCAATGGAAGTACACATTTGATGCATAAGATGCAGATTTAGTCATTAACAAGATCTATGAGAGTATTTTTAAACTTTGGCTTATCCACCGTTTAGGCTAAACGCCTTTCCAACAACCGGCCCCAGTTAAATACTCAATTAATACTCAGTTAAATACTTGAGTAGCGCTCAATGATTATTGTTTATTCTAATTCGTCGAACCTCATTGACTGAGGTAGTTGTAGTTACACTCCTACCTTAACGTTTCCATCTTCTTTGTACGTTTCATAGTTTATCCCATCAATACTATGCATGACATTGTAACTAGTAACCCATTCAGCGGCATCAAATCGACCCTGTGTTGTGATTCCTCTCAAGGTTACGTTCGATTTAAAATCCACCCTTAACCATGGATATCTATCATCAGCGGAAGCAATCCACGCGCCATCTCTTTCGCCGTCTATTGGCTCCAATCTCAGCCGGGCATTTCTAGCCCGTGACGTTTGACTTTTCTCTGATGACGACGATAACTGAGGGTTCACGATCAAGTTACTTTCCAGACCAAGTGGAATTGGGTCGATACAGTCATATTCTAAGCAGAATAAGTTTGGATGTATTTGGAGGGAATAATGCACGCATTAAAAAGCAGCGTATAATATAATATCTAACATGCCTAAAATGTTAAGCAATTTGTCATTTTCATTCTCGCCAATCACTTGTTCGAAGAACGAGACACATGACAGCCCGCCATACTGCATGTTTACTTAATATTAATCATGTTTGAATTAGTGATAACAGTAGATATTATATAATACTCATGAACTTAATTAGAACGTTTAATTCGTTGATGACTGTCACGTGATATTAAATAGAATGTCCCATTCCCAACAGTGCAATGGAATTGTGAAAAGAAAATGTGATCTAATGCAAACATTACTATCCAAAGTTCAAAATGGCGGTTGCTTGTAGTAAGCCTTTTATTTTAGTCAATGAAGACAACATTTCTCAACTTATTGAAGATCCAGACGGTGAAAATACGAAAAGACACACAAAATACGACGTTTCCCGTATAACTTAATTGTTTGCTGTATGGTGGTTGTGTATTTAAATTTGATCCATAACGTTCGGTTAAGTAAAAAGTTACTTTTGAAAAGTGACAGTCTATTTTGGTATTATAAAAAACAACTAATGAATGTTTTAATTCGTGCAATGCATTCGTGTATTTGTATACCAGTGAACTCTAATGATGCCAGAATTATCAATAATTTAATTTGTAATTATACTAATTATTGAGTGATATTGACGGCCTATACTTGACGGCTGTAATCACATTGCATATCAGTTTCTTATAGAAAACAAACATACAGGTAATATCAGCCAGTCGTACTCTAACCGTTTCATTTTATAATGAAAATGCGTCAGACAAACTTTTCCATATTCTCTCTTTAGACAGAACGTAGGCTGTTCATGTTCTGATAAACCACACTTAATTTTTCACCAAAATAAAAAGCCTGTCTTCATATACTCAAATTGGAATTAATATTATCATCTTTAATCTTTTTTTACAATTCCCTAAGATCGATTTCTAGAGGTCCTTATTTAGAAAGGTCTAGTTTTATTAATTGTGTCACCAATTTGAGGCATCCATATAACTTACCCAAATATGACCCGTTGAATTCGATTCTGAGTGCCACGTTAGTATACCATGCCGTTGGTTTCACGCGAATGTAGCGTGCAAAAATTAAATGTAACAGCCGCTGTTTGCTCAGCCGTGCATTATGGTTGTTTCCGACAAATACCTTGAGGTAAACAGTTATAAAAAGGTGTTATAATAATTATACATAATGTAGCAATTATAAGGAGGTGAATAAAAATCACAGCACTATTATAATTTTTATAAGAATCACAACACTTCAATTATAATTATAATAAGAATCACAGCACTATTATAATTTTTTAGTCGATGTCCAAGCCAGAGTTCAACCGATTACAAGGTAAAACTTTAAAAATTAAAAGAAAACAATGGAATACTTTCATAAAAGATCTAAATGCACATGATGTCATGTGAAAATGATCATTAATATAATCTGAAACCAATGCGTCGCAAGAAAAATCCCCATGCACGGGACGCGCGGGTTGCATATTTTGGTACCAACAATTACGTTTCGACTTTCACCTCTTTTGGGAAATAATTATTATACTGTATCTTACCTTGGCCTTTCCAAATTCGAGATAGTCTTGAAAGTTTGTACCATCGTTGCTAAATGACACCAGAAACTTTGTTATCCAACTATCTGCGTCACGCAACCCCAACGTAAAAATTGATGTGACTTTCGCAAATGTTTCAAAATCAACCTGAAACCACTGATCGGCATCAGCAAGTGGCCGCCATCCTGCCCAAGTCACGCTGGAAGCTGAGTCATAATTTAGCCGGCCGAAGCCTGGAAGATATGACGAACTGTGTACGGAGGATGCTGAAATTTGACCATCCAAGATACGACCGCTTCCCATACCAAGGGTGGTCGAATTGTTGTCGTCTGCAATAAAGTAAATGGTTAATAAGTGCATCGTGTGTTTTGCATGAATAGTTTTATAGGAATAACAGGGGAGCCCATTATATAACATTTACGAATCATGAAAACAATTAGATGTTTAAAATAATTCATTTGTATAACGTTCCTTCTTTACTGAACTTAAGACATCTTCAGACTAAATTATATATTACCACATCACGCTCACATATTTGACGAATACCTCTGAACTCAAACCACCTATATATATTCGCACAGTTTCAAAGAAAATTTCCTATATATATTCACACAGTTTCAAAGAAAAATCCTTGCGATTTTTGCTTAACTATCTATATATATGCACAAAAATTGTCAATAATTGTTTATTTTTCAAAATTGTGTTTTTTACGATATAAATCATTTAAATAATCACCAGTAATGACAGCTTTGCGTATACTTAATTTTAGAGAATCTATATTACTTTAATACTATCAGTTTCAGAACACCACACCTTCATATCGACCATAAAATTCAACTCTCAAAGCACAAGATCCAACCCAAATTTTTGGAATGATTCGAAGAAAACGAGCAATGATGTATGGATATAAATCTTGTCTTACTGTGTTGCTGACATCATAATTTGCGGAAAACAGCTTAACGTAAAGGAAATGAATAGAATGATTAAAATTATGACCGAGGGGAAATATTTTTCTATCTAGACCGAACAAAACGGTAAATAACGTATTTAGTTTTTTAAAAAAAGCGGCGTTCGAGTGTTGTGGTGAAAGAATTTTTCGATTTTATCCCGAATGAAAAAATTTTAGAGCTGTTTGAATCGATATATTTGAATTGAAGGCCGCCGTAACAGAACACTGGAACTTGCAATTTTCGTGACGTTACGCAAGTGAGTCGCTGCAAACTTAAGGCTAGTTTCCACTCAGGAAAATTCTCCTTTGGTTCGGAACGAACAGGAACTTTGTCGGTGAGTTCTCAGGTGGCGTTTATACAAAGGAAACTTTCCTTTCCTGTCCGATCCAAAGGAGAATTTTCCTGAGTGGAAACTAGCCTTTACAGTGTATTTCCCAGCCCATTCTAGAATATTGTCGACTGCAGGATCCCATTTTTATACTAGCTTTCAGGGTTAGGGTTAAATTTTATACCTTGCACCGGCGAAGACAAAGGCGTTTTGAAGTGCGCATGCTAGGATGGCTTGATGACGCGGACCAGCATTATACCCGGTTTTGTATGTTGTGAAAAACCTCTATAGATAACGGTCAGAAATGGTCAAAAACCTATCAAAAGGCACAGAGCGAACTCAACAAACGCGTATGTTTGAAATATTGGTAGACGAGTAATATATAGGGACCTAGCGTATGGGAAGTCATCATGCACAGGTGCGACCTGTAGTCAAATGTCGGCACATACCGATTTTGTATTACACTGATTTTGACTGCGATGTGTTGACTTTTGTCCTTATATATAGGTGAAAGTGCGGAACCGATCAGTCTCGTCACAAAGCGAAATGTCTGTTTCATGGTTTTTCAGATAGATACAGTAAACCTATGGAGTCGCCGAGTCACTTGTATGCGATCAAGACGCGAATTTAAAATACGTAACTGAACACCATGGTTGTTTACGTACGAGCATATAATTTTCACAAAAACTATGTTGTGGGGATATGTTGTTACGTCTATAGCTACGACAAAATAATATATCTTCGAAAACGCGCGTTCACCTACTGACACATGTTTATTCCTACGCCATATTCATAAAACCCACAACGATCCCATAAACAAGTCAGTAGACAAATCACTCAAAAGCCGACTCACTCGTGTGACGTCAAAATCACCCTCGTTTCAGTTTCCGTATTACCACGGAAATGTATACCACATAAACCCCTAATTTTGAGGCTTTTAGACGGCTCTAAAATAGCGACGTTTTGTTGAGACTAAGTCTAAAAATCGCATTTTGTGTCGCATTTTGTGTAATTTACCAAAACTCACTTCAAAAATAAAAAATTAAAATAAAAAAGTCAAAAGGTTGCAAATAAATCTTTAGGAAAACAAAACAAAGCACACTTTGGATCGAGCATTAAATATGGGATTCCGGATCGGGGTCAGATATCGTAAAATTCCGCCCGCTGCTACAGCCAATCAGATTACAGGAAAGGCTAGGATTCCGCCCGCTGCTGATTTGTAAAAAAAGGCGTATACTTTCACTTACTTTCACTCTCTGATCAACAACGTATTCCTGCAAAACGCCTCTCTCGTACCCAAATGCAAGGGTATATTTTGTTACCCAGGCCATTCCACTGTCCAGTCCTTGCATTAGTAGCGCGGTGACTGTTACATTGGTCCTAAAATCAACTTGAAACCAAGGATTAGTGTCATTGGTTGCTGCCATCCAACCGCCATGACGGATATATGATGTATTCACTGTTGTTATATTATTGGTAATGTTCATGGTCGCATTAAAAGCGGTGACTTTTGTTGTTGTTGTGCTTATGCTCAGCGTAGTTGCCTTCACATTTAGCCTGGCCATACTAGGTCCGGATATGCTATCTTTAAACGACGATACGGCCAATTGGGCGTCGATTATCAAACGAGATTCCATGCCAAGTGCAATTGGCTGAAACCAGTCGGTATCTGTAGAAGAAAAGTGTTTCATGAAACTTATTATTTAGAAGGCGTCGTGGGTCTCGTGCAAGCCCGAACCGATCGCAGTGTTGAAGTTTTAGTTCAAAGCTAAAGCTATAGGGAAACGAAAATGCTGTTCGCAAGGCATAATTCCGGAGAGTTAAATCTAAAAATATTTAAACGTACGTATGTTATAGCCATGAAGTTGTTTAACAGCTGCTTTTGAAGCTATACAGTAGTGATCAAAAGTATAAGTCCAGTCGATAATCTTTCTAGATAGGACTTCATCCATTTCCTTTATGTATATTTATTAAATACAAGACAATGCTCGTCACGGAATGACGACAAACAAAAGAGAGTTAAATAAACAGAGAGGCCGTTTGTTACCAGGCCTCTTGATGATTATGATGTTCTATCTCCCCCTAAGTCTTTAACTCGTGAATAAAATGTAACAGTAATGAAAGACTTAATTGTTCAGAATATGAAAGTTTTTATTCTTTGAGTCCTTTGTTATTGAAGTCCATAAGTCTTCTTAGCGCAAGTGGTTGTTTAGTGTGGGTGGTGGATGTGCTTGTAGGTGTTGTTTGAGTTGGCGTGGGGGGGAAATGGGTTGTCTCTGGTGTTGTGGGTTGGGTTGGGTTTTCATTGTGCATGTCAGCTCGGTCGTGCTGTGGTGTTTGCTGCTCAAGGTTATTTGGTGGTGGTTGTTGGGCGTGGTGCGGGGTTGTGGAAGGGGCTAATGGTGTGCCAAGTAATCGTAGGTCATCCTGAATGGTGCGGGGTGGTGGCGGTGTTTTCACGGGAGTGTATTGGCGGAGGAATTTCCGGTTGCGGATAGTGGGTCTTCCTGATCCGTCGACTCGGATGACGTATTGATCATATTGTCGGACCTCTATTACTACGCCTGTTTTGTCCCACTTTTTTGGATGTGGCCCGGTTTGATTTTGGATGCGGACAAAGGAGCCAACTTTTAATTGGGGAAGCCGTTGGGTGTGCTCAGACCATCGCTCGGCGGCTTTTATATGCCTGTTCCGTAGAGCTTCCTCGCGTGCGTTCAGTGTATCTTTCCACGTTGGGTGTGGGACGTAGCGGCCGGGGGTATTGGGATGAGGTCCCTGATTGGTCGGCCGAAGACGCATTGTGCAGGAGACAGGCCGGTGTTAGGGTCTGGGCAATTCCGGTATTGCAACACTGCGTGTTGCAACGAGTCGGTGTCGACCGTGCCATCGTGGTTAGTGTTATTCGTTAGGATTCGTTTCATCGTTTTGACGCCGACCTCGGCGCGGCAGTTTGAATGTGGGAATGCTACTGAGGAAAGGCGATGATGGACGCTCCAGTCCTTTAGAAATTGTTGTGTGGTTGATGCAGTAAATTCTGGGCCCCCGTCGGTGGAGATTTCGTCTGGGATCCCGAATGTGGCGAATGTGCGTCTGAGACAGTTGGTGAGTCCCTTGGCGCCGTTCTCGGCTCGTTCAATAATGGGCCAGTTCGAATAGCGGTCAACGATTACGAGGTATTGGTTGCCTTTCAGTTGGAAATAGTCGGCACAGATGCATTGGAAGGGGTATTGTGGTTGTGTGGGGGGGTACGGTGGTGCGTTGGGTTGTGATGGTGCCATGCGATCACATTGTTCGCAATTTTGTCTTAGCTTGGTGATTGCGGTCGTTATGCCGGGCCAAAAGACGCTGGAATCGGCTCGTGCACGCATCGATGTGATTCCCTGGTGTGCGCAGTGGAGTATGTCCAGGATGTGGCGGCGAAGTGATTGTGGGATGATGATTCGCTCTTTGTATAGGATAACGCCGTCGATTGTGTGGAGATTGTCGCGGAATTGAAAGTATTCTTGAAGTTGGGTTGGTACATCGTTTCTGGATGTTGGGAAGCCGGATTCGATCATGGCCATTAGTTCCACCATGGTGGGGTCACTGTTTGTAGCTAGTTTAATTTTGTCCCATGAGATGGCATACGTGTTAATGGCGGATGTAGCTGTGAGACTTATATTTTCCTCGTGGGATGCGTGTTCCTGTTCTTCAACGCATCGTATACCGGCGAGGAAGAATTGTCTAATGGCGTTGATGGGTGTACTTCGGGTCGCTATGGCAGCAGTGTCGTCTGGCAGCGGTAGCGCGTTCGGTTGTTTGGGGCCGCTTGGGTGTCGGGATAGGGCGTCTGCTGCTTTGTGTCGTACTCCAGGGATGTGGACTAGTTTGAATCTATACCGTAACGTTTTCTCCTTTAGATTTCGCAGTCGTGAGTTTGGAATGTCCTCTAGTGAACGGTCGCTAAGGATCTTCAAGAGCGGTTTGTGGTCAACTGCGATGGTGAGATCTGGGCATCCAAGGACGAAAAATCTGGCTTTGTTGAGTGAGTCCGCGACGGCTAGGGCCTCTCCTTCGATCGGGGCGTATCTCGATTCTGAATCATGGGTGAATCGGCTGCCGACTAGCGTGATTTTCCATCCTGTTGGGCAGCAGAATGGTTCGCGGATGTGCAGGAGCAGTGCTTCTGGAAGAGCCAGAACCCTAATCCATGTTTCGACCAATCAGTGGCTAGACAAGTGGGTTTGGACTTGTCGAATATGCGTACACCTTCCTCGATCGATCGGGCGATTACTTGCTTGACTCTTCGAATAGAATGTTCAGTGTCTCGTCCCAGTAGAAGGAAGAGCCGGGTTTCAGAAGGTTTCTGAACGGTAGCATTTGTCTGCGGTGGCGAAGGCATATGATACTTGGTTGATGAGTCCGAACCAGGATCGGATGTCGGTGATGTTTTTCGGCGTAGGAAATTGGAGTATTGCATCAAGAATTTTCTGCATGGCGGACGCTGTTGTTTGTTATCTCAATCCGGCGAATTCTACAGTGTCGCTGCCGAATACGAATTTATCAGGGTTTAAGGTGATGCCGTTCTTGCCGCATAGATCTAGCCAGTCTAAGGCTTGGAAGGCTTGTTTCTAAGTCGTTTGCCCATAGTAGGTATCGTCAATGCATTTGGTCTTGTTGGCACGTGGGAGACTAGTTCATCGAATCTCCTAGATAACCGTCACCGGATGCAATGTATCCCTGTGGGGCTGTCTTATATCGGTATCTGCCCCAGGGCGTGATGAAGGTGGTGAGGTGTCTATCGTTCTCGTGTAGGGGGATGCTATGGTACCCGTTCCAGCAATCGAAGACTGTCTTCTTCGTGTTTTGGGGGACCAAACGTGCCTGGTGGAAGGGGCTTTGTGTGTGGTGTGTTTCTCTGGTTGCGTGTGCGTTGAGTGCTTGTAGATCAATAGTGCGTCGCGGTGTTCCGTTTTTCTTAGCACACACAACCATTCTGTGACACCATGTTACAGGTTCCCCGACTGGTACTGGTTCAATCACGCCCAACGCAATGTCCCGTTCCAGGTCTTCTTTCACTGCCGTCTGCCAGTGGATGGGAATTGGGACTGGTGTGTGATGGGCGACAGGTTTGGCATTAGGGTCAACCATTAGCCTCAAAGAGACAGTCTCCATGAGTGGTAGCGGTTGATGTTCACAGGTGTTAAATGTGCTCGCTTCATAATAATTTAGTAACCATTTTTGTAGGCGTTGTCGGTTGTCACTTGTGGCTGGGAATGGTAGTTTGTCCGGTTTGGTTGGCGGTTTACTGCGAATTGGGCAGCCGCATTGGGTTGATCGCTGGTTGCTGCGGTGGTAGTGGGCATTGTGGTGGGTGATGTTGAGGTGTTTTCACCGATCGTTGGGAATGATTTAGTGATCATGCCTAGTTGTTCACAAGCTTCACGACTCAAGTAGAGTTTATCAGTGTCGTGGGTGATGTATACCATCTGTCGGGTCTCTGGAGATTTTCCGGGGTCTTTTACATCAGTGAAGCGAAGGAAGGTGGCGCCGATGATTCTGATATCTTTCCCGTTTGCCGCGTGCATTTTCGTGTTGACAGGGATAAGATCTTTTTCACGCAATCCAAAACGGCGTATGATGGGCATGCTGGCTAGGCAGCTTTGGCATCCTGTGTCCGCCATCCCTGTTACCATCTTGGATCGGGGCGATTGGAAGATTGGTTTAAGCCCTAGGCTATGGTAGTCATCTGGGTGGAGGGTTGCTTGGACGGTGATGAAGGGTTGTGTCCGTGATGCTTTTCTTGCCCATTTGTTGGCGATATTGCTGTAAAGGTGGTGGTCCAGCATGGCATTATTTGTTGTCTTGGGTGTTTGTTTCTCATCTGTCTGGGTGGAACAGAGGTTGTCAAACAGTGCATTTTCAGCTGAGTTGGCATTTCCCTTGCGTGGACTGTGGAGTTTAGGTTTGTCTTTACTGCGGCATACGTGTTGAAAGTGGTTTGGTCTGTTGCATATCTCGCATGTGTGGCCGTATGCTGGACAAGTATTCCGTCTGACCCTTGGTGGTGCGTTTTGTCCATGTCCGCTGGTGCCGCAGTAGTTGCATGGTGTGGCTGTTTCTGGGGCTTTATTCTTGCCTTTATCCAATGTCTCGTCAGCGCGTTTTCCCCGCTTGTATTGACTACGGGTGGCTTCTGCTCCTTGTTTCTGGAGTAGTTGGTCAGCTGACCTTTTGCCTATTTCTTTGCGTTCTACGAATTGTACGATTTCTTCTAGCGTTTTGTCCTGTTTTTTGTCTGCCAGGAGGTCGAGTTGAATTTCGTTGTCTGCTAGGCCACGGGTAATGACGTCGCTCAGTACGTTGTCTGTATAGTTCACGTTAGTCTCGCAGTTTGGGCAGGGTATCGAGAAGTTGCATGTACTCGCTTGTCCGCGTGCCCGTGCACAGAAGTTTCTAATGGGCTCGTCGTGATCTTGGCGCATGTTATGTAATTGTACCCGGGCTACCATAGGGTTCTCTCCTCTGACAGCCAGTTTTTTTATTGCCTGAAGGACTTCGTCGATGGGTTTGCTTGCTATGGACCCCCCCGCGTTGCGTGTTAAATCTTTACGTAGCTGTTCCTCGCAGCATTCTAGAAGTTGTAGTACTTTGTCTTGGCCCGTTATTTTTGTGGCATCAACATAGTCCTTCCATCGTGATAAGAAATATGACCAGTCCTCGCTTGTGCCGCTCCGGGAAATTGTGGGTCGCTTTACTTTTTCGCCTTTGGATATGGTGGTGGTCGCTTGATTGTTGTTGTGACTTCCGTTAGAGTGTACTGTTAACAATACCGCTGCAAGGGCGTCTTCAACATCTGCCGTTTCATATTCACAATCGGGGTATGGGCAGCGATGACTTGGCATGTTGTCTCTTCGTGAAGTTTAATTGGAAAATTACCTTGGTCGGGTGGAAGCACGTTTGAGTGGCGGTAATTTATTCCAATTGTTAAATATGGCGCCAGCTGTGTTGTTGATCGACAAATCCTTTTCGACTTCGTCTTGGTATTACGTTGAAGATATTTTGCTTCCTGAGTAATTGTCTCTGTGGGCAGGTCCGGTGTGTGTTTATTTGTTTGTCGTCATAGATAGGACTTCATCCATTTCCTTTATGTATATTTATTAAATACAAGACAATGCTCGTCACGGAATGACGACAAACAAAAGAGAGTTAAATAAACAGAGAGGCCGTTTGTTACCAGGCCTCTTGATGATTATGATGTTCTACTTTCTTATTACGATAATTTACAATAAATGATCTTGTGAGTTGGAGATTGGATATGTTGATCTGAACTTGCGTATTTTGTGATAGTAATGCCTCCTATAGATATCTCGTTAATTCTTATGGTATTTAAGTTGAAAAAGAAATGCTTATTATTCTTTTTGTGGACCAAAGATAGCAAAAAATTGAGAAATCGAGACGAGGTTATATGTATTCTTTTTGTGGACCAAAGATAGCAAAAAATTGAGAAATCGAGACGAGGTTATATGTGTCGAACGAAAAGTTGGAAACATTTTGTGAGTCAAGTTCGTACTCAATGAAATGAAAATCTGCGAGACCAAGGGCTACTCCTGCAAAGGAAAATGGAAAGAAAGTAGAAGGAAAACCAGTGGGCCGTCCTTAATCAATGGTAGAATAGAGTTGAACCAGTAGGATATAACACAAGTTGGCACTGTTTTAATATTTTGTATGACCTCTTTTACGTCTCAAAACGCTTTGACTTTTGTTGGATAGAGTGAACCAGTTTTGTTACCATTGATTAAGGACAGTCCACCGGTTTTCCTCCTGCTTTCTTTCCATTTCACTTTGCAGGAGTAGCCCTTGGCCTCGCAGATTTTAATTAATTAAATACAAACCTGATTCACAAAGGATTTACATATACAATTTCAATATAACCTCATCTCAATTTCTCACATTTTTCGAGACATCCCATCATTGTTGGCCCCCTCTTTGTCATTTTTGGTCCACAAAAAGAATAATATGCAACTCTTATTCAACTTAAATACCATCAGAATTAATGAGAAATCTACGGGAGGGATTACTATCATAAAGTAATACGCAAGTTCAGATCAACATATCCAATCTCCAACTCACGAGATATCATGCATGCATTGTAAATTATCGTAATATAAGAAAATTATCGACTCATACTTTTGATCCCCACTGTATGTATACTGTCTAAATACTGTACTTACCGACATACGCGCCAAACAATTCCATTCTTATTACAATATAGGTGGCCCCATCTGTTGGTACAATTCGTAAAAATCGAGTGAATATTACACGAGTCAGGCGTTGAGCGACAATTGTATTACTGTCGTAGTTCGCTTGAAAGACCTAAAGAATTCGAAAGACGTGTTCAATGCCAGATATAGCAGGCAAAATTCTTCGGATCTGTGGCCTACACTGGAAACTATACACTGAACTGTGCAATTAGGCGATCCGGTGAATTGAAACTGCAGCTTTCACAATTAATTGTAGGTTGCACATTGCAGAACATATTTGCAGAGATGCTATATTTGCAGAATGTTACGTCTGTGGGGTGTAAGAAGTCGTAAGTCGTCCATTGGCCCTGGACAAGTGAATATAAAATTAATTTACGAAATTCCCTGGACATATCTAGGAATATGGCTTAAAAATGGCAGTTTGAAAAATATGGAGCAGCCGAGCGGCGACAGATCGTCTTCGCACATTTTAGTTTTTATTATAGTCAGCCATTGTGGTCGCGTGATTTTCACTAAGTCATGCATATTTTTCTGATCAAATGTTCTTGAGTCAAAACTTCAAGGACTTCTAACCTTTTTTTTTCCAAATTCTTTAAAGACCAGAAAGCGAGATCCGTCATTACTCTGCAGAAGATTAAATGTCTTGGTATAATAGGCTGAACTTTGATCCCCCTGAGTCCTTATCTCGGCAACCTTTGCCCATTTGATGAAATCCACCTGGACCCAACTCCCTGTTCCTTTTGGCAAACGCAACCCTAGAGATTATTTTAAAGTAAAATTACAAATTATAACATCCTTTCAATTGTAATTAATCTATTACACTCCCAGCGTGAAAAAATAGTTAGCACATTGGTCCCTTTGGAAGGGCTTCAGCTACAGCTGACTTTAAACCGCTAGAATTAGAGGCGAACGGGCCTAAAACTTTTAGGTTGGTTGAGTTATTGCGGATTTCAGTAAATTGCTCGAATTGTGGTGGAATTTGCCAAACTCTCCAAGATTCAAAAGTCTAAGGGGGAGTAAGTCCCCCATGCCCCTGCCGCCACGCAGGCATATGGTAAGACGAGAGAAAAACAGTAATTGCACGTCTTCGATCTGAATATTTGAAAGATTATTTTTATTGGAAATTGTACTCAATTGCTAGTAATCACAGATATCATTAATTTATTAAACCTACTAATTAATTGAGCACCGTCTACTACAGCCTTTAAAAAGGCGTATTTTTACTCACCTCCTCCCCGTACCCCGGATATGAATTTCAAATTCAACCTGGCATTTTGAGGTCCATCAGTCTTACTACTTTCAGCAGAAGACGAGAGTTGGCTGTCCAAGATAGCACCACTTTCCATGCCCAAAGCCTGTGGGTCCGAGCATCCTACAAAATTTCCATTCGAGTAAAAAATTACATTCCACAGACGTGCCATCCAAAGATGCCAATCATGCAAGTTGCGCGATATTAAACTTCAAATTGAAACGAAATTAATTAAATCAAAATCAATTGAAATTATCTAAATAATGAGAATGGATACATTATCTTGGGTTACTGTCAGCTGTATTTTATGAAATTAGTGTTAAATGACAGTAGTGTTTCTTTTGTTAATATATTTGCAAAGAATTATAACTGCCCCATTTCAAATTACATAAGTCCAAGTTAACAATCGTATGCATGACCATCGAACCAAAAAATGCACGACCATCTCATTATCAACTTTTGAAATGCTATATTTCAAATCTGTAATTCATTAGTTCGCCTAATTCTTTAAAACTACTCATTGGTTATATAACACACGTAATGCCATTTAGGTCATTTAGCTGCAAAAATTAAAGGCAGTCAAAGATAGACCCACCTATATCAATATTACCCTTTACTATCTGTTTTCACAATAATCGAAATACAATTACGATTTATTTGGATAGAGAAACTCATGGAACATTTCCAGATCCTTATATATGCTTAGCATCAAATGTAGCATCATAACAACTGCCTAAAATAGACAAAACACTTCTCGACGTTTCGACCTGAGGGCCTTCGTCAGTAGAGTTTGTATGAAAATAGTTAGATTCAAACCGCGACTTCACCTGTAACATAGGAAAATCAAACAACTACCACTACTACAACCCTTACCTTCATATCGGCCATAAAACTCCAGTCTTACAGTACAATTTCCAACCCAGGTTTTGGGTGTTATTCGAATGAAACGAGTAGCGATATAAGGAAATAGTAACTGCTTAACAACTGTAGAATTGCCGTCAGAGTTGGCTGAAAAAACCTAAGAATGTAACATGTAACGTATGATTATCTTATCAATAAGCTTTGCGGGGTTTCACTTGCCTTAGTTCTTTAATACCTGCCCCGACGATTGTTAAGAGAAATTTTGTCAAAATATTATCAATAGCGTTGTTCTATGGAGTGTAAAGTTCGATCACGGAAGTTCTAGGCACATTCGTCTAAGAAATTTTAACTTTGTTTTTCAAAATGTCGATTTTTCAAATTTTCCTGGTTTACATGACCTTTGGAGCACACCTGCATGCGAAAAAACAGTTTGGAACCGAATCTGATTGAGGAAGTAAGAATTCTCTAGTGATATTAGGAGTAAAAATGCAAGCAGTTATTCTTGTAAGTTATTCTACCGAATATTGAAAAATAATATTAGCTACTTAACATTACAAAAGTATGAAAGCTCGCTATGACATTTACCTTTATTAGCCCCTCGATGCTAAAGTTTTGCAGCTGATTTCGTCTTTCTCCAAAAGAGAGGGTATATCCTGTAAGCCAGGAATTTCCATTCTCCAAACCTTGCGTAGCAATTGCAGTAAGCGTTACATTAGTGATGAAATCTACTTGAAGCCATGGATGTCTGTCATCGTCTGCTGCTATCCAACCACCATGTCTGATAATGTTTCCCGTACTTGCATCGCTCAACGTGTTTAAGTTCAGTCTTGCATTACCAACTGCCGATGTAACATATTTCGATGACGAAGACAGCATTTGAGAGTCCAGAATCAAACCATCTTGCATGCCAAGGCTCACTGGCTCAAACCACTCGGTATCTAAAGTAGATACGGTTTTTTTTGACGTCGCGCCAACGTTCCGTTAACAAACATTAGTATAATTACAAAAGTCATTATAGATAATTTCAGCCTCTGAATCACTAAAGGAGATTTTTCAAAATGGCGAGTTGTTCTTTTCAAAATGGCGAGTTGTTCTTTTCAGATTGCTCGGTTTTCTTTGTTCTTGTCGGGGAATATATTCAATAGTTCAATGGTGCAATATTCCCCTAAAATATTCCCCCCAATATTTGTCCCTCGTTTTTCAGAAGACAATTCTTTGGTTCTATTAATTCTAGTTCACAATTGCGAGATGGAATAAAAGCATTTCCTGTCTATTATTATATTATAAATGCAACCTCGCCAATGTGAAAAATATAATGTAAGTACGCTATTTTGCATGAGACACCTCGGGATATGTGCATGTATATATCATACATCCCCTCGTTGCCTCAAGATAACCTATACAAAGCAACAGATAAAGGGGTGAAAAACTACCTCGTAGAACGCTGCCTAACTTTATTAACGCTGGTTAATTGACTATATATTAACAAACATGCTGCGAAAAAAAAAAACGCCACGACGTCTCGGTTTTTATTCAGCGATATACACCTCGCTTTTGGCCACTGATTGTTAAGTAATTATATGAAATTATGATGCACGGTGGCCTGTTTGACTTCCATTTAGTTTCTTTTTTAGTTACCCAGTATTTCGAACTGTTCTATCTAATTACACTTGCATGGAAAAAGAAAATTTGTAATAAGTTTTTCAGAAGCAATTTAGAGGGCGATTACTTACCAACATATGAACCAATAATTTCCATCCTTATCGACGGTATTCCGTTCCATTTCGTTGGTACAACACGCAAAAAACGTGCCAATACCACCCGCGTAAGACGGTGTTCTACAACGGTGTTTTGATCGGAGTTCCCTCCAAATTTCTAGAAAGGAAAAAGAGAGAACGCTTATAATTCATATAATATTTTTCCATATGAGCACTCGATGGTACAAATCATTTTTCGATTGATGCATCCGATCTATGGCCTATATGAGATACGAAATTTTAATATATGGCTTTTCAAAATACACTCTTCTGATTGGTTGACATGCGGTCCGTGAAACCCATATCCGGACTGTATATATACTACGTTTATTCCGTATCTAGACCAGTATCCTGGATGTCTCATGCATGCAGTTCAGCCATATATTAAACCGACTCGTGTTCGGTCTGTACTGTGAAATATGAAACCGACGGTTTTTGCATAATAAAAAGCCTCGGTGTGATATTTCACAGCATAGCCCGAACAAGCGAGGTCAGTAATATCAGTTAATATTACACATGCAAAAGTGTGAGCTGCGAAGGAAAATACAGATTTTAAAACACAGAGTTATCTACAATTTTAATACTCTTAATGGGGGATTCTGTAATGTTGTCCTGCAACACTCGTAAAAAGGGCGTATACTTTCGTTTTTAAAGTTCATTGCGAACTGTATACATGAATATATTATGATTTATATATTATGAGTATTAGATTCAATTGCAAAACCATCATAATTATTATGAAAAAAATGCTTGAAATTGCTTTAAAATGTTATTCCTGGCGTTCCCTTATCTGAAATATAAATTATGTAGAACACATTGTGCAAAGTGGTTTTTTAAATATGTCTATAGTATAATAACGACTTTACAATGGCAACAAGGCATATACTCAATGGCATAAAAATAGGAATATAAATTTAAACCGAACCTTGACCAATCCATTTTTTTTATATTCAGCGAAATCGACTCCGTTGGTGCTAAAGTGCAAATTGAATTTTTGAATAAAGTAGTCATCGTCAGCATGGCCTTGTGTTTTCAATGCAGTTATTTTGGTCCACTTTAGAAAATCAACTTGGAACCATCCGGGACCATCCGTTTTAAGAGAAGCACCTAGGAATTTTAGAGGGAGATAAAATTATTGATCGGTGATGTGGATGTAACTTACATAAAGAAATAACTTGAAGATACAATATTATTAAAGTAGACGAAAAGTCTTCACGTGCCAAAAAACGTTATAAAAGTTATTATGATGGAAAAGTAAATTCTGAATAAAGAAAATCTAACAATACAAAAAAATATCGAAACTGTTTAAGTCATCTTAAGACAGCTAAATAATGTAAAAAATTGCCTATTAATTTATTAGATTATATGGCAAATTTACAGCTTGAGCCGTTGTCTTTTATGAATCAAATGCTGCTTTCTCCTAATAGTTTTTTTTTTGGAATTTTTTTTTATGATAGGTAGTGATACATAAGGTCTGTATTCGAAGCTTTATTTATTGTTTTCCTATAAAAGTAGACAAGATCTCACAATTTCAGGATTTATTTATGGAATGTCGGAATGATGGAAAATGATTTAATTTTACCATACCTCCATCGCGCACAGACGTTACTGCTACTAAATTTAGTCTGGCATTATGTGCGCCATTAAGGTCGTCATATTCGGTTGAAGACAAAAGTTGACCATCTGAGATATTGCCATTTTCCAAGCCAAGAGGCCCGGGGTCGGTGCACTCTGCAGAAAATATCATCGTTTGGAAATGAGACAGTAACCTTCCGCTCAAACTTGTAAATAAGAATTACAAGGAGTTTAATCGATAACGGAATCTCTGAGGTAATTCTTTAGAAAAAAAGTAGATGCTAATAGTATTCTCACCTTCATATTGACCGTAAAATTCGACTCTCAGCGCACAATACCCAAGCCATTTTTTTGGCATAATTCGCAGAAGTCGAGCGGTAATGGGTGGATCGACATTGTTGCTCTCCAATGAAACGTTCTTGTAGTTCGCTGAGAAAACCTACATTTACAAAAAAATATATATTGATTTTACCAAACAGGACTATAAATAAAAATCTCATACATGAAGAACAGGTTTCATCGAGACCTTAGCGAACTTTAGTGGTAGAGTATATCTTTAGCTATACAATAGTTTATACCGTAGTGTATAGAGTGTCGTAAATGTGTGTCTTTAACTCTTAACAATAGGTTACGGTAAAGAGTCGCGTTTCAATTTCTTTAAAAAAATCATTTTCGAATTTCGACAGCAATAATTTAATGAAGATAATTAAATGTAGTGCGAAAAACGTTTGTTTACATTGCAGGCTTTTTAGACAACACGATAAGTTGTAGGCAATTATCATTCTGACGGATGCAAAAGAGGACCTATGCCAGAATCTTCATTCATATATTATTGTTCAGGGTGGAATTTAACGTGTCATGTTTGTATGTGTGTTCATACGCTCACATACGCCACGGTGCGAATCGAATACGACAAATCTCGTAGTGAAAATGGGCCTTAACACAGTTTAACTTTGCAATTTTTTGAGTTTATTTTTTCACGGAGCCTGCAAGTAGCAGAGCACTGTGCGAGGGCACTAATTCCACCCGGAGATTAGGAATTACACCCGGGTATGTGACACAAGATAGCGGAATCAAAAGTTGCCCAAATTCTATTTCATAGACCGTGGACGCTGGTCGTTCAGTGGTCATTAGAACTTGTGCGCATGCGCGACATTTGAGCGAGTAAATACAGGTAATTAGCAACTTCATGATTGGCTAAGACAAAATGTCTCTTTTTCAATGAGAACGTCAGCAATTTAACTGTCATTTCGCAAACATTTTTGTAGAATCGCTTTATAAACTTTATACAAAACAAGACGCCTCGTCAGGCCTTCACTCGGGCTACAGTTATCTCGCTTGAGTTTCTAACGCCTAATTTTTTGGTGTGAAAATAACAGTTATGACATAATCTGATTTTGTCAAAGCCGTCGTGACACCGACACCGCAGAAATTGGTGTTTAAGACGTTTCAACCCGAAAATCTAATCGCTGGTTCACAATTGTGCATTTCTGTATCGCCCTATCAAAGAGAAACCTTTTTAATATCTTAAAAAAGTTCAATTTTTCTTCTGAATACGCATTCTGCAATCTTTTGACTGCTCATCATACACAACTGACCGCTGTGAAATGGCCATTTTGAGGCTTAAAGTATACACAAGGTTATTAATTCAGACGATTCGTTTTTACCGTGAGCAAGCTTCAAATCTTTTGTGCAAGACATATTTTCTTGAATATTTATAAATCTTTTTCCTCACCAAGTTTGAAGTCTAAGTATCGAGAATTGCGGCTAAGCCTATACCAATTTCCGCGGTGTCCGTGACACCTGCGCGAGGAACCATCCTCTACCAACAACTACCTCTATCTTCAACTCGCTCTACCTATGGTAGCAGCGATGAAAATGAGCAATACCGGCCAAAAAACTTTAATAAAATTAAAGACTAAGCGGTGAAAGAGAAACGATTCATAATCTGTGAGCCTAAAAGCGTTTTGGTAGGTGTGTATTTTGTTTATTCCCTATTTGCTGCCAGGATGCTGTTTATTTGTACAAATATTAGCTTGCTATGCTCAATTTTGCAAAGACATAAACATCTATGAAAAGCCACTACACCAATGTTTTAACATTATTACTTTAAGAGGGGCTTTTTAAATTCAAAGTTGAATTTTGTTAGAGCAACCGTCACAACAAAAACTTTACAGTCCACTGCAACTAATGATTGGAATTTCAAGAAATAACATTTGACGTTTAGTGTTTGAAGATTTTGTACTTTTTTGTTTGTTTAAAAATTGAATAATTAACATTTACTAATCTGCAAGAATCCATAAACTGCCTGCTTGCCTTTAATAATGCATCAAAATATCGGGCAATGTTTACTTCATTTTTAGTCGTTTCGTACGGAATGATAGAAATGTTTTCTATCGATACATTTGAGAAATTTAAGCTTTGGTCTGGATAGCTCGGGAAATTATTAATTACTTAGCCTGAAGTGGCGAGGGTTACGGCATGGATGCATTTCTAGTATTTTTTTTTTACAAACCTCGCATTTCGGGATTACGACACGCTTAATGAGTAGGCATGCAATACTACATAAGTATATATGTACATATGGGTACCTTCACTTGTCCATCTATGCTGTAATTTTGCAAACTGTCCTTCATGTTGTATCCGTAAGCAACAGTATATTTAGTTATCTGAGAGGACATAGGGCCGTTATCCAAACCCTGAGTTAAAATTGCACTGATTGTGGCATTTGCTATGAAGTCCACTTGAAACCATGGTTCATTGTCGTCTTCTGCTGCGATCCAACCGCCATATCGAACTATTTTTGTGGTGTTTTCGTCGATGTTCTCACGTAATGTTTTCAAATTCAATCTAGCATTGGACGCAACGGATATGGAGTACTGAGATGAAACGACCAGTTGAGAATCTAGAATCATTTTGTTTTCCATTCCTAGCGCAACTGGATCGAACCAATCTGTAACTACAGATTGCAGGAAAAGACTTCACTATTTTTGAATAACACAACGTGACAACGACATTAGGCATGACTATCGCATGATCTACCTTTTTTATGAAAGATCAAATGAGCTAATATTATACATATATATACAATAAAGTTTGGAAACTCGAAACATAGGAGACCGGGCTTGAAAACTATCCTTAGTTCAGATGGTATGCATTTCATATTGTGTGATTTTGTTTTAATAAAATCTTGGTCGTATACTTAAGTGAAGCATGTTTATATTATCATTGGTTAATCATGGGATACGTGACCATTTACTAGCCATGCAAGCAGTGCAGCAGCTATCAATCACTCGATGCCTTTTTTCGAACTTATTTTCCTCAAATTTCCTGGATCTCATCCTGGATTAGTTAAAAATAATTTGCTACAGAACAATGGTGGCTGGGGGCCCTCCTTTCTCAGTTACCCAGAAATTCAGGACATTAATTACCAGAAAGGTTTATAATGCAGGACTTCGCAATCAAAGATGACTCCCTTGTTATAATAGAATAATATAAGGCACAAGACAAAATTTGAAATTAAAGTACATTCCAGCTTACATATTGCAGTTGCGAACTTCGATTTAAGACGGGCAGAAACACAGTACTTTTATTAATTTTTTTTCTTATTTTTACATTACCTTTAACATGTTCCCAGTATTGTCATTTCAGCAACCAACCATTAAAAAAAATATGCTTGCAATATAATGGTTAGTGTCTGAAATGACATTACTAGGGAATCTGTTAAAGGTAATATAAAAATATGAAAAAAATTTCATGATAAATGCTAAATCTCACCTACATACGCGCCCATTACTTCCATTCGTATGACAGGCTTCCCGTTCCATAAAATAGGATTGATGCGCAAATATTGAGCAAGAATAACACGAGAGAAACGCTGCTCCACTATCGAATCAACTTTGCTGTTTCCCGAGAAAATCTAAACATAAAAATTCATACAGACACCAAAATATTTTGTCAACAAGTTTTATTGAGCGTCTGACTATATAGTATGGATGTATACCATGTTCTGTAACAGAACAAATAACATATTTACACCCCCGCCCCCACATTACTCCGTCTATATGCCACCACAATGTAATCAATTGGCTGCAACTGTGATAGAGTCAAAATTCTGTATTGTACTTTCTTCGTACTTCTATATTTTGTATTGTACAAAGAAACTATTAGGGAGAGGATGAACTTAAGAAAGAGAACACGAACAGGCTTTCTCCATGATCCACAAATACAAGACTTTTTACGCAAGACATCCAAAGACCGAAAACACATGATCACATAACTAGAACGTTTACAGGTTTATTCTGCATTTCTCCTCTAACCTTGACTTGGCCATATTCTTTGTAGTCGATAAACGTATTACCATCGCTGCTATAGCTCACTGTGAATGTTTGAATGAGTTCAAATTTGCCAGCGGCACTTTGTGTTTTAATTCCAGTAATCTTTGTCCATCGGAGAAAATTAACCTCGTACCACATGTCCGAATCACTGTCTGAAAGCTCAGCACCTTAATAGGCAGCAGTAATAATAATGATAGATATGGTTCCGAGAAAGAGATAAGCTAACTAAACAATCCGATTTTAAAACAACGATCCACTAAAATTTTGTCCAAGAGAAGCTGTGACGGTTCATAAAATCGGCTGAAGAGCAATTAGCAAATGCTTTAGGATAATAAAAATTTCGACTAGGAACGAACCTGCCAGTCTAAAATTCGCTAACAACGTCTTCTTAAATTGTTCATACTGTTTAATTGTTTTCAAAATTCTGAGAAACTTCGAGAATTTTCGACAAAAAGATCATTCCCATATGATGAAACGAAAGAAAAACGTTTTCCATCCGCAAATGTTATTGTGCAAGCAACTAATCCAAACTCTGCAAACTCTGGTTTCGTATAAGTTTCATCATGCACGGCACTATCCCTTCATTGAAGGGTGTACATTTGTATATTCATCTTTTGCGTTCACATAGGTTTGAACTGGCATTTAAAAAGAAACTGGCATAAACTGTAAACACCGTCTAATCTAGCAGTATTAATCCCCGAGCCGGCGCGAAGCGCCGTGCGAGGGTACTAATTCCGCTGGGAGATTTATTACACCCGGGTATTGTGACAGAACATAGCGGAATCCAAAGTTGCTCAAATTCTATGTCGTGGCACAGATTACCCAGATGTCTCACTTCTGATTAAAAAAGCGTAAGCGCTTGCTCAGCAAGTGACTAGAGGCATTCCCCCCCCCGAAATTTCAAAATGGAGCCGAACTATTTTATACATGGAAAAAACCTCCTCTCATTTGCTAGAGAAGGCGACTGTGTAGATAAGTTTGTGTCTGAATCCATCATCATCTATACGCGCTTTGGAAAAGTGAGTTTAGAGTACCTCGTTTTCAATATTGTACAAGTGTTTTATCTTTTTTCGATTGTCGTAGGAGCGGATAATTATAAGCAGTAGAAATCTCCATAATTTCAAACATATTTCTTTTAAAAAGTGTTTGAATATCTTTACATTGAATGGAACTTCCTGTGCAAATCAATAAATGTACATATATTCCGACTCATTTGACACATCGTGCAGTTTTTCACTTCAATTTAGTTCGTCTCCATTTTGAAATTTTATTTCGGGGGGATGAATACCTCTAGTCACTTGCTAAGCGTGCGCAGAAAGCGATGCGCAGTGACGAATCGCTTACGCTTTTGAGTCAGAAGTGAGACATCTGGGTGTTAATCTGTGGTCGTGGACCGTGGACGTTCAATGGTCATGGTACTTGTGCGCATGCGTGAAATGCGAACGAGTGTAGACTGGTATTCAACGAACGTTCTGATTGGCTAAGACAGAAAGTTTGTAATTCAATGAGAACGTCAGCAATTTAACTGTCATTTCGTAAACATTTTTGTAAAAGCGTTTCATAAATTTTGTGCAAAGAAAGTAAAACGAGAAGAAACAAGATATATGAAGCATGACAGATAGCAAAGATGAACGTGGATACAGTCAAAACAAAGCCGTGTAAGAGGAATAATTCATAATCTGCAAGCTTATAAATGTTTTCAAAGACAAAGGGTACCTGTTTACTTTGTTTATCTCGTACTTGTTTCGCGGTAAGAATCATGGCCAGAAAATTCGGACATAATTAACATTCTACTTCTGCCTAAATTTGCATATGGAGGTCAAAATAAAGCTTCGTGAGCTTATAGTAAACTGTAATGTGCACAGTACTAAACGCTATAAATACTGCTTTAGGTGGTCGATTATAATTTGCCTTAATTGCTCGTTGCAGAGAAAGTTAATCTTAATATCTTGAGGCAGTGTTTCAAAATGTTTTATCAGTATTCGTCCTGCATTTTCAAAACAAAGTTTTGGTCATTTATCACGTTGAATACCATATAAAACGAAAACCGCAATAGCATAGAAATGAAATAAAAATGCAGAGCCGACATAAACCTTTACCAGCAAAATATTACTTCAGGATCTTTAATATGACACGAATTACAAGAAACAACCGGGGCAAGTTGCAAAGATGCAATGATTTTCTTCAATTTTGCGAAATTTAAGAATGCGTAATATAATTTATAGTTCTGCAAACAAATAATATTGGAACAGATATGCAAATATGCTACGGCAATCTGCATATTCCATGTCCGCAATTTCTGGCCATGGAGCCGTATTTGTATACTTTTCAGCTTTGTATGCCGTTCATTTGGTAAATTTTCAGCTTTTTCTGCAAACGCATAAACCTGTGAAGGGCTATTACACCTTTGCTTTAACTTCAAAAAGTGTTTTTGAAAGTGTAATTTGAATTTTGATATCAAAAATACACACTATATTTATAAAGTATACTGAAACTTTTAGCCGCCGGCGTTGACTGCAATTACAGAATAAAATACCATTTGAAGTTTTTTCTTTGTCTGTGAAGATTTTGTACTGTTTTAATCGTTTGAAACTTCGATTTTAAACCGTTACTTAATTGCTGGCATGGTATAATGCAGCAAAATTGAACGGGCAATGTTTACACTAGCTTTGTGATTATTTTTGTATTGAATGATGGAAACTTTTAGACTGATTTGAGTTTTGTGTCATTTCATAATATAAGTTTAGGTCAGGTTAACTCAGGAAATTGTGTACTTGGTTTGAAATAGCGAGGGGTTGCTGCATGCATGTATTTCTAGTTAATACATAATCAATGTTGTCCAACGCAGTATTATTGCCAGAGTGTGTTAGCTGGATGGAGCTAGGGAAAGCTCTGACTTACTATAAAACTGCCACTGGTTTTATCATAAAATCATCTTGTGAGTCTTGGACTAAATATTTTTACGCACCAATGAATGGAACACGGGAAAATAAACACGAAAAGTGAGATGGATTTTAGGCGTCAACAACGAGAAGATTCAATCGGCATGCATTACAGGCTATACAGCTCAATTGAGTCCTATTCCTAAATAAAAAATATACTGTATATTAGACACCAACCTCCTGGAGACAAATTCAAGCGAGCACTTCCTGGTCCGCTGGTTATTGTGGGAATAGAAGAGGAATCGAGTTGACTGTCTGAGATATATCCATTTTCAATGCCCAAAGGCTGTGGGTTTGGGCATTCTAAGTAGAAAAATAAATACGATTTAAATGTCTCCCCTTTTTCCTAAGTAAGCACAATATTTTTTAGAAAGAAATTGCCCTTCATAATTCATGACTTTAGGCTGGACGCAGTTTTTACCGCTTGCCATGAATGCTTACACGGTAAAAAACGCTCAAGTTGTTCCCGGTTGATGAGAACCGGCCTCAACAATGTTGTGCTGCACCCTATGAATAATGTTTTCAATAATTTTGTTCCACATACGCTTAACAATATTGCAACATGCTGTATATAGACAACATTGCTCATGGGGTGCAGCACAACATTGCTGAGGCCTGTTCTCATCAACCGGGAACAACTTGGGCGTTTTTTGTCGTGTATCGATGAAGGTACGAATTCGTATTAAGATACGAGCTCAAATTAAGATGGATCGAAGAGAGCTGGGTATCCATCACGTGATCACGAGATTACTTGTGAGTTGTGGAAGCACATGGACCGCGAACCTAAAATGGGACTGGGTTTTTTTCATCCGGAGCATGTAATTTAAAGTCAAATTACCCGCGAGGGAGGGTGATTTCGCTTTAAATCAAACTCAAGCTTTATGTTTTCGTCATAATATTATCAACCTTGCACTCGAGTGCACTCGCTCCCTAGGATAATTTCTGGCTGCCACCCTCGTCCCAGGTAATCACCCGGTACTGATAAAAAGCCTGAAAAGAACATGCATTCTTTTTGGTATTTGTGGCATTTGACATTCAGTGTCAGATTAATATGAATTGAATATTTATTTCATCGGTAGGCCTTGTGTATATTGTGGAATATTTTAACTTCGCAAAAGAACTAATACCATTAAATGAGTTTATTTTCAATATATATCAAGCAAATTCAAATAGCTTCCCACCTTCGTAATAGCCATAAAATTCAACTCTCATGGCGCAAACTCCTACCCAAGCTATCACCTTTATTCGCACGAATCTCGTAAATATTGCAGGATGTAATGGTTGCCAGACGATAGATCTGTTGTTATATTCTACAAATATCTTTGAGAAAGAGAAGATGCATTATGAATGTAACGTGAATTTTGCAATAGCAAACATATAGAAATTTTATAAAACCAGCGTAACTATATGCTTATGGCACGATTGAGTGCTTACCTCCAAAGGATCGCGATGGATGCATTTCAGGAGGTATTTTTACACATACACTCAATATACAGATATGAAAACATGCGTTTTTTACCGATATGTTTGATGAAAGTGTAAACTTGCTCGGTTTTTTGTGTATTTTTCAGTTTTTTTCCTTATTCGATAAAACGGTTTTTAATTGGCACATACCTTCGATATAATATAAAAGCTCAGGAAACGATGTTTTGACAGATTTCAACGTATTTAACACGACTTTTAACGATTTTAACGAAACTCGTTATGTCACTCCTAAACGTGACGTGCGGAAAATACGCGCACCGTACCCAGGATGTAGTGGCGTATGAGTTCTACGAGTGCTTTAGTTCTCAATAAAATATTCCCATCCATATAATAAAAGTAGCTACGTCCTAGGCATCAATAAATAAAACAATTTACCTGTCGCGAAGAATTATCACCGACGTAATATTGTAAACTGCTGCGTGTCGTACCGTATTCCAGCATGTACTTTGTAACATATGAGCTTTCATTTTTTCGACCTTGAATTGCTATTTCTTTGATTTTTACATTGCTTATAAAGTCCACCATGAGCCATGGTGCGGAATCCTCTTCTGCCGCTACCCAACCACCGGATCTGTTGTCACTAATATTCGAAGAGCTCAGCCTGGCATTGGCTGCTCCCGATATTAAGAAGTCTCTCGATGACGATGCAAAAATTTGGGAGTCTAAAATCAAGCGATCTTCCATGCCAAGCGCAACTGAGTGGGTATCACTTGGTGTCAGGTTTTTGTTATCTTCTAACCATAACAAGAAATTTTAATAAGCAGATTAACTTGGAAAGAGATTTTTGTTCGGCTACAATTTACCGTTATCTAGCTACGGGAACTTTATGGAACAGTCAGTTTATAAATAATTTGGGTGTTAATTGATTACTGTTGTTCAATTTAGTCTCGTCCATTCGCGATTCAAACGCATAATCATTTTGGCTGTAATCTGTAATCAGAACCAAATAGCCAGTATACAAACAACTTTTTGCACGTTCCACCTGGTTGTGATGAACAAAATATCTGCATATATGTACATACGCGCAGCCTGTTTTCTCGCTGAAGTTTCACTATGTCTAAGCTTAAGAATTAATCAATACGGCTAAGAGAAAGTCAACTCACCCATGAAATTTCCAAGGAATTCCAATCTTAGACCGGGATTTGGTACAGCGAAGTCCACAATTATCCGTATAAAGCGAGCGAATATAACATGCATCGGTTTTTGAACAACAATAGAAGAGTGATCAGTGTTGGCGGAGAAAGTCTTAAAATACAGAAATGTCAATATAATTAATCCATAGAAATGTGTCCTTGAAAATGACAGATGGAAGCCGGAAAGAAACTTGGTCAAAATGGTCTCAAGTTTTCGGGTATGGCGATCGTTAACAGCTATTGAAACGTTAAACATGACCAGAAATCGCAGACATGTTATATAAAATTTATGATGCGCGGACTCTGCTAAATTTAATTCGCATATCTGTGCACATCTCATTTATATTTAAGAAATAGAAAACATTTTCCGTGTTTCTATACAGTTATAGAAATCATGTTACTTCGAGCTCACCCAAACTCCCACAATTGTTTCTATAACTGTATGGAAACACAGGAAAAATTGTTTTCTATTACTTTTTTAATGTAACGCGATAAAAATATTTTGTACAAATATTATAATTCGATTCAATTACAAATTCTCACCACATTAATTCGGTTGTCAAGTTCGGCAGGAAAATTGTCGTGTTTCTATACAGTTATAGAAACATAATACCATCGCTTCAAACAATATCATCGCTTCACAATGGAAATGGATATTACCCTATGTTTGGGGTGAGTTTTGGAGGCAATAAATCATTTGTGCAAAAAAGATCAGACTTATCATTGAATGCAAGTTTGAATTCACACCTTGCGTGAGCCAAATTCTTGGTAATCAACAAAAGTCACTCCATCGCTGCTCATTGCAACTGTAAAGTTTCTGGTCCACCTGTTGCCAGCAGAGTCTTTAGCGCCTTGAGTCATTATCTGCGTTATGCTTGCTCTTTTTCCAAAATCGATTTCTAAATAATTACCGCTCTTTTCCCCAAACCATCCGTATGCGTCATTCATTCTCGCAGCGTGTGCGCCATGATTGTCTGGAGTTTTTACAGACGAGCGTATTTGGTCATCTCGGATGCATCGGTTGTGCATTCCCAGAATACTAAGGTTACTGTGTTCTGAAAAAAGATACATTTTGATTTGAATGCACGCAGCTCAAACAAGGAGGAATTTCGTTTTAAACTAATCGCCATATTTTTTTACATTTTTAGGCAAAGCCAATCAGAATGCCTAAATTTTAAATACTTCATGTAAAATGGTAATTTAGCCCTTTTTACCAAAATTTATGCATTCTGATTGGGCATTCTATTGAAATTTATGCATTCTATTGAAAATGTAAACAAACTTGCTGATTGGTCTAAACGAAATTCCTCCTTGTTCGCAGCCAAACCATCGGTTTATGACGTCTTCTTAACTATTGCTGGATTTTGATATATTTCTTCGAAATTTATTATATTTTTAGTCCCACCTTCATACCAACCAAACAATTCAACTCTTAGGGCGCACATTCCAACACACGTTTTTGGTTTGATTTGAAGTATGGAAGAAAATATATACGGATCCAAGTCTTGCTTTACTGTGGTCTTCATAGCGTTAAAGACCTGTTGAGTAAAACAAAAAGGGAAAAAAATATTTCTCCAACAACCAGTGTGAAAGCGTCCGAGGTTAATTATTTTGAGTTTTTGTCTGCAAAGAATATAATGGCATTATATTATGATTCTAACAACCTGACACAAATATCACGACTCTAACAACCTGTTGGTTAAATTGTGTAATATGTTGATCCATTTTCAGTTACCATTGCTGATTATCCAATTCACCAACATGGAAAATTTTAACCATAAAATTCACCTCGGTAATCTGAATAGTGTTCGTTTGACCTATGAAATCCTTACCTTAAAATGTTTTCTATGTTCCTGATAAAAGAATATTATGGGTTGAGACGCGTGCAGCTTTAGATATAAATGCACATCTCACACAGAATACCCATTTTTTTTTGCGTAAGTGGTGTTTCGTCATGATTGGTCACTAAGCAAACACCGTAACTAAAAGCAATCACCCCCTGCCATGATTTAAAAATGGCGTCATTTCAGTTATTGGCAGGGGGTGGTGGTTGCAATTTGCTATACGGCACTTGCTGGGGGACGAATCATGACGAATCATGCTTATGCAAAAAACAATGGAGTTGTCTTTCTGATGGGTATTCTGTGCCTTTTGTGTTATTGAAATAAAGCATTTGCGTGAACATTCCCTTACCATTGTTTCTTCATTACCAAAGCCTGTATAATTTTGCAGACGATTTTCGTTGATTTTAAAAGCAACAGTGTATTCTTTTACGTAGCTCATCCCGATATCAAGACCTTGAGTCAGTATTGCAGTAACTGTCACGTTGCTTATAAAGTTGATCTCAAACCACAAATTTCTGTCGCTTTCTGCTGCAATCCAACCACCATATTTTCCATCAACGGCTGTTTTGGCATTAAATCTGGCGCTAGCGGCTCCAGACGAACGGTAGTACCTCTCAGATGACGCGCTCAATTGGGAATCTAAAATTAAGCCGTTTTCCATGCCGAGGGGAGTAGTTTTCAGCAAAATCGTATCTGAAAAAAGAGAGAATAGTTGCTATACCGCCCTTAATTTATGATGAGAGGTGCTGGTGGCACGGGCCATCTTCCCACAAAAAAATACTTTTTTAACGTTGCCTTTGAGCAATTGTGCCCTTTTACTTTTTTAAAAATCGGAATAAACATAAAACAAATTATTTTAAACAAGAACATTATTATGAATATTTACCCTCCCGAATTAATGTTTTCTTCACGCAAGAACATAACCCAGCTAGTACTATTTTAAAACAAGTGCTTGTTTCAACAAACGAAAATTATTTCAACAAAGAGTTCCTTTTTCCTTTTTTTCCAGAACTTTTTGCCCCAACAACAATTCATTGAATTGAAAACAAACCTATAATTATGTTTCTAAGTTAAACATGGAATTTATGGGTCATTTGATACTAATTTATGCATGGATGATAACAAAGGCGTTGTAAAGAAAATTAGGTAGGTTTCAGCGACAGGTTTTCTTTTCACCGTGCATTCAAATCTAGAGCAATAGACAGAAGGCTGGCACCAGTTGAAATTTTTAACTGTATCCCTCCGGTTCCTTTACTTACGTTTTAAATCGGGCACACGCAGAAAAACAAATTACTGCAGGAAATATACGCTTAAGGTGGCTCCCTAGGGTTTTGAGAATTTTTTAAGTGCAGGTTTGATGATGCAGAATTAAGCACCAACATTGTAAACTATAGATTAAAATTAGCTTTAACGTATTGAGTACCATGTTCGAAATAAGAAAATATTGATTAGCCAATTATAGAAGCTGTTGCCATGGGAACAATGACGTTTCAATATGGCCACTAATTATCATTAAATTACGATTATTTCACAAACCCTTCGGTGAAATGTCTTCTTTTTCCACTGAACATTTTTCCAGATGGTTAGTAATTGACAGGACAATTTTAAGAAAAAGTTATCGATACAAAAAAATTAAAGGGGGAAAATATGGTTTTACGCAATTAAAAAAAATCATATCGATAACTTTCTTTTAAAATTGTCCGGTCGTTTACCAAATGACCTGCAAAGCATTCGGTTAAAAATAAAAAAAATTAACCGAAGGATTCACGAAATAATTGCAATTAAATTATAATTAGCGGCCATGTTGAAACCTCATTGTTTCCATAGCAACAGCCTTCATAATTAATCCGTCAACAGTTTCTCATCTCTAACGTACTCCACAATATAATCAAAAGTATTATTGATCTTTAGTCTGCAATATTGGCGCTTAATTCGCCACAACAAACCTACTATCTAGAATTTTTTCAAAACTCTTGGGAGCCACCTTAAAGTGAATGGGGGCGCCGTGATTATTAGGCAAGGGGGAAGATATTCATATATAATATCCTTTTTCACAACTTCTTCTGCCTTATGAACAATTCAGAGCACGAATATATTTCTCCCCCAGTACAGGACCTGTAAAGGAGTTTGTATGCACTTCATTTAGGACAGATTATCTCAATTGTTTTAGGGTAAAATGGCCATTACGGTCAACATAGCATAAGAGCCAATAATCGGATCCAGGACGAAAGTCCTGAAAATAACCACACCCAGAAATGGCATAGTCGACATAGCTCTAATTCCTGAATTATCCAAGCTACAGTCTTTCTGAATTGTTTATATGGTTCAGAATGGTTGCTTTTAGGGGTGGTCACTGGGGGGTGAAATTAGCCTAAGTTTCATATTTTACAAGAAAATGAATCTTTACCATTCCAGGTGAACTGCTGATTATGCATAGAATTACAGATTCACCTGGCAAAGTCTAAGTTTTCCTGTTTTCTAAAACTTTTTGCCATATGATGAAAAAACATGCTTATTTAAGTATATTTATTCTCGACTTCCTGGGCAATACAATGTTTTGTTGCGATACGACTTATTTCATTTCACTTACACCCCGCCAACCCAGAACACGATTTCAGCCATATTTTGCAAATTTCATCGCCGTTTTTCGCCGTCCGTCGCAAGCATTTTCCAAATATTGTACTTTAACACGATTCTAGTTGACTAAAGAATCGTTCAACCAATTTTCGATGGGTTTTGAAGTAATGCCGTGTAATATTTTTTCATTTTTGTGTCCCTAGACATTTCATCAATTATGTCGCCATTGCAATGTTTCGCCGCCTTTCTACACGATAAATGCAACTTCTTGATCCCCAGCTGTATTTCTTTCACAGCATCGATAAATAATTGATTGTACAACAGCAGCTATCCAAAATTTAAAAGCATTTGTCCAAATTGGAAGTAAAAAACCTCCCTTCGTTTATCGAGAGTGAAATTCAAGTGCGAAAGATTCAAAATAATTTGAAAGTCTCGCGCAAACTCCGCGACGAGTCCTCGTCACCATTGCTCGTAAATTTTGCTCGTCCCATGTCCTCGTTGACAGCATTACGGGGGGGAGGATTATTCAAGAATACATTTGTTCACAACCACAGTCAGTCAACAACCCGAGTAAAATTTGCCCTTTATTAAATTTGGCAATTGTGAACATTAACATATTTGTTACATTTTAGTTTTAAAGCTTGAGATATTGCTAGTTGATTTTATTTCAGTGGAGAGGTTATTCCAAGCCTCAGCTCCCCTATAGGCGAAAGCCTTTTTCATGCTGTTTGTTTTAGGCTTAGGTAATGCGAAATTGTATTCGCTATTTCTTGTATTATGGGTGTGTATAGCATTGGTATTAGTAAAGATTTCAGTCAGGTAATTTGGAGTCATTTTGTTTTTAACTTTAAACATGAGAAGCGCTAATTGGTGATCTCGTCTGGCTTGAAGGTTAGAGATCCCTACTTTTTTCAAAATATCAGCAGATCGAATCTCATAGCTTTCGCGTGTTATAATTCGGAATGCTCGGTTTTGGAGCTTTTGTAATTTGTCTGTTAAACCCTTTCCTAGGCAGCCCCAAACTTGCGAGCGTGTGTGGTTGAATAATTGATTGATATATTGTAATTAGTGTTCTAAAATCCACTATTTCTCGAAGCCGTCTTAGGATGCTGAGGCCTGCATTTACCTTTTTAGTAATTAGGTTCACTTGTGCATTCCATGACAAGTTTTCGTCAATATTTACACCAAGAGATTTAGTTACTTTAACTCTGTCTATTTTCCTACCATCAATATGTATGTGAGGATGTGCATCAATTTGATTAATTCTTTTATTGCTACCTAATATCATGTATTCCGTTTTGGAATGGTTTAAGGTTAATTGGTTGGCTGACATCCAAGTTGATATTTTTTCTAAATCATGGTTAAGATTCTCTGCAATTTCATTAATATTTTCACTAGATGTATCGATTTGGGTATCGTCGGCAAACATGCTGGTGCTTGTTCTCTCTAGACATTGAGGCAGATCATTTATGTATATTAGAAATAAAAGTGGCCCTAGAGCAGAGCCTTGTGGAATGCCTGTTTTTACACGAAGTGGTCCAGATGTGTGGCCCCCTACTTTGCAGTATTGCGTTCGGTCTGTCAAATATGACTTGAGCCAACACAGCGCCGTTGCTGTTATGCCGTAAATATCCAACTTTTTAAGTAAAATATCATGATTCACAGTATCGAAAGCTTTTTTTAAGTCTAAGAACACGACACCATTAAGTTTGCCGACATCAATATTTTGATACCATCTATTGGTGATGTCTAGCAATGCAGTAACCGTTGAGTGGCATGGTCTAAATCCGTGCTGGGAGCTACTTAGCAGGTTTGAGGACATTAAATAGTCATAGATCTGGTTGTGTACCAACTTCTCCATAAATCGTGCTACAATTGAGATGACAGATATTGGTCTATAGTTTGAGGTACAATTTTTGCCCCAGATTTGTATATTGGTGTTACTCTTGCAATTTTCCAGTCACAAGGAAAAATACCGGTGCGAATTGATTGATTAAAAATCAATGAAAGTGAAGGGGCAATAGCGGGAGCAGCAATTTTAAGGAATTTGGCTGAGATGTTGTCGATACCTGATGCTTTAGAGGCACTTAGATTTTGGAGCAAATTTAGGGTTTCTAATTCCGAGATCTCTTTAAAGCAAGATAGTGGGCGATTTGGGCAGTCTAAAGCCTCAAGGTAACTTTCTGGAGTTATATTTGTGCAAGGTATAATTGTTCACCCAAGTCCGTAAAATACTGATTAAATGTATTCGGTATGTCAGAAGGGTTTATTGTCGCACCTGTCTCATTTTTTAACTCTTGTATCTTGCTATCTTTATAGGATTTATTTAGCAATTCATTAATTGTTTTCCAAGTTTTTTTAAGATTCCCCGAATTATTTTGTAATTCATCTTGATAGTACTGACGAACTGTATCCTTAATTAATCTGTTATAATTATTTTTTGCTGATTTGTAGGCACGCCAGTCAGTGTCTAATTTAGATGAGATTGCTTTTTCTTTTAAATAGACATTATGTCTTTTTTTAGCAACTAGGTTCTTGGTCAGCCATGGCACGCGTTTGCCAGACACCCTACGTTTCTTTAAGGGGGCATGTTTATTGATGACATCGAGAAATGCGTTCTTCCAGATTTTCCATGACTTATTAGGGTCCTGATAGTCTAAATTAAGGTTCGAAAGGGATTCTAATTCAAAGAGAAAATTTGATCTGTTGAAGTGTTTAAGATCATGGTATTCAATAAATCGAGATGACTCTTTAACTATATGGATTTTGCGTATACCGTATATTAAATAATGGTCACTAATAGTGATGATTTTCACACCACTAGAGATAATACATTCTGGTTTGTTTGTATAGAAATGGTCAATTAGAGACACACTGTCTTTTGTAACTCTGGTAGGATCTTTTATTAATTGTTCGTATTGGAATAATTTGGTAAAAGTCCATCTCTGAAACAATGGGCGCGGGGTCCTTACTTAGGATATCACAATTAACATCGCCCAAGATAATACTTTCTTTATTTTCAAGATCGATTAGTTTTAGGCAGTGTTCAAATTTGTATAGCGTATCCATGGGGTCATTTGGAGGCCTATACCAAGTTGTAATCAGAAATGGTTTAACCTTGTTTTTGACTATTTCGATTGTTAGGATTTCAATTTCAGGGTCATTAAGATCAGGTCTAAGGCGATAATTGATTGTATTTCTAACAAAGAAGCCGATACCACCCCCAGATCTATTCCTATCCTTGGAAACCCATTCATAGCCGTTTATGGATATTAGACCGATTGGTATCGTGCCACTCATTCTAGTTTCATTAATTGCAAGGACATCAATGTCTTTGTTATTCATTATGATTCTAAGTTCGTCTATGTGTTTGAGTAGGCTAGCTATGTTTAGGCTTGCTATTTTAAAGCCTCTAGTTTTAGGAAAGATAGAGTTTTGATGTACAAAACTACTCTTTGCTGTTTTTAAAAAAAAATATTTCTCATGAGAAAATTAACACGTCTCCGCGTTTAAATTGTATGTTCTTGCCTTTGTTCTTGCCTTCACAAAGCTTAAAATATAAACCAGAAATGTATTCGTGAAAATTTTCCTCCTTCCTGCAATGTTGCCCACGAGCATTTTTCGTGGAGTGTGCGCTAGACTTTTAAATTATTTTGAATCTTTCGCACTTGAATTTCATTACCGATAAACGAGGGGTGGTTTTTTACTTCCAAGTGCGACAAATGCTTTTAAATTTTGCATAGCTGCTATTTTACTATCAATTATTTATGAATGCTGTGAAAAAAAATACTGCTGGGATCAAGAACTGGTATTTATCGTGCAGAAAGGCGACAAGACATGGCAATGGCGACATAATTGATGAAATGTCAAGGGACACAAAAATGAAAAAATATTACATGGCACTACTTCAAAACCCATCGAAAATTGGTTGAATAATTCTTTAGTCAACTAGAATCGTGTTAAAGTACAATATTTGAAAGGCGCTTGCGACGGAAGGCGAATAACGGCGATTAAATTTGCAAAATATGGCTGAAATCGTGTTCTGGCGGGGGGTAAGTGAAATGAAATATGTCATATCGCAACAAAACATTGCTATTTCCAAATTTAGAATAAATGTGCTAAAATAAGCATTTTTTTTCATCATATGACAAAAAGTTTTAGAAAATAGGAAAAATTAGACTTTGCCAGGTAAATCTGTAATTTCATGCATAATTAGCAGTTTACCTAGTATGGTAAACATTCATTTTCTTGTAAAATATGTAACTTAGGCTAATTTCACCCTCCAGTGACCACCCCAAAAAGCAACCATTCTGAACCATATAAACAATCAGAAAGACTGTAGCTTGGATAATTCAGGAATTAGAGCTATGTCGACTATGCCATATCTGGGTGTGGTCATTTTCAGGACTTTCGTCCTGGATTCGGATTTTGGCACATATGCCATGTTGACCGCCATGGTCACTTTACCCTTAAACAGTTGAGATAATCTGTCTTAAATGAAATGCATACAAACTCCTTTACAGGTCCTAAAAATGGGTTAATTTTTAAAAGGTCTATTATCGGTCTGGCGGTGCCCCTGAGTCTGAGAGTGAATGAATTCTCTGCAAATGACAAACCTTTCATTTTTAAGAAAGTGCATGTACTAAAAACTTACCGACATAACAACCTATTAATTCCAACCTCATTGCTGTTGCACCAGTGTCTTCTACTGGATGGATTCGCAAAAACCGACTGAATATAATTGCACTAAGGGGATGTTTGACTATGGTCTCTTTGACGTCCTGTCCGGTAAAAATCTAAAAATGACCATTACGAAGATAAATCATTAAAATGTTAAAGTGAAAAATGAAAAAATCAATCTCTCAGTGCCTTTCTATCCATATGAGATAAATTCAAGTTTGAGCTTATCCGAATTGGGTGTAACTCGAATTGGCTGCTATCCGAATTGCAGGAAAGAGGCTAAAATTGTTAAAACGAAGTTTATAATAATTAATAAAGAAATAAAGATACACCAAGCCAGTGAAGTGGGTTCTCATTTTATATAGCAATTGTAGCGGATGTGTGCTTCGACCTTTTTTAATAGGAAAAAATATTTTTTAATTACAGTCGCGCAATAGAAACGTTCCAAAAAATTCTGAGCGAATCATTTGCCCAGGACCGAAACTAAAACGATAATTTGGGGTGTTTATGCATATATTCAGTTCCGAATTACAGATTTCTTTTGTAAGTGCAATAGGTTACAAAAATAATTCGTCGGGCAGAACGGAATATATGAATAAACAATCCCCCCCCCCCATTTATCGTTCTAGTTTCAGCCCTGCTGATTTCCTTAACTTTCACAGTGATTGCAAAATAATCGACTTCATTGTCATTAACTTCATCTGGTTCTCGCTATTTTCATAATTTATTTACTCTTAAACGTCAGAAAGTCAGGAGACTGTCGTAACCTTTTTATATAGAGCGAGAATCCTGCCCAAAGTTTTCGAGCACTCCGTGATACACTATCCTTTCATAATATACACTGGCGGTCAAAACGAACTGCTCAAATGTTGCTATTATCGTATGTAACAGGAAACGTGACAATCTATCTTTTATTGTACACTAGCGGTCAAAAAGAACTGTTTAGATACAAATTCATAAAAAAGAAGCGAATATAGGAGAGAGCTTCAAACGCATTTTGTATAATTCTCTTATTCCAAACAATATTTCAATAATGGTCAAACAATGGTTTCAGAAAGAGGGAGTGACAGAAATGGATTGGCCTGCACAGTCAAAAGACCTCAACCCTATCGAAAAACTGTGGGACAATGTCAAGGGGATAGTGCAAGAAGGGAATTCATTCATAAAGCGTCCATAGGATGAATTTCTTTTGACCGTGAAGATTACCACCTTAGCAGAAAGTATGCCACGCCGGTGTAAGGCCGTCATAAATTATAAAGCCAAAGGAGGGTCAACAAAATATTAATATTTCATATAGCTTAGCATTTAATCTAGTCTATATTTGCTCTTATATATTGTTAGAGGGACAGTTACGTTCAGTTGAGAGCATTTTAACTTGTTTTGAGCAGTTCTTTTTGAGCGCCAGTGTATAATAATGTGAGAAAACTGGTTGTTTACATATTAAATTGCTTTATTTCCAAAAGAATGATATCGCGTATATTCTTGGGTAGTCATAAATTTTTGTTCAGAAAAACCCGAAACGTAAAAAAATTGAGATATTTTTAATTATATCGAGTAGCGTAGTAGCAAACGTAAAAAAACTGGCTTATAATTCCTGTATACATAATCCCCGAGCCGGTGCGGAGCACCGTGCGAGGGTACTAATTCCGCCCGGAGATTAGGAATTACACCCGGGACCCTGGAGAACATAGCGGAATCACTGAGCTATATAATAATTCCTGGAGGATTGGCTCTTTATTTTTCGGTAACTTCGCCGCCATCTTTTTGAAGCCACCAATATAGCGGATTTCGCCTTCTGCGCAGTGCGCAGAAGCTCTGCTGACGCCACTTGGTTCCTTTTGACCATGGTATTTACCACTGACCAGCTCAATTATGAGCCCGCTACAGCAGTATTCTCCCCCCTGGTTTTTGTAAATACCAATCCTCCCCCCTGGTTTTTGCAAATACCAATTCTCCCCCCTGGTTTTTATAATTTTTTTTGCCGTGAAATCTTTTTTTGTTTTTGAAATGTTTTTTGGTTGTCTTTTTGATATTTCTCGCACTGACATACAATAAAGTTTTATTTTAAGATGAATACAAGTCATACACGCTGTTTTTGCCAGTGCAGGAACAAATATATATTAAAATATGGAAAAATGTGGACAGTTTGTCCTCGAACTGACAGGTTTATTATTTTATTTTCGTAATAATATTCTTGTTATTTATACCTTCCAATATGAAAGTTTACAAATGTTTGAATGTTTTGGCACTATCCTCGCATATTTTGAAGACAACTAGGAATTTCTGGGCAACAATTTGACTTTTCTAAACCATGAACTGATGAATTGCAGGAAGTATGTAATCAGTATTCAGTATGTGATGTTGTCTTCAAGACTTTATATCTATGCACAATACAAAATCCAAAGAAACAGAGGCCAAAGCTCAGGCAAAATGCTGGGCAGCTGACTAATACTAAGTGCAGCAATATAGTTTCAACAAAGAATCATATTTGCATAATATACTTTTCATTCAAGTCATCAACTTGTACCTTAATAAACCTTAATAGGCTTGAAAAGTTTTCAGCATTCTCTAATTGCATCCCTGGACCCTTGGTCATAGTAAATAATAACATTTATCCCTCCATAGGCTCCACTGATTAGCCCAATGAATACAACCCCTTTGGAGGTTGATACCATAAACAGAAAATTACAAAAATTGCTGCAGATTGAAGACACACTGCTCAGTCAATGCATGTTTATATTTATTTCATTAATTATTAAATATGACAAATGGTATAAAAACACCAGCCAACAACAAAATCAGATAACATGGAAATGAAGAATAACAATGCACAGTTATAAAATGCAATAAACTTCATCCTGAAAAATAAAAATGGAGATATGATCAAGATTTATTCACAAGGCGCAAGAAGCTAAAAAATAAATTAAGAGCTGTGATAATTGATCATTTCACTTTGGATTTGACAAGGTAAACAAGATAATATATTAACTAGGCTTTAATTAACAGGGCTCACTATCAGAGGTTGGAATTTTACACTGTTTACAGCAACTTATTATTTTGTATCAGCATCCTCAGATCATGTTAATTGATGTTGGGTGGGATCAATAGAAGAGTGACTATAGTAGACTCACTGGGGGGAATGGTTTACCTATTAACATTGATGTTTGCTATCATGAAAACAACATAGACCAAACTCAAAAGATTGACACTGCCAGGAATTTTAACTTTCCCCCGACACAAGTTAAGAAAAAATGATAAAATTTGGGTATATAACATTGCATTGACAGCACTGTAATGTACCAAAGGCTGTTTGTACCACACGTTTTGATGGATTTATTGTCTCAGAGGCTTTGGTAATCAGTTTATACTATAGTCCAAACTCGAAGGCCAAAAACGAAATTGTTTATAGTAAAAAAAGTTGAAAAACGGCTTACCTGGATTTTATAAAATAAGGGCAAAATGAGAAAATTCATTCTACCGATAAGTGAATTAAGCCATTCACAACGTCAGACGCAGAGCACGAAGCTACGTGTCCTTTCCATTTGTTGAACAGGGAAAAAGAGAAACGCTTTTATCCATTTTATATGAAAAACAAAAAAATATATACGGAAAGCTGAAAATATTTTCGTAAAAATCGGGAGGGTGATGGACACAGTTTTTCACCTTGTATCGCGGTATGTCAGTGGTAACTACCATGAGCAAAAGGAACCAAGTGGCGTCAGCAAAGCTCAAAATCCGCCATCTTAGTGGCTTCACTTTTTTGACAGGAGCCGGTCCTCCAGGAATTATTAGAGAGCTTTAGATTTGACTACGGCTCCCGCTACGGCTACGAGATTCGTCACTGTGGCGCGAAACAAACGTTGTATGCATACGCCACCTCGTACTGGCATGATAAATCTCTGCAAACACAATAATAAACGCATGTTTATCCCGTCAAATATTTCGGAAATTTTACCCTCACCATTTCCAAAAATACACGTATTCAAAGGCCACAGTCATGGAAAACATTTCTCTAAATTTTTTTTCTGGAAAAAAACGAAAAAATGTCAACTTTTATTGCTTTTTAAATCACGTAGTCAGGACTACGAAGTTTTGTTAAAATGCCGTAGTCAGATGAGCGAGGGCTACGTGCCTCTGGCGTCAGTACGAAGTATCACGAATATCACGTCAATGTGACGAATCTCGTAGCCGTAGCGGGAGCCGTAGTCAAATCTAAAGCTCCCTATTATATAGCTCAGTGGGCGGGATATAGTATACTCGACAAACGTCATCATCGGAGAATTCGTCGGTAAATTTCTGATTGGCTGTGGCAAGTTCGGAAAATAACGAAGATCTTTTTTCTTTATTGAGTTGACCTTCGTAATTTTCCGAACTTGCCACAGCCAATCAGAAATTTACCGACGAATTCTCCGATGATGACGTTTGTCGAGTAAACTATATCCCGCCTCTGTTTCGCAAAATTTCAACGAAAATACAATTTTAATTCGCAAAATTTGAGCATTTTAGAGTTTTTTTCAAGTCTAAAAACAACAGATAAATATAGTCAATATATCCAAGGTGTTTTGTATCTGTTTTTTTTTAAGAAACTAGCGTAGTATTTTTGTTTTAAGCGATGGTATAAATGTATGTATTATATTTTTTGCGAGAGAGTTGCCAGCCTTATTGTAATTATATACATATACAATAGCATGACGTAACACCAGTGACCGGGCTGCCTGTGGTAAAAACAATCTTACATGTAAATTACTAGTCCATATAACTTTGTTATGGCCTTGGCCAAAATTATCAAACTTCAGCTTAAAATTTCAGCTTGATACACATGCATACTGAGGGATACAGGGAATGGTACAAATGCCTAGGCAAGTGCAAGGATCTTGCAACAAAATTTTGAAATACATCATTTTGGCACAAAAGATTGGAATGATTGCTAAACAACTGCACTTAGAAATTACGTAATAAAAAAATACACAAATAAACTCCAATCCATTATTATAAGCTTGAAGCTCGCCTAGCTCGGAAAAAATATATATATGTTTTTTGTACATTGTATTTCTGTCCAAGCTGTAGTTCAAAATGCCACCGACGAAGATTTTAAACAAATGTAAGTCTTACAAGTGCGAGTCGATATCCCCCCTTTTAGCGACTAACAGCATCCACGAATTGAAAAAATAGGTAGTTCTTCCTTCACGTCAAAAAAAATAGTAGAAAACAAGATTCGGTTAAAAAAATACCGAAAAATTAAAAAAAATATATAAAAAGTTTTTTGAAAACAGCCGGAGGGCGAAGGAGTGCGCCTGAAGCACTGTATCGCGGTTGTCAGTGGTCACTGCCATGGCCAGTTGGGCCCATATCTGGCGTCAGCACGAAAAAATCCGCCATGTTTCTTGCTTCACTTTTTTGACAGGAGCCGGTCCTCCAGGAATTATTATATAGCTCAGTGTCCTGGCTACATTCAATATTTATCTGGTTAGCAAAACAGGTGTCGACAATACAGGTTAGCTTTTAAAATGCCCGCCCTCTTAAAATGCCAAATAAGCAAATTCCCCAGGTATGCCCGGGGGGGGGATGTTGACATTTCGATTTGATTCCTGCATTACTTTTAGATCCTTTCGATAGGAGTTCCTAGTATCAATTCGCTTTAATTACCTGATTAACTGATACGTGCAAGAACTGCTTAATTAACTGATTAACTGATACGTGCAAGAACTGCTCAGTTTGTAGTACATAATAGTTTTGTGAAATATTTCTAGTCGTATCGTATAATGTAGAAATTCATATTTTATTAGTTAATATATACTATGTAAATAGTGTCCTTACTTAGTGGGTCTATACTGCTATATTTCTCTGACACTTAAAGTTATTATTATTATTATTTCTTTAACATGCAATCTACTTTTCGTGTCAACTGACACATGTCATGGTCACAAACTAATACTAGAAATACATGCATGCAGCAACCCCTCGCCATTTCAAACGAAGCAAAATATTTCCTGAGCTAGCCAGACCTAACCTTCAATATTATGAAATGAATAATCCAGACCCATCCACCCGTGAAAACACCATCGAAGGTAGGAATGCGGATCCAAAGAACCTCGCTCAGGCTATAGTGGCCGATCGAGAGTTCATAACTTCGATTTCGGCAGCAATTCTTGAGAATATTGCTCCGCAGTTGGCTAGACACACGGGCAACATCGTTAGTGCCACTTCGGTTGGGTTTTCTGCTCAATCAGATAAAGATAAACCCGTCGTATCTTATGATCAATCGGGTATGGCTCAAACAGCAAACTCCGTTGTATCAGTTGATCAAACGGATGCCATAAATACAACAAATCCTGTTACGTCCGATGACCAGACAGGTCGTATGAGCAACAAACGGCACCCAGAGACGGTAATTGACGTAGAATCTTATACACCAGGGTCTAAGCGTGCCCGTTCCGATTCTGCTACTGAGGGTAACTCGAGCATTGAGAATCCGGACATAGATCCAAACGAGGGTGATATTTTTTCATCTAATTCGCGTTGGGAAGCCAGTGAGGAGCTTGCTGCTTTCCTTACAACAACAACTAGCAAACCACTTAGCAAATTTGACCAAAGAACCCTGGTCAAGGCATTCCCACGACCGGATGTTAGCGCCATTTATACACCTTCAATGGATGAATACCTCAAATCATTTGTCCAGGGAATCACGATCCCAGACAAACCACTCAGAGAAATGCAGGACCATATCTTAGATGTTTTTGGTCCGTTATCTACAATCTATGAGAATCTCTTGGAGATGGCTGAGTCATGTAATAAGGACGGAGTCATTGAACTGAATAAGGAAAGTGTCCAGGGCTTCCTCACCTGTATTAAACATGCAATGCTACTGACAGGTGATGCTTCCGCTCGAATTTCGGTGAGTCGAAGAGAGCTCGTCTTAAAAAAGATCAATCCTTTAATGGCCTCCTTAGCTCAGGAGAGCTTTCAGGATACTCAACGCCAACTGTTTGGCCCAAGTTTTGAGCAGCGTCTGAAGACCCGTTCGGAAACAGCCGAGACTATTGGGAAAGCATCTCGAGCCGGAAAGCCTCTTTTTCGTGGGGGGGCCTCCAAGGGGTTCACAAGACCTCGAGGAGGCCGCCAGTGGAGCCAGTACTCTACATTCCACCCAAGAGGGAATACACAGTCAAACAGAGGCAGTGCATTCAGAGGTCGAGGACTGGGCCCACGATTCCAGAGCCCAAGATTCCAGACCCCCCGGTTCCGGAACCAGCCCTTCAAATCCGGTCAGTGACGAACCAACGTCCAATCAATTTACCCCAAGGTATGTTTTCAGATTTTGTTCAAACGCATGTAATACAAAATATTCCTCAAACAGGGCGATTAATCCACTTTATACCAATGTGGTCAAGGATCACACAGGATCCTTGGATTTTACAAACGGTTCAGGGCCACCACATAGAATTTATGAATTTCCCAATGCAACAGGTTGTACCAAAAATGCCACAATTATCCCTAATACAGGAGAGGGTGTTGGATCAAGAAGTACAGGAACTGTTAACAAAAGAAGCAGTTCACCCAGTGGTAAATCAGTCTCTAGCAAACGAGGGGTTCATAAGCTCTCTGTTTGTAGTTTCCAAAAAGGATGGGGGGAATCGTCCAGTTATAAATTTAAAACAATTAAACCAACACCTTATTTACGAACACTTCAAAATGGAAGGTATACATATGTTAAGAGATCTTTTAAAACGAGACGACTATCTTATAAAAATCGATCTCAAGGATGCGTACCTTACAGTCCCAATCTGCAAGGCCCACCAAAAATTTCTAAGGTTCCTTTGGAAGGGAACTTTGCTGGAATTTGCATGCCTCCCTTTCGGTCTAGCCACAGCCCCACGGGTCTTCACAAAATTGATGAAACCCGTAGTCGCGGCCCTCAGACAGAGGGGTATTCGTCTAGTGATATACTTGGACGACATTTTGATCATGGCAGAATCGACAGCCCTAGGATTACACCAGGCAGCTTCAGCTCTGAATCTTCTAGAAGGTTTGGGGTTTGTAGTAAACTACAAGAAGTCCCAACTGGTTCCCGGCCAGCTAATAGAATTTTTAGGTTTTTTAATCGACTCCACCAAACTTACCCTTCAACTACCAAGGGAGAAACTTCGAAAGATTCGAAAGAAGTGTCAAACTCTTTTAAGTGGAACAGAGATTTCAGTTCGAGAGTTATCAAAATTCCTGGGCCTCCTAACCTCCTCTATTCAGGCAATATTCCCAGCCCCTCTCCACTACAAGCACCTCCAGAGGCTGAAGAACACCACAATGAGCTCGACACAATCTTACGAGGCCATTGTAACACTAGATACAACAGCCAGAGAGGAGGTGGTGTGGTGGAGAGATCACCTCCAGGCATGGAATGGCAAAGCGCTATTCCAACAGCCGGTAGATCTAGTAATCGAGACAGATGCATCTCGAAAAGGTTGGGGAGCATACTGCGAGGGGGTAAGCACAGGGGGCCCCTGGTGCTCGGAAGAGAAGAGACTTCATATCAACTGTCTCGAACTTCTTGCCGGCTCGTTTGCGATAGTAGTATTGTCCTGGCCGTATAGTGGGATTTTTATAGTGGGATTGCTGAGTCAGCAATGTGACGTCATAATATCTCGCGTGAACTTTATAGTGGGATCTCTAATGTGACGTCATAATAACACGTGCTTATATCTAATATATTACGTCATAACTAATTACGTAATAATGTTGTGGATTAGGATTAGGATTAGGATTAACGGGGGTTATTTTAAATCTTAATTCTCTTGTGACGTCACTCATAATTATCGGTATGTGTTTGTTTTTCTCTTATAAAGCACGTGTTTTTTCATTTCAGCACGTGCTTTTATATTTTAGCACGTGTTTATTCTGTAAAGTGCATGTGTTTATTCTATCTTATAAATATATGTTGTTGTTGTGTGTGCTTCTTTTATCATTATTATAATGATGGTTGGTGGTATTGATGGTTGCGTTGTTACTCAAATTCAGGATATGATAATTAATAATAGACCTCCAACAAGAAATAAAATTAGAGGTGTGTTTCATCGTCCACAGAGAGTGACAGGGTCATTAACACGATCTTTGGACATCGATTCCCTTTTTACATTTATTTGTCTCTTGAGAGCTCATCCACGGAGAAATCAACTTGTACATGCGTTGGAATTAATGTTTGTATATATGGTTCAATATGTACTAAAGAGCGACATGAGGGAGATACTTGCGGATTATGTGGATATATGTCCAGGAATGTATTGTGTTGAAGTACCGATTTATTTTACAACTCATCGTTACGATATATATAAGGATTATGTGGACAGTTTTAATAATAAGATTGTCTTAAGATTACCGCGGGGTATGTTTAAATGTACAGTCATTGCTCAAATTGATAGTAAACTTTATGGAATATATTTGAGGAACCCTACCTATAGGGTGGATACGAGACATGGTGAAGACTCTTTATAATGACATGACTCGGGTACATATGTATCCACTTAATTATACTGTTACTGGACATGTTATAACGGCGAATTTGAACATGAGAGTCTTTTTATTATGTGATAATGTAGATGATGTATTACAAAGGCTTTTGCTTATTAGAGGTGATATGAAATGTGATAGATTAGTGAGAATATGTCTGAGTTGGTATTTTTCAACTCGATTTGGTATATATTCTAATCGATAGTAAGAGGCACGTGTTTTTTATAGAGGCACGTGTTTTTATTGTATGTATAAAGTTGCTTTTCTTCTAAATATTATCATATTTTTTGATCATGTCTTGGAGTGTTAATGGAATAGTAATAGGATTGAGGATGTTATATTTAGTCAAGAGAAACCTACTTCGAGGCGTATTAAGGATATATTTCAACAGACGGTTTATGTTCGTCCCTTCGTGAGAGTGCACGTGTTTAGAAATCAATTGGTACAGGCGTTGAGACCTGTATTTATATATTTTGTTCATCATATTTTGAACAATGATGTCAGAAGATTCTCAAGGATTATGCAAGTATTTTACCTGGAAGTACTGTATCGAGATACCTATTTATTTTACCACACACCCAAGTAATATTTTTAGACATATATAACATGTGAATATAAGTTTGTTTTGAGGGTGCCTGTTGGTATGTTTGATTGCAAGATTATTGTTCAAGTTGAGAGTAGTCTCTATGGGGTGTGTTTAAGAATCAAAGCTATAAGTCAATAAGGAATGGAGTTAGAAGTGTTTATCTTGATGTTATGTATGATAAATTAATGAATATCGGTTTTATAAATGCGGACGGTGGTGGTTTATTTACTTCATATGTCGTATGTAACGAGATTGATGACATGCTGAGAGATGTTATTATTTCTAAGGAACCGGGGAGATGGGATGAAATAGCAAGGAGACAATTAACAGACATGTTTAATGGAGTAGATTTTAATATAGATATTTCTGACATGTTCAACGAGGATTATTGACATGAATATAACATTAATAGAAGTATGACATTATTGTTATTAACGTTTGAGTGTTTGCATGTTCATATATTTAACCCACTTGTTAATTATTTCCAATTCCGATTTTGGGCAGTGTTCATATGCGTTTTTTTCTAAGTGATTTCCACACGTTTGCATCCAAGTATTATCTGTGTTATGCTGGTCAGTAATGATCCATGGGACAAGTTGAGACGGTTTTGGACATCCGAACACTTCTAGATTTATGTGCGGGATGTTGTTTTTCTGTAGTAGGTTTTTCTCAATGCAACCCCTTTATGCCATAGAGCTATTTCCGTTTCTTCTTGTGTTTTTGTAGAATGACTTGACTATATTATCGATTTCGTTTGCTTCATGGAGAGGTATTTCCTTCGGGACCGTAGAACGGGAGTTTATGAATGTGTTTAGTGACATATGAGCAATGTTTCTTGTCTTTTGTGCTTAGTTTTCCCCATTCATGTGGTATTTTAAAGAGGAACGATAAAGCTTCCGAGTAATCCATACCCATTAATCCTAATTCTTTACAGCAGAATTTTTTCTCTATCCAAAATCCGTCCATATCAATTAAACCTACAATATTTTCCATCTTTCTCTCGACAATGTTTTAATAAGCAAACAAGGCGAACTATGCCGACTTTTATACTTAGGAGAGGCGTGTTTTTATTTTTAAAAACACCGTGTTTTTATTAAAAACACCGTGTTTTTATTTTAAAAACACCGTGTTTTTATTTTAAAAACACCGTGTTTTTATATAATGATGCGTGTTTTTATTTTTAATGTCTACATATAGGTCCGCGTTGCGAGGATCAAGTAAGGATCAGAATTTTTGTTCTAAAATTCTCGCTTTGCAATATGATTGGATTATATTTATTTTTGTGTTTACCCATAAGTCCGCCCCGTAGAGTTTTGGTATCCCCCTTCTTAAACTATAAAAGCGACGATTTTGATTGACAACCAAGCCAAGCCAAGTAGTATGGGTCGCAAAAAGAGCACGATTGATAGGAACGAGCGCGAGAAGTTACGAAAGGGGAGAGTAAGGAAGGAGGAGAAATTTAACAGGTTGTTGAGTACTTGGGTCAAGGAGAAATATCCGTATATTTATTACGAATATACAAGAGCATATCGTGAGGTTGTAACAGCGAATCCTCATATAAGAGATATAACAAGGACGATGGATTGGAAGATACGGCTGTATGATAATACGTGATTGAGTATGAACACGATACGGGACTCAATCGACGAAGTATGTGAAGTTTTAAACATTGAGGATGAAGTGACATTACTTGAGAAGAGTATTAATAGCATTGTCAGCGATATGGGCGAACGAAACAACAACAACAACAACAACAACGGTGAGCGAGGCGAGAACAACAACAATAACAACGGTGAACGAAGCGAAAACATCGGCGAGCGAGGCGAACAAAGCGAGAACATCAACAGCGAGCGAAGCGAAAACAACAACGACGAGCGAAACGAACGAAGCGAGAACAACAACAACAACAACAACAACAACAACAACAACAACAACAACAACGGTGAGCGAGGCGGAAGGGACACGCCAACTTTCGACCCGTATGAAGATATCAGCAAGCATTATCAGGATTTTGATTTTGAGGTCGAGTTACTTGACTGGGAATGTTTTGAGGATGATGATAATTTTAAAGATTTAGAAAACGATTTGCGAGACATTGAGCTTATGGATTTTAATATATGAATTTTCATATTGAACTTATTTTGATATGTTTTTATAGACACTTTTGTATGTTATATTGAGCATAGTTTGTTTTAATAAAACATCTTTGATTGGGGATTTTCCTCCTATTATGTCATGTTTATTATTTTTCTTGTTTTGGGGATTTTCCTATTTATTACGTCATGTTTAATATCTGTTATATTTGGGGTTTTCCCATTTATTACGTCATGTTTAATATCTCTTATGTTTATTACGTCATGTTAAATTACTCTGTCGCACTCACGCGACAGGCGGTGTTCTAATGAGTAAAACATAATAATAATAATAATAATAATAATATAATAATAATAATAATAATAATAATAATAATAATAATAATAATAATAATAATAATAATAATAATAATAATAATAATAATAATAATAATAATAATAATAATATAATAATAATAATAATAATAATAATAATAATAATAATAATAATAATATAATAATAATAATAATAATAATAATAATAATAATATATAATTTTTTATATTTTATAAGAGATTATTTACAAGTTTTTCAAATCGTAATAACAATAACAATAACAAGTTTTAACAGGAGGTTTTTCTCCTTTTATGAGAATGTTCTTTTTAAGAAATGTTATGTTCTTAAGATTTAGTTCTTAGGACTCGTCATCACCGTCCACATCATGATAATTATAACTATAACTATAATTTTTCTTTTTCTTTTTCTTCGGTTCCTCTTCTTGCTCATCACAACGCCGGTAGTATTGCGGGTAGAATCCAAACGTACAAGGACCTCCCGGGGTGGTTTGGAGGAGTTGGCTACGTTGACTGCTCTCTATGGTCATTTCATCATCATTATCATCATCATTACCATTCTCACTATCTTTTGTCTTGGTATATGTTCCTATTTTCTTTTTTATCAGCCTGCGTGTCCCTTTCGCTCCTGGGGTTCCTTTTGCTTCGGTTGCGGGAGTAGGTGGTTCGTACCACATGAAGAAATTACATGATTTCTCTTGTGGCTCGGGACAACAGAAGAAGGATCGCCCCTTATTTACGCTCTCTTTTTTAACCACTTGTAGTTTACTTCGTTCACCATGGTGACATTGTGGTCTATCATCATTAATGTACACATCACCCCACTCGAAATATTTGCATGGGTTCTTATCTTTGGAACATACAAAAAAGGGGCGACCGTAGGAGGATTTCTCGGGGTTTTTCACCATTCTCAATTTTGCCAGGTTTCCATTGCAACATGTGGGTTTTTTTGAAAGGTTGCCAAGAATTTCTCAATTCCTTTTTCGTATAAAAAAGCATCTTCTTCTGTGCAGGAGAGTTTGCAATTGTTATTATTTGTTTCTCCGCAAATCCAGAACAATCCATTTTCTGAGACTACTGCTTCTTTACCATGTAGACATTTCATTTTTAAAAGATTGTGAGTAGGGAGGTTTTTTCTTCTTTTATTTATACTTTTTATTGGCACGTGTTTTTTCAAAAAGCACGTGCCAAAAAGATAAAAACACGTGTTGAAAGGAAAAAACATGTGTTTTTAAATAAGAACACGTGCTGAAAGGAAAAAACAAGTGTTTTTAAATAAAAACACGTGTTGTAATATTAGAGTATATGTTTTTATATTAAAAACACGTGTTTTTATAATCAGATATAAATGGTGCAAGAAACGACCCATTTTCTCATTTTCGGGAGAATGAGTTCTCATCGAGAGGAGGATTTGTTTAATTTTATTAACGATGATGATGATAATGATGATTGGATTTGGGAGATATCCGAGGAGGATTTTAGGGAGGACCTCTTCTCTGATAGCGATGATGGATGGATTTGGGAGGTGAGTGAGGAGGACATGCAAGTTGATTCTAATCGTAAGAAGCGAGGTTACGAGGAGGTGGATAATACAATACAGTTTGGAGGACAGGATAATGACGGGGCAAGTACAAGCAATAATGACGGGGCAAGTAGTAATGACGAGACCTCTTTTTACACCATAGAGAAAATTAATGAAGTAAGGTCAAAGAAGTTTAAGACGAGAGGTGTTGATTATAGCGTTCGTTTTAACAACGAGAATAAAGATCTCAATGTTATTCAGGAATATGAACGTACACAACAAATTTTTGAAGGATTAATAGATAATATCACAAATGGGATGAACGATAGCGACCAGGTTCGTTTCGTTTTACGAACACCTCAACTTGATGTACCAATATCCTTACCGTTTATGCCTGTTTCTCATTTTACTCCCGAACGAATATTTTCACAAGTCGAGCGTGTGGTACAGTCCAATCAACATTTTGTTCTAAATGATACAGTAATTGCTGACATTGTTCATGTTGAAATGCCATCGGGATCGCGAGGCTCAAAGCGAAGTCGCGTGGATCTTTTAAAACATTTACGAATGAAGAGATCAGTGGTGGTTATAAGAAATAATGATGATGATATGTGCTTGGCCAGAGCACTTGTTGTTGCAATAGCAAGAATTGAGAAGGATGAGAAGTATTATCTCATCAAGGATAGCCGAAGTGCTCTTCAAAGGAAGAAAGCGGAGGATTTACACAGGGAGGCGAAAGTACCAAGAGGTCCTTGCGGAATTTCCGAAGTTAAATTATTTCAAGAATATTTAACGGAGTATGAGATTAATATAGTCTCAGCCGAGCATGGAGATGTTATTATTTATCCTCCCAAATCTAACCAGAGCGATGTGAAACGAGTCTATTTATATTTACATAACAACCATTACGATGTCATCACCAGCATGCCCGGTTTCTTTGCGCGGAGTTTTTATTGTCACACATGTAGAAAGCCATACTCAAACACCCATGATCATATATGCCCTTCCATGTGCAAGTGTTGTCGATCCACCGATTGTTCTCAAGGTTCGTCTGAATCAAGTTGGATAAACTGTAATGAATGTCAGAGGTTATTTAAGAATGAGACATGTTATGAATACCATAAGAGATCAATAGGAGGCTCATCTATTTGCAAGAGTGTAAAGAGGTGTTCGAAATGTGGAAAATCTGTAAGAACTTGTAAACTGAATCCCAAGAAACATTTATGTGAGAAAGCTAAGTGTAAGATATGCAATGCACTTGTTGATAACTTTGATACCCATCATCTATGTTATATGAGGAAGCCAGGGCAGAGAAATGAGAATACCAATGGAGATAATAATAATGATGATGATGATGGTAATGATGATGATAATGAGTCGATGAAGAGTAATGATGAGAGGGGATATACGCAGATGTTCTTCTTTGATTATGAAGCACGACAAGA